TTCATCCTACACTGGTAATTTAAAATCCAGGAAATTACTCACGAAGTTGTCAAACTCATTCGGGCATCATAGAAGCGAAGAATCGCCTTGCTAGCAATTGGCAGTGTTACGAATAAAAAACACAACTACTCTTCGATACTCCTACACTGTCAGTAGAAGTAGAAGCTGCATAAAGGAGTTGAGTGGCATCACAGCTAATTTGATTTCGCCTTTACATTTTTGACAAGCATTTCTTCTTCAAATGTGGCAAAACAAAAGTTATAACGAGCAGGGCAATAACTCATGCAGCACGTGCGTTTTAAAAATGTGTACATTTTCTTTACCGTCCTACACAAATCGCCAAAATTTGCATGGTCTAAGAACGGAAACCTCGAGGGCAAATTATTTAAAATTCCAATTTGAAGTAAACGCTTCAGTCTCACATACGTTATGCTGAAGTAGAGATAGGGCGCTGTAAGAGAAGGTAAACACATCCAGCCATTCGAGAATTTCTAACTTAAAATATAAATTCATTTTTATAGCGACGTCTTCCTCGATGTTGTGGTCCTGACTGCTTAAATTTCCTACTAGGGATGGAAGTGTGGTGGAAATTAAATAACAGCTGGCCCCGCTCCAGCATACCCATCGCCTGCCGGGTCACAGCTGGTATTATAGCTGACCATGTTGTTAAGCCTATTCAAATCACCAGATACAACTTAATGATCAAAGTTTGATAATCAGGACAGTTTTGAAAGCTAACTGACGTGACAACAGAACAGTCCTTAAAGTCAAACTCTTCCTTCAGCGGCCTTTCCAGGGGTGGATTTTTGGCGGCCGAGCTCCTGGGTTTAACCCCTCAAAAGAGCGTGAGAGTTTAGGGATTAAACTTTGGAGACTTACTTAGGAGTGGATGCACACATTCATTTTGCGTTATAATATTACAACACTTTCATGTTTAGGGACAATAAGACAAATAAGGTCAGTTTCCTCGCGAGGTGATGTAAGTAACGGGTTGGCGATGTCACCACAATTGCTGCTTTAGGATTCTGAGGTGATGTTTTATTGCGCAAGATTGTTCTCCCGATGGGACGCTATGAGCCATCGGGCGCATTCAGGTACAGCAGCCGTTCGCTTTGCAGTTCCGCATTTTGCCGCCAAGAGAGAGAGTCAAACTTTAGCGATAATGAACAAGTCTAACTTCAGAGAGCTCTATGGTAGTAACGTCACCCGCAGTTTACTCTTTTCTTTCAAGTGGCTTGAGAATCTTACGCTTTCTAGGTCGAGAACTTAGTTCTTAGATTCTCGGCTTCCTATCACCGGTAAAAATCAAATTCATGGAAATAGAATCAAATTGAAAATTAATCGTTAATCTAAACTCCTCCTAAGATTTCTCTTGCAGTATAAAATCCTACTAACTCTCCTTTGCAACTGAGCAGAGCTAGAGGCACATCAAGTCAAATGGTGGTTGTATGCTTTCCGCTGAGCCTAATGCTAACGTAGTCGCCGGCTCAATCAAATTATCAGTTTTTGAGGAATAGTACTGAGTTACCTCGTTTGCTCATTGGGAGAAATCTATAGAATAATCGAATCAAAATAAATTTCAAACTAACGAAATTAGTTTTAAAAATATGTTCTGGTTGCACAACTAATGCTATCATCAGTTATTGTGCTGTATCCATTTATTTTTTTTTTGTACAATACCTCCTTAATTTTAGGCAATAAGTTTTTTTTTGGCTGAGTCTTGAATCTTAAAGCAAACAGCTGAACAGTTTTGCTTACAACAGGAAAAGAACACAAGCGTTTGTGAATATACACATATATCTTTTGTTGTAAAGATAAATTTACATTTTAAGAATATCATTTGCGAACAAATATCGGGGTCAGTGGCCTACCGCTTCACAGAAGTTGTTCACCATGTATATCGCATCATCACGCTGTTAAAGCTTCTTCTCAGACTTATCATTCTCCAAATTAAGTTATCAGGAACACTGAACATCATCTTTTCGCATAAGGTTAAAAAATGAAAGTTTCTTCCCTTTTGATGAAGTTAAGTATCTTTTGTTTATTTGGATTCCAGAACCATGCTAAAAATAATTGCCGACCCGAATTTCGAAGACATTCACTCCTATTCTAGCCGGGAAGTAGTCCCAATATGAATTATAAGGGTTTTTTTTTTTAAGATAAACCATCTGTTTGAAGGAAATGTTCAAAAGGCACATTTCCAATATATTTTTTATCTTCAATAGCCTTTTCTTTAGCGGGCATAGTCTTAGTACTTCATGTTTTGCATCAACGCGACCTATTCACCGATCTTTACAACATGGCTAAATTCTGAGCGTATTTTGATCTTCCAATAAACATGCAGTCCTCACTGAGCTTTCCAGTATAAAGGTTCCAAAATATCTGTCGTCAAATTTCTCGGCAATAAAATATTCAAACAATTCCTCGACCAGTTCAAGTAGGAATTGATCAGTTATGTCTGTCGGCTGTCAAATATCATGTTGGTATTGCACCTATATTCGGGGGGTCAGATGTTTGGACTCTCGACTGGAGCCACACGGAGACGACACTGAAACTTATGGGACAAACACATCGGTAACCTCTTCGTGATGTTGCAGAAAATGATACATAAATAGTTGTAATTAAGAACATGCCTCAGATCTAGCTTAAGTGTTCAAGAGGGGTAAAGCATTAGATTGACATAGCAGTGAAAGGTGTGTTCTGATACCGAATATACCCCACTACCGTAACAGTATAACCACAATATAACATTTTGATTCACGATCGTTTAGCAACTGATTTCGTCACTTTGCTTAAAAATTAACAGTTATTAATTGCATCAATCTTCTCCCAAAAGTTCCTTGACAAAATTAATCTTGAGAGGATGTTCACTTCATTCTGCATTATTACCCATCAAATATTTTTGCTCGCGCGCAATTGATCTAAACGCATCAGAGACCAAATAAACCCGCGCTAAAACTGGGGAATATCCGAAGTTACGATCAATCAAATAGTCTTGTTCAAGCGCAACTGGTCTAAACGTATCACGTTTCCGAACATTTCCAGCTAAAATGGGGGGATATTCATCACCCGAGTGATACTCCCCATTTTCAAACCTTTAAGTCCTCTTCAATAAGTCTCGGTTTCAAATTTAATTCAAGATGAGAGGGTGTTTAGTGGCCGTTACATAAGAAGGGAAATATTTGTTTGCTCGTAAGTCGTAAGAGAGAAGACTCAAAAGAGAAACCCCACGAAGCAAACGGTAAGCTGTTCATAAACGTTTTTTCACGACCGTTGCAAAATATTTGAAGGATAATAAACACAACAGCCTCCCTTTGGCACGAGAATATGCACTTGTATTTGTCCTTGGAAATAATCTGTTCCTCTAAGCTCACAGTTTTTCTTGAGCTTTGCTCTTAGAAAACTGTTTGCATCCTGGAAAAAATAATATCAGCGCATATTTTTGCCCCAAATGGAGGCTCTTGTTTTGTGGCAAAGAGAAACATCCTTCTACAAAGTGAAGAATGCATTAACAATAGAGGTGGGAGAAATATACTCATGCATTCAGTAACATGGATCTTCTTTAAACTCAATGTCATTACAGAGCCACGATTGTATCACCATTGGAAATAAGCTTTCAAGATATTGTTTACTGGTCGATATGTTGGTATGGGTATTTCAAGGCCAAAAATATTAAAAAATTGACATTTCAAATGTTCAAGACACTTGACTGATTGTTGATCAATGGCCTGTAGGACAATAAGTCTGAATGGGAGATTGTCACAGTTTGACTTATCAACACAACCTCTGTCCCACCAAGAGCACTTCCACTGAACATTTATTCAGAAATTTCAAATTCCAACTCTCAATAAATATTTGGGAGTCTCCCAGTCTCAGTGCACTAGATTACCTAGGATATCTCACCAATGTGCATCTAAGAAAGGAATCAAGTAAATTTTCACTCTATGAAAACTTATTTTGGTCAAGGATAGCATTTTTATGGTCATTTTTTAATGAATCTGGACTTTGGACAACAAAAGAAAGCTAAAGAAAGATTTTTTCTGGGGGGGGGTTAGGGGGATTTTGGAAGCAAATTAAAAAATCAACCATCTCCTGATTACACATTTTAAGAAGTTGGCTTTTCTAGAAAATGATCCTGAAAGTGACAATTAAGTCTCAGTATTTTTCAAAGTCACTTATAACTAAGCAGAACACAAATAACAAATGAATCGAGTATCATCCAATATTTGGCCATCTTGTTTATTTTATAATGTAAAAACAAAATTTGTTTAACCTGTCAGCTGTGCATGCTATGCTTCTCTATCTGCTTTGTTTTTCCTGCTATATAATAAATTTGCATAAAATGAAGCAGTTGGATTTTAAATAAGTTATTAGACATTCTGGAGAGTGGTCTCACTGAGTATTTCTAATCATTGTTTGCATTTTGCAAGCCCTATGGGCACACAAAAATCTGTCAAAACTTGTAAAGATAGTCAGAGGTACTACACACCAAAATGTGCAATAGGATATATTTATCTTAACACTCTTGAGGACCAAAGTTTAAATAAGCACAGGTGAAATTACAGGCACACAAGCATTCACACAGTGCCCACAGAGAACAAGAACAGGAACAAGAAAACTGAAGGTTTTTGAAACAAAAACACTCTCACAGTGGTCAAATTAGTTTACTTTACAAGACCATGATTTGTAAAGCATAAATCTCCTTTCATCATTTATGGGTTTTGATTGGAGTTAACCATACAACATTAACACTACTTCTATAAACAAATGTACCATTTAATAATCAACAGTCTTTACAACACCAGAAGGTCATTGGCTTCAGAAATGGAAATATTTGAAGCTGTAAAATAATTATTCAGTCCTCTGACATCTTAAAGCAACATGGCATCTGTGCAAATCTCAGCTCTCCTGCAATGAAATAAGAAAAAGGTTGGAACAATAATCATGATGAAATCTAACCTGCGATTTTCTACATCACGGATAACTAGCCAACTTACCGTTCATTTAGGAATTTCATGATCATATTTATCCTTAATAAAAGGAATCTTTTGGGTGACAACTTTCCAGTCTGTTACGTACAAGAAAACAACTCCCAGTCCTGTTCCCCATGCACCAGCTGTTAGCACCCTGTAAAATTGCACACAAAAAGTATGGGAAAATGTCATGCTTTGTGAGGAACAGATACAGCTGGACGAAATTAATATGACCAACCTTTGGCTAAAAGAATTTGATGTTTATAAAATGGCAACCAGGTTAATAAGGATGTAATTTATTAGAGCACATTATTCATAGAGGCAGTCAGTGATGGGAGTTGAAGAGTTAAGAAATTTTGAGAGCACTGCTTTATTATAATAAGGGTTTTCATTAACATTTGCAATAGCTGGAAAAGTGTTTAAAAACAAAAACTTAATAACGTCCAGTTTTAATTCTTGAGTCATGTGACATTTTTCTTGGTTTATATGAAATGCAACTTAAATGTAACCTAAGAATTGCAAAGAGACCGAAAAGCTTTGCTCAATATGGATACCTCAATAATATATGTCACCTCGAGAGTCATTAGGCCTAGTGTTGTGGTAAACCCGGACTCAGTGCGCTTTTAACACAAAGCTATAACTAGGAATGTGACTTTTCAAAAGTAAAACCAGTTCTAGTCAATAAATACAGTTGATACCCAGACGAAGGTAACTCCTGGTTACAAATCTCGACCGGTTTAAAGACAGCCATTCACGAAAAACCAGAGGTTCTTTTCAGAGGGGTTTCAATGTAAAATGGGGCAATGGCACGTCTTAAAATATATGTAGAAATGTAATTGCTTACCAGTTTTTTCCAAGGGTGGCGTAGAATCTCGATAAAGATTGGTAACGTTTCATTAACTCCCTCATATTTAGCAAGAGTAGTACGATCCGACCGTCGGTACACCGATATCACGCAGCTGACTTTGAGCATGAGTTTAGTTATCAACTGCTGGACATAATACTGACGGCTCAAATCAAAATGGTAGACTTAGGAAAGATGAAAAGAGATGTAAAGCCGCGATGTTTTCATGTAAACTGACAAAATACAAAACTTTTACGGAGTAGTTACACCAATGGATCGTAAAGTAGCTTTAACAAGCAAGAACTCTAATGTAGACAGTCAAGGTTGCGAGAAAAAGATTAAAAGTGGTCCCAACGTGAATGTAGTGGAAAGTAAGACAGCGCGCAAAAATCACTTGAAGATCACAACATTTATCATGGAGGCTGGTAAGTGAGGTCGTGATGTGAACACAGGAATGAAATAGAAGTCTTTAACGGTATCATTTATTTCCACTTATTGCTTGGTATGAATTAGTTGGTCTGCCTCTTGTGCTGGGGGAGGGGGAGGGGCTCTTGGCTAGTGAATGTTGAAACATCTGCTCATGTTACAAACTTTCTTGCACTATTAATCCAGAGCAACAATATGTATGAATTGAATTGGCAGCAGCATTGGAAAAAATTCATGCCCATTGTTTATTTAGCAGCAAGCGTTATTGAGAAAACTCAAAGAGACAAATATCTTTAAAAAACCACACAGCACACATTAAGACATATTTATAGTATAGCTTGTAATTACTTCTTTCTCTTGATCAAACTCATACTGCTTAGTTTGAGCTAAAGCAGAAGGCGTCATCCCTTGCTTATGATCACTGTATGCAATCCGTGCACTGGACTAAGATATTTTAAAGAGTTCATTAAGCATTTCAACCTTCACATACTTAGAACAACTCTGTGACAGTTTCTGAAATTGTGAAATAGATTTTTAAAGATGGTTTGAAACTCTGTGAAATATATATGCATGCAATGCAAAATAAAAGAAGATACTTAAGTTGTGGTTGTCTCTTATTAGAAGGAGAACAACTGGCAGGAGCTAAAAAATCAAGCTGAACAATCCAGCTGGTGATAATTGATAAGATATGTCTCCCCCCACCCAGGAATGTATCAATCTTGAATAAGCAATAAGATGTCACTAAAATAGTAGAAATAGGTTTTCCTTTAAGATTATTTGTGTTTAAATTTTTCAACATTTCTTAATTCAGGCCAAAGATTAAAGCTCCCGCCAGGCACTTGTGCTTCTGCTTGTGTTCTATATCATCGTCTGTACAAGCAGTATTTTCAGAGAGAATATGATCCAAATGTAAGTTGTCATTTTGCTTCATATTAAATGACAATTGTAGCAATAGGATAAATTTCCTTGCATGGTAAGATGCTCCCTAAATGTCACAAATAATTTGTTTGCCCTTGGGTGAACATATTATAAGCATATTGTAAGCTAAAGGTTTCAGGAGGTATAGGGACTCCAGCAATTGAAAATTTCAAAGAGGATACAGTCTCAGATCCTTCTCAGCTAACAGGTGTAGGATTAAATCTGCATATGATTATGTAATACCTCATGTGGACTGATTGTGGAAATGGTAGAAAGCCCACTCAAAAGCTGAATACCTAGGGTGTGAATATTTCAAGCTGTAGAAAAAATTAAAAAATATCCTTGTCAGTCTAAAGTTCACTTTGGTGAATGCTCTTCCAATTGCATTTTCCAATATTCCCCCGATTCTTTACTGAATTAGAATTGTAGTATATGAAAGAGTTAGACAGAGAGAAAGAGGTTAATATTTCTTGGAGTATTATTAAACTAATATTTTTCCTTGATTTTCTATTGTTCATGTGTAATAATTTTTTATTTTACATCATTAGCTTGTTGCCACTGCTGCTTTGTATTTAGCATCCAAAACTGAGGAATCTCCTTGCAAGTTACGAGATGTGATAAACGTATCTTACAGGTGAAGATAATTGTTAACTATTTCTTTTAATTGTTTCACCTTTCTTAATTCCAGTGGGGTTCCAGAGTTAAGCTGATAACTTCTGTCCAATTTTTTGTTTTGAACCAAGTGCAAAGTGTGCTGTGAACTTTGCATGATACCTATGATGTAAAATTTTGGAAACTGAGTTTCTAAACTAACTCATGACTTGCTCAAAGTAAACTAACGTAATGTAGGAAGGGATGAAGTAATTTTAACCATTTTGCTTGTAAGATTAACTATAAAAAAGCAGAAAAAGATGACAAGAAAGAACAATATCAATTCATTGTAGGAGCTCAGATAATGAGATATGTACTGCAGACAGTGCAGAGAATTTAGATTTAAATTTTGGCAGTGAAAGGGTGGAATCTATGATTTATAGTTGATAGAAACAGCTGACACTTGACAACCTTCCCACTGACTGAAAGCATTCTTCTTTCCTTCTGGCCACTTTGTTAAAATGAGACCCTCAATAACTCAAAACCTTCCCATCTCATTATCTAAAGATGAAGTCACTTTGGTTCATTTGTTTCATTCTTTTCAAAACTAATCTCACCATGAATAAAATTAATTATAACCCAACAGGTTATTACACAGAGATAAACCACCATTGGAGGTAGGGTCTCTGTATTGGGAACTTCACGACAGTGTGGCTAATTGTGAGCTGATGATTTTACGAGCTCTTCAGTTTCAAGTCAGTTTTGACAGTCCACACAAGGTAAAACTGAGTAAAATGTTGTCTTAATTTGAATCCATATGAGGGTTTCTTCTAAGAAATAGCCAAAGAGGGCCCAATTAGCCTCCCGCTTTAACCCTATACACCCTAACATCAGTAAGGATATTCTCCATACCAGTCTATACATTTTCTAGGGTGTTGATAAGGAGAATTTTTTTTTTACAACAAGAGTTTCTTTATTTAGTGATCATTTCATTTATTCTCATGATCTCAGTGTGTGATTCAGTGGAGATATTGTAAGGAGAAATTAGATGCTAGTCATTCTTTGTGGTTATAGGGTTAAAGTTTGGTGGCCCTCTTGTTAAAAACGAGGCCCCAAGAAGGGCTGGGTTATCCTAAAAGGTATTTGAACATATTTGTAAGTCTAATCAATTAGAAATCAAAGAAGAGAAAGCCAATTTAGAGTGTTAGAGGCTTTGAGTTTGTGCTAGTGAATTGTATATAGCAGCTATCATATCCATGTTGTCACCACTTGTGTTTCCAAATACTGAAGACATAGAACATAAAACATACTTATCCTTTGGCACAATTTTTTTTGCCCTATTTGGCGGTCAGACATGAGATTTATACATCAGTACCCTAATGTGATGACAAGATGAAAGGCCCTATAAAATCAGAGCTTATTTTTGCCAATCGCTGTTACCTTAAACATCATGCTTTATTTCACTAATATTGATTACTGAAAGAGTTGGTAGTCTCTTCTTTTCTTTTTTTTTTCCAACTTGTTTATCTGGCCCGTTAGTTATTTTAAGGACAGTCATGGATTACTAAGGTTTTTTTTGGTCATAGTATCTTCTCCATTACCTGAACTCACTTGAAGACTGGCTAGACAAGGAATGTACTATCACCAGTTCTTTAAGTCAACTTAGCTGGAGTATTTTGCAAGATAGTTTCCACACTACATTATGTTTGGAATACAGTCCAGCTGTTATTGCAATAGCGATGATCTACTTTTCTCTAACATGCCTTGGGATTGATGTTCCATCACAGGGTGCAAGACATTCCTGGTGGAAGGTTGGTGTTCTTAAGTGATTTTAAATTGAGTGTCAAAAGTAATGTGGTCCTTACTGGTTTTGTTTGACTTCGCTTTGTGATTGGTCTAGAAAAATCGCCCACAAACACGCACAATCACGCACATTCAGATGCAAAACAGTCCGAAACTAATCACGACTTGGTCACTTCCGATTTCCCTGCTTGACTCGGTTTGCTTCATTGTACTTTGAGTTCCCATTGGCTCTTTGTTATTTGTACCTTTTCTCTGATTGGCTGTCATAATAACTGAGGTATTTGGTACACGACACTTCAATTAGATGTGCTGTACCTTCATACTGAATCAGTTTCAAACATGTAAAACAGTGGGCGTCTTCCATTTATGATGGGAACTCAATTAATACGACCCTTTTCGCTGTAGTTTTTTTCCATTTAAAATGGGGGAAACAAATTCAGAAGTAATATCTTTTTTACGGCAATTCTTAGAAAGGAAAGTCCTGTTATTTTTGATAAAAGATTTTTTTCGTTTTTTTTTTTCGTCCAAATGAAAGCGCAGAGAAATTAGCTCCACAGAGAGATAATGCTCCAGCAACAATTTTTTTTGCTATCAATTAAGTATCATGAATCCATGAGGCCACTGCGTGGTTTGATGGAGTTGTGCCCTCTTGAACGTCAATGCCATTGACTGATGGCTCAAAATAATGCATCTCCACTTTCATTTGGTAGACGAAAGTGGAGATGTACCATAGTAGAGTCAATATAATGGAGTCGTTTCCTTCGAAAATCTGAGGGAGGGTGTCATTAAAACCAGGTCTCAAAGGTCAATCTCTAATACTTAGACCCACTGGGCTAAAACGGAGACCTTCGAACTATAGCGAAGAACCTCCGAACCAGTACGAAGACTCTCCAGACCAAAACGAAGGCGATGTGAACTAAAACGGAGACAACTCAGACAAAAATAAAGACTATCGTAACTAAAACGAAGGTTCGCCAGACTGGAACGAAAACCCGGTGTTGCGCTGAAACGCGTTTACTTCATGTGTGGACTTAAACTGTTTATGGAATTGCGAATTGATCTTGTCAGTATGACAGGCAATCCACCAAAACTGTTTTTATTTCTCTTGTTAATGCTTTTGAAACAGAATGAGCCTACCTGGAGTAATTTTGAAATACTCATTCTATTTGATTGGCAGGCTTTATGTCCAAGAAGCACAGAAGACGAAATACAAGCTATAATACTCCATATGATTGACTTCTATTCATTGGAAAACGTAGTTAGCGATTGAAAATTTGAACATACTAATTCTTTAGACCGTTTACTCATGCCCAATTACCCCAGTTCCACGGAAGGAAAAAGAAACTTGATAAAGAACTCCGTCTGCGCTGTCAAAGTGTGAGACCATAATGTAGATAATATTGTTTTTCGCTATAAGATGTATAAACACCAGTTTTGAAATAAATATATTTATTATCTGAAACCTGTGTGCTTTATCTGATTGGGGCTTTTATGGGAAGGGGAAGACGCCGTGGCGACGAACTTGTTACCAGTAAGATGTGTCAAAGGGCTAATGGACGAACGAAGATGGGAGGAATAATCAATATGTTGTTTTTGCCCTCTGACTCGCTACAGTCTATATTGTAAAAGGAAAGCTAACGATTCCACTTAAATTAAATTTTGTCAGACAATTCACTTTTAGGTTCCATTTATACTGGCTAGAATACGCCTTACTCTCGAGGAATGCTGTTGAATATCTTCTTCTTGGTTGGCCGTGACTCTTAAGGATCTGTTGAACAGAAGACGGGCAGATGATGTCACCATTGACATTATTTCCTCTCTGTTTGATACGAAACAGATCACGGATGGAACTTACGGTCACACTACAAGAAATTTTCGTCATTTGTTAGCGTGTTTGCCTTTGTATTGGTCCAGACATTGAAACCGCATGTGCTGCTTCAATACTTCATATCTAGGGCCCTGTTCACTCTTCGTAAATTGCGCCTCGGACGAAGTTATCGTTATTGGTTTAATTTTTAATAACAAATAACAAAACGAATTTTAACGTTTCAAATCTTACGAATGAAATTTTGTGAGCGCGTCAAATTCATATCTCGCTTTTGAAACGCATAGACTCTGTATAACGCTCACAGTATTTTTAATTGTTGTAGTGTTATTGGTAAACCGTCCCAAAAATGAAGGCAACATTTGACCTACATATTTCTACAAGGCCATTCGATTTGTAATTAATTTTTGCCCCCCGAAAGAGGACCTGAACGCTACCTGTTTTGTTGTTCTAAAACTGTGCGTGTAAAGCTTCTTTTCATGTGAAAGAGCTAAGAGCTATTGAAGCTTTTGATAGCTACACAAATATGACCTTTATTGGAATCGATAACTGACCAACCATGACCTGCATAGCACATACCTCTGCTAACACCTTGACACTCCCCCTAGTACCCAGCCTCTCTGCGGTTTGTTTTCAGTTTCCGGGCCTCAGGTATCGAAGGATGGCGGCAATTGTAAGACGCTCTCCAAATTTTCTTTTTGGAGCACGCAGTACATTGCGAGCTCTCGTTTCTTCTCCTTCGTTCGAGACTCACAGGCAGCAAAAGAACTGTAAGCGATGCATAATGTTTTGTTTCTTTTCTTTCTAGTTGGCGCGAAAGACTCGAAGCACATGGAATTTCGAATGTTGATTTTGATCTCGTGAATGTTGTTTGTTTTAGTTTGCCATCATGGACACACAAAAATCAAAGTGGATGGGCCTGTTGTTGAGATGGACGGGGATGAGATGACTCGTGTGATATGGACAATGATTAAAGATAGGGTAACAAAACCAACCTTTCTAATCCAGAAATTAATTGGCCAGCACAAATTTTGTTTGGCAACGATTTGTGAACAAAGGAATTGTTATTTATACTCGGATACCTAAGGAAGTAAGCCTCTTATTAACAAAGATACATGGTGCCTTTGCAAGTCCCTATGCAACAAGAACGTAAGATTTAGTCCGGCTTAGAAGTGTTTCTTTGAATAATATTGTTTGAGCTCGAGAAAACTACACGCAATTTTCGAGGAAGGGATAATTATTCAAGTTACTATTTTCTTGTTTGGCGTGAAATTTTGCACCCGGCTCTTAAGTACATGTATTATTTTACACGGGAAGAAAGTCAGTCGCACGAATTAACCTTGACATTGAGGTAAGTTTAGTCGATCTGGTTTGAAGCTGTACAATGTGTGGTCTCATTTCAAAGCCTTCTTCCTGTGTTCATGGAAACCGTTAACTGTAGCTACCTAATAATTTTGATTAAGACTGTTTGTGTGCTAACTACCCAAACCGATGTTTATATTATTTTGAATACTGTGAAAGAAGGATAAGAAGCACAAATAATCTGCTGGTGTGTTTGCAGAGTTAGAACAAATGTTATTAAGATATTGTGTGCGGTAGTCAGTGAGAATTTATGCAAATTTGCGGTACATTAATGAAAGGGAAGTGTAATTGCGAATTAAGAATTGCGAGGAAAAACGAATTTGTAACACTTAACGCCATCCATGTACCTCTATTTTTTCATTCCTTGGGTTGAAGTATTGTGAATTTCGCTCATCATGTGAGGTGTTGCGTCTGTGGTGGATATTACAGTCACTGTTAGCAGTAAAATTATCGTTTTTTTTTTAAACTGATACGTAAAGGGGATTTCTCCGTAATTCTATAGGTAGTCAGTGAAATAGGGTTTTCACTGATAATCAATGTTTCCCAGCGATTCTCTGGAACAGTTTAAGCAGCGATAAGTAATGGATTAAAGTAACACTGAAGATATGAAGTGATAGGCGATAGTGAATGAAGTGAGGCAACATTCAATGCATTTTTATGATAGTAGAAAGCACTAGGCTTTAATGACCTCAATAAGAACATGATTATAGTGGCTACTTTTATCACATAGCTGTGGTAAAGAAGGAGCAAACTCTGGAATGTAGAATTTCATGCTGACTTAAAAAAACTGAAAAAAACTTGTCACGAAAATTGATAATGAAAGACACAGAGTTGTTAGCCATCAGTATTCATTACAGAGCAGTAATCAATTAAGGCCAAAGGTTAAAGTAAGGGTAATTTAAAAGCTTTGATATTTTTTTCCTGCCAGCTCATTAAACCATATCTAGATCTGGATATAAAATACTATGATCTTGGTTTGCCACATCGAGATGATACAGATGACAAAGTAACAGTTGAAGCTGCTGAAGCCATCAAGCATTACAGTGTAGGAATTAAATGTGCAACCATCACTCCAGATGAGGAGAGGGTTAAAGGTACATGTAACTGTATGTAAATGATATTAGTAAGGATGGCAAAGAATTTCATCTATCAGTGTTCTTATATTAGCTATCTCCAGTTTATTTAATATATACCAAACTCCACCTCCACAGACCATGATTTTACAGTGTATAGCAGATACAGTTGAACAAGATCTTTGTGGACATTTTTTAAGCCTACTTTAGGTGACTAGGTTAATTAGGAAAAGAACAATCTCTGACCCCTTAAAAATTAAAGAGAAAGAGTGAATTTATGTGAGTCATCACTCTTTTTCTAGTGTTCAAGATCTTCTAATTTTATTTTTGTTAAGATGTTTTTGCTGTTTTTGATGTGACTCTAACTCGATAAAATGTAAACTTCTTAGAAATGTAACAAGAGTTTTGCTTTCATTTGTTTAATTTTCCTTTTAATTGCAAGTACAATATTCTCATTTTCTCCCTATGTACGCATGTATTGGGTTAAGAGTGCTCTATAACCTACTGAGACAGAGTCCCTTTGAATCCTTTAACCCTTAAGAGTGACTAGCATCTAATTTCTCCTCACAATATCACCATGGAATCACACACTGATGTTATTCGAATAAAGGAAATGATCACCAACTAAAGAAACTCTTGATTATTAGACAAATTCTCCTTGTCAGCACCTTGCTAAATGCATAGAGAACAGTATAGAGAATATGAATACTGATGTTAGGGTGTAAAGGGTTAAAACAATTTTTGCTTATGATATCCTTCAATGTGCAATTTTGTTCAAATCATAATCATTTTCTAGAGTACAACCTGAAAAAAATGTGGCGAAGTCCTAATGGCACCATTCGAAACATCCTTGGTGGTACTGTATTCCGTGAACCAATCATTTGCCAGAAAGTTCCCAGACTGGTCCCTGGATGGGAAAAGCCAATTGTGATTGGAAGGCATGCTCATGGCGACCAGGTAACCATATCAGACTAGGTTATAATTATAAAAAAGTAGCTCCTTCCATAAAAATATTGAGCAGTGAAAGAATGGGAAAAAGTTTGAGCCTAATCAAATACTAAACCAGAGATAACTACACTGACTTGTGAGAGTAATATTAAGGACTTATTTGCACCCCTTGCAGCATTCCAAAATGCATCAGTAGCAGCCTAGCAATGTACTACATACAGTGATGCATAAAAACAATCTCCTCACTCAACAAAAACTTTCACTTTTCAGAAGCAGTCAAAATGTTTTAATATGAAAGGAATGATCAAACATTTATTTATTCAGAACCATGATAAACAACAAACACATCTTTTTTTATATATGCGAGACAAGTGGGTACAGAAATTAGATCACAGGGTTGACAGTTGCAAGTCACTGCAGACAAAAATGACACATGATTCGACAATAGTTTCAACTGATTCCCATCTGCTTACCATTTCATTAATTTGATGGATACTGGAACATTTTCTGCAAAGTTACTGTTTCTGAAAGCACCCTTGTAAGTAAGTGATGAACCAGTTGTTAATAAATAACATTTTTCTGAGGGGCAGGTTAAATTAGAGATCAAATTCATGCGTAGATATGTGTCCTAAAAATGCATGTACCGCTAGTATCCTAAGAAATTAGGTGTTGAGCTCTTAAACCTTAGTCTCGAGAAGAAAGTATTCAAATTATTTTGCTGTGTGACTTGACTGAAACTCTCTTTTTGCTTCCAGTATCGTGCAAGAGATTTTGTCGTGAATGGACCAGGAGTGTTTGAAATCTCCTACAGACCTGCTGATGGGAGTGAAAAGCTGACCACTGAGGTGTTTGAGTTTACAGGGACTGGAGGTGTCACCATGGGCATGTATAACACTGATGAGGTATTCATTTGTTGAGTTATTTCTTGCTTTCTTTTTATATTGACTACTTCAACTGGACTGGTCAGTTTTGTATCAATTGTCCTAAAATTATTGTGCATACAAAGAGGAAAGAGAAGAGTCTTAATATAGTTTAGGGAGGAGGCTTCCCTTTCAGAACTCCTCCAGGGCATAGTTGTTGTGCAGTTTTCTCTCATTGTCTTAGCCAGTTTTAGAAGTCTTCCACCCTAGGGAAATATGGAAAAAGTGCTATCAAGGATGCCTCAATGCAAGTTATTTTCATTTCTTTCTTCCTCAAGTAGTCCCAACCTTGAAAAAAAGCACTCTTTTATCTGACATTTGTGCAGATATGAAATGCAAAAATTTAATTCTCTGTGCTTTATTTTGTGTTGGTGATTTTCAGTCCATCAGGGATTTTGCTCACAGTTGCTTTCAATATGCATTGAGTAAAGAATGGCCCCTGTATATGAGCACTAAGAATACAATTCTCAAGAAGTATGATGGCAGATTTAAGGATATCTTTGAAGAGATTTACGAAAGGTATAATGGTATTTGGTGTTTATTCTTGGTTCCTTACTCCCTTCAGTCAAGCAATGGGCAGTAGTATTATAAATTTATTTTCTCTGTAAAATTATTTATAGTAGCTGGTTTTAGATGTCTTAAAGGTAGTTTTTTCTTTCATGCTTACCTTGAAGGTAAAACTACACGACTCTTGTGTAAATTTGTAAATTTATTTCACAGACTGAATTATTTTATCCTTTAACTCCATGAGTGAAAAAAGTAAAGTAAAGCCTTTATACAGGCCCGAGTTGCCCATGGTTGGGGCTTAGCTCCGGTGTCCTTAGCTTGAAGCGGCTAGGAATATTGCTACTCCCCCCTGGATAGGATACTCCTTACCAATGTACAAGGAAATGTGTAGCAGCTAGAGGGGATAATTAACAATTAGATATTGGGACTTAAAGGGTTAAAGATACATGTCAAGTGAGGATCATTCAAATGCATAGTGATTGTTTTTACATTTTAGGAGTTACAAAGATCAATTTAAGGAAGCTGGAATTTGGTATGAGCACAGACTTATTGATGACATGGTAAGTGAAAGTCAGTGTTTGTTGTAAGTATGGACTGGATGTTATAACATTACCAGCTTCTTCCAATGGAGCTAGCCATTGCTAAAGACCATTTTACTCATTTTCTTCAATGAGTATGAAGCAAGTCAGTTGTATCTACCCAGGCCTGCCATTATTCATTGTATAACTTGGTTGTAATTTAGGTTGTATGGAAGTAGGTAAATTACCAGCTGTTTAACCCTGGCACGCATATTCTCCATGGTGATCTCTATACATTTGCTGAGGTGCTGATAAGGAAAATTTTTTTAACAATCAAGAGTTGCTTTATTTGGTGATCATTTCCTCTTTTTTCTAACCTCAGTGTTTGATTCATTGGTGATACTGTACAGATAAATTAGATGTTAGTCACTCTTAGGTGTAGGCAAACTTTCAAGTTTGGCAGGTTGCACCACTACTATAATAATAGTAACTTCCCTAGTCAAGAAGATGATTATTAGTTATTCCTACATGAATCAGTATGACATCTATGGTGTCCAGTAATTTTGCATTAAGTTACACAAAGAAGCCTTTAATTACTGATATGCCAAAATTCCATGTATTGTTGTGTGAATCCTGTTATGGTTGTATCAAACTTTGTCAAGACAAGTGAGGTTTCTTTTTCTTTAGGTGGCCTATGCCCTGAAATCTCCAGGTGGATTTGTTTGGGCAGCAAAGAATTATGATGGGGATGTCCAATCTGATACACTGGCACAAGGTATGTGCCATAATTCACATTTGTGGTGTTTACACATAGTGTAGTAATTGGCTTCACTAATGAGTCAGTTCCAAATTAAATTCTGAAGAAAATTGCTGTCTGATTGATTTTAACTGAATGTCATCCATGTGAAATGAAAACTCGACTTTGTGTGGCAGGCAAAGAATAAAGAGGTGAACATAAAGCAAATTTTGAAATTTTTAAGATGCTTTTTCTGAGATGAACTTCAGACTCTTACTGGTCTTATCTAAGGTAGTCTCTCAGTCACTTTACAAAATACTTGAGAATTACAAGCTGTATTAACAAGGTGCCACTTGTGTGGCATACAGGACTATCAGTTGGGGTTCTATTTGTTTTGAATAAGTTCTCAAGGGCTAAAACTTGCTGGATATCATATTTTTGGGCATTTAAGGCTCAAAAAAAGTGAGTCAAACTTGTTATGCAGGATAGTGATGACTATACAGCAAACTTTTCCCCATAATTCCAAAATTTAACCTGGCCTATGAATCTCCAAGGAGTCTGAACAAGAACAAGTTGGAGAGAAATTACAAGAAGCACTTGTGGCTTATTCCTTAATTTTTTACATGAAGCCTCCATATACAATTTACAATGTAAATGCACATATACATGATAGGGTATAAGGAGAGATTTGTTGAAGCTTGTGTTACTCTAGCCAGTGAGCTCATTGATTAGCTAGAGGGTGTTAACAATTCTGATTTCTTGCAGGCTTTGGTTCCCTTGGTCTTATGACAAGTGTATTAGTATGTGGTGATGGCAAAACAATAGAGGCTGAGGCAGCCCATGGTACTGTGACAAGACATTACAGGGAGTACCAGAAGGTACAGCTGACATGAATATTATGAAATCCTGGATTTTTACTCAATCAAGGTGTTTTCTCAATGAGGCTGATCATTCTGGTGAAATCATCTACATGTTCTTTTCCTTCCCTCCATTGCACCCTCCCTCCATATTTCTCTCCCAGCTCCCATAGCAACCTTTCCTTGTCACTCCACCTTCCCCTTCATCCACTCTGTCCCTCACCCTTCCACCCTCCTGTGCTTTCTTTGTGAGTGTTCATCCTTCACTTTGGTTTCTCAGTGATTTCTGAACAGATATATTGCCAGGGACTCAATGTGGTTGGGCTGCCAAATTGACTTTTCTGCTAAGTAGTTTCTAATCTCCTTTTACTCTTTTGGTTTCTACCCATCAGGGAACCTTTAGGGATTTTAAGGAGGTTGATTCTTTGTATTCTAATGGTCATGAATGAAGTGCTTGGTAAACTCCTGACAAGTTGTAGTGTTTGATATTTGTTTGGATGTTTATGTTTTAGGGAAATGAGACAAGTACCAATCCCATTGCCAGTATTTTTGCATGGACTCAAGGTTTACGTCACAGAGCAAGACTAGACAAGAATGCTGAGCTCAAAAAGTATGTTTTAAAAGTTACTTAGTGACTGGAGCCTCAACATATTGAACCCCCTTCCAACATATACCTGCTATGCAAACAGATCTAGAGTATTCCAATATAGGTAACACTTGAGCACCTTTTTTCAGTATCCCAAAAAAATTGAGAGAACACAATTTTTCCCCCCAAGGACAGAACATAATGGCTGTGGCCAGTGCTTGAAACTGGAAACTAAGACCCCGAATGGAAGACTAACAGATAAGATTAGGAACTGCCTTTCTCTCCCACATAGATTCAGCCATTACTGCAAAATGTCTTGAAAAGGTCTAACATACAAAATAGTCTCTGTTAATGACAAAGTTACTGAACTAGTTCTCTAGTACAATATTTAGCTTGTGCTTAGTTGAATTTTTTTTTGTAACATATCACCATAAGTAGCTATACCCCTAAAAATTATGGAAACATGAACAAGCAAACACAAACACATCTACAAACCCTAATAGGAGCAGCAGAATGATTTAATTTTTGTTTCCACCAGGTTCTGCAAGGCTCTTGAGAAAGCATGTGTTGATGCTGTTGACAATGGTCAGATGACTAAAGATCTTGCTGCTTGTATCTATGGACTTAGCAAGTAAGTTGAACTTGGCTGAGATAGAGTGGAATGTTACATGTTGCTTTATTTTTTATCTATTTTGGCAGAGAATTTAAAATTTTGTTGTTGCTTTGTATAGTGTAAAGCGGGACCAGTACTGCTCAACTGAACAGTACTTTGATGCTGTTGAGAAGCAACTTCACAACCTTTATCAACCTCCTGCATGAGGATGAGTCAGCCATAAAAGTTCCTGCTACAGACAATCCTTTAGGCTGATAATACAGTGGCAGATCTAGCCCTGTAATTGTGTTCATTATAATTTAGGACAGACCTAGTTCCAAGCTATTGCTTACCATACAATTTTCTTTGAGATGAGTGTGACTATCACTAATGTATTTTTTGTTAAAAACTGGCACTAATCAGTTCAATTTTACTAATGTATTTTGCACACGGGCACTTGCCTGAGCTTTCATATTATGATTATTCTGTGGTCAAGCCAGTCAAGTCCTATCCTTTCAGTGTCAGTTGCAAATTCTTGCATATGTAATATGCTGTGTGGTGAATGTGAGTGCCAATAACGCATCTTTTACTTGTGATCTGAAACAAACTGCCAAAAATTTTAGTAAGCTTACTCTGTAGTTAGGACTCAAAATTTCTGTAGTGTGGATAATGTGTGGTTTATTGTATGTACTTGCAAAATAGAAAATAAAGTTGCTATGATTTTAAAAGTGAGCGAGTCTTTTCAGACGGACGAAGATGTGTTCTTGTTATGATAGTTTTGGAGAAAGGTAAGTTGTTCATCGGCTCGGGTAGATCGCCACTTTGGTAAGATCTACTAAGAAACCTTTGATTAAATGACCATTCATAGTACCTTTGGTTTCATCCAGTGGCCAGTCACGGTTCCAACATTCTCTTTACTTGCACTGAAAGAACGATGGCGATATCAACTTATTATTTTTTTCACCAAGAGAAATACGACCGGACCGTATGACTGACTAAAAGTCCGATTTCAATCGTCAAACTTTGTTCAATGTAAATACTTGAATCCTATTGGCTGACGCGAGTGCTGTAATGATAATGACGTCAATCTACCTTTTCCAACACTTTTTTTTTATCAACTTCCCTCTGAAAGCTCGTTTCGATATATTCAAGTAGTTATTTGGATAAATAACAATAGCATCTATTTGGCGCGAAAACATGTACGGACATTTGTCCTTGGATGTTATCTGTTCCGAGATGAAAAGTGAGCTTCATGGAACAGATAATGTCCGAGGACAATTATCCGTACATACTTTCGCGCCACATAGAGGATATTATTTATTCTCAAATTCTTTTAACCGGACTGGACCTTCAAAGTTCCAGGTGAAACCGCAAGTTCTAACCTAAACCGCGCGGCGAAAAGAGAGGGAGATTGTAGGCAAACACTAAAAATGCAGAATGAATGTGGAGAGGAAGCAGTAATCAAGGGCTTTCTATAAACACCTTTGAGAAATTAATTATCTCGGGGAATGCACGTTTGATCTAGTGAGTATGTTATTTAATAACTGTAGTCATTACCGAGCGACTAAGCATGGGTGAGACCAGCCCAGGCCTTGTACGCAATCTCGATGCCTGCGCAATCGAAAAATGTTTTTTTTCCCCTTTGTTTTGTTCGTGAGTGTTAATGAAACTCAGTGATTCGTCTCTCGATGTCTATTTAGTCGTAAGTTTTTACAAAAGCCTTTGGGGTTCTGGCGTCATGCAGTGTTACCCTCACCCCCAGCCCCCTCAGGTGTTGTGCGACTATGACATGCTCCCTTCACTATGACGTCACTCATATAACGAGAGATATTTCCATCTCGGATCCCCACGATAACTCCTTTTCCTATGCAATGTGTGCGTACACCACCACTGTCACTGTTATTCCTTTGGTAATACAGTCGGGTGAAGTGGGTGTAGAGCTGTTATGGGCTACGAGGAAGTCTGAGAGACTATCAATAAACTGTATGGCAACACCATATACCAAAACTAGGTAAAATTCATTCATGCAAAATACATACTACACGTTATAACATAACTTAAGAATAACTTGATAAAAAAATACAAATAACTTAAAGAACAGGTCATTTGTTTTGTAATGTACAAGAGATTGGTAAATACAAAATCCGCACGAACGTTTAAAATAAAAATTTGCTCTAAAATAAAATGGAAACTTGACGAAAGGTATGAAATATCTTACAAAATACCAATTCAACCAATTAAGATAGTTGAAAACTGCGAAATATAAAAATTTCACTGTACAGTGTCTCCTCTTTTGAAAACCATACTGCTGGTAGAAAAAGTGCTAGCACTTGAGACAATTATATTCGTCTATCTTATATTTAGCCTTCAAACTAAAACTAAGCTTTAAACTTCCGGCGTACGCAAGTTTGCGGCGCCATGTTGCGTTTCACGCCGGAGCCGCGAGAGGACTGAAACAGAAAAAATTTAAAAAAAACGTACACTAGAATAATTCTTACAAATAAATAAATATATGACACTATCTGATATAGACTAAGTTCTCTGTGCATAAACTGAGAAGAATTTGGTATGATAAATGCTTCTTTCATCGCAAAACTCATTTCAACGGACTTAAATTATCTCTATTTCGGAAGTACTTCAACTGCAGGTCCTCGTGTTTAATGATAGGAACCTTTCTTTGCTTATACACAGCAGGCATTTCTTTAGCAAAACTGTTCACTGCTTCTTAACCTAACGATCATTTGAAGAACTTCTTGTATCTCAGGGTCCATTTCAAGCTGAGTAAAAAGAAAAACAAGTGTCATTGATCGCTACACAATTACTTACTTACATTTATCCATTGGGTTATAGTGTAACCATTTAACCCCTAAGATTCCCTGGCTTCAAATTTCTTCTTGCAGTATACCCCTTGAATCAAATATTAAAGTCGAAAGAATAAAGGAAATGGTCTCCAACTTAAAAAGCTTTTGATTGTCAAGTAAATTCTCCTTGTCAGTACCGTGGGGAATATATAGAGAACAGTGTGGAGAATATGAATACTAATGTAAGGGTGTAAAGGGTTAATCTTCGACTGCAACAAATTTGGAAATGCCGACGGTTTAAGAGTCCGCCCTTCGCAGACTTACTCGTCCCTAGCCAACTTTTTCTGAACTTTTGAAAAGAGAGAATTGGGGACGAGACACGAAATCGAAAAGAGAGTCTTACCTGGCTTGCATTTAGAAGTTGTAGTCTGTACATGTTTATAGTCTCTCTGTATCCTCTTTCAGCCTCCTACCGAAGACAATTACGTGGATTAAGTAACACAGGTACGGCAGTTTTCCTGTGTCATAAATCCCCTTAAATCTGGGGACTGACAATCAAAACCATTTTGAAAAGATTTTTCTCGGCTGAGAAGCAAACGGCGGGCGGAAGACTTGAGAAACTTCTTGGATACGTTTTGAACCAGCCATCAATTTTAAAGCCTTGATTTTAACATTACAAACTAGTTGCCTGAGACGAACGCTTTAAACGACCAACGCCCAGTAAGCATTTGGTGGTTTGATACTCGAACTCATATGTCGTGACTTAGCACGCTTTCTTGATCAAACGTTTGACTCAGAAAAAAGAAAACTTCACGCGGATCGATATACAGTATGATCTAAACAGAAAAGGAATACGTTCTGCAGTTAAGGAACAAGTCGAAAGATTTGGGGGCGAACTGGTAAAGGTGGGGGCGAACTTGTTTTATTTCAGGGGGCGAAACCGCAATGGGGTGAAACTTTCAGATACCGCGGTAAGTGGTAAAGCATCGGAGCGCGGAATCAAATGGTCTGAGGTTGAATTCCTAATGAGGACAATTTTTCTCTATCCCAAGTTCGCGATAAGACGATGAAACATCTTTTTTTACGCTGGATAAAGTTAAAATTACATGTTCAGTTATAACAATGTTCTTTGTTTTTTTTTTTGTTTTTATACCTGAAATTGATGCTCGAGCTCCTTTAAATCTGCAATCAATCGCTGTTCTGTTGTATTATTTGATGAATTTCCCAACTTGGTTTTGAGCTGATCGCATTGAGGACATGATCCACTGTTGGCGATTGACTGTTGAAAATAGAGAAAAAAATTACAAATTGTTAGGGAAAATAGAAACCCGACTGGAATCCTGACCATTTATTTGCGCTTAAGAGGTAATGGGAAAGGAGAAAGCCTATCATCTAAAGCGCTCCTATCCAGCTTCTTTCCCTAACAGACAACCGAGAAAGAATTAGGAGCAATCTGATAAACAATTTGTTGAGACACTAACTAAAGGCCAATTACATACAATTTAAACTTATCGAGATATTCCTCAGAGGAACGACCAGTTGTGACAAAATTATTAAAAACGTTACTAGGTAATCTGAGAATTAAACATTTTTATCTTACGACTGAATCATGGAGTTATCCCTTGTCGTATTTACTTCAGTTTTAAAATTAAATTTGTCAAAACACCTTTTGAAGGGATTCATTTGTTATCTTGAGCTCTTCCAATTCTTCCGTCAACTTAAATATTTCGTCTTCATTTGATTCCTACAAGAGAAGGAAACAATTCCAACACCTGTGTATATTTAACATTCATTCATAAGCTACATCGTCGGGATTGAAGCATGTGAATCTCAAACGCAAAGAGTAAGAAACTCAAGGATCATAGTGAGAGTGAGAGTGAGCGTGAGTATGAGCATAAGCGTGAGAGTGAGAGTGAGCGTGAGTATGAGCATAAGCGTGAGAGTGAGAGTGAGCGTGAGTATGAGCATAAGCGTGAGAGTGAGAGTGAGCGTGAGTATGAGCATAAGCGTGAGAGTGAGTATGAGCATAAGCGTGAGAGTGAGAGTGAGCGTGAGTATGAGCATAAGCCTGAGAGTGAGAGTGAGTATGAGCATAAGCGTGAGAGTGACCGTGAGTATGAGCATAAGCGTGAGAGTGAGCGTGAGAGTGAGAGTGAGCGTGAGTATGAGCATAAGGGTGAGAGTGAGAGTAATAATAAGTGAGAGAGCGTTGCGTGAAAAAGTGTGCGAGGAAGACTAGCTCAGGTAGTGTTAGACACTGTGACTTTGAAAGCGCTCTTATCTTTTCCAAAGTGAGAGAAAAATATAAGAAAAGATAGAGTAGAACATATGTCAGGAAACTGACCTTCATAGGAGAAATATTCAAAATGTAACCAAAGATAAAAGGAAGGAATTTAAGGAATTTTTGTTGCAGTTTATAACGTATTTAGTTGATTGTAAACAGCGTAGTCGCTAAGTTGCTGTAGGGTAAATGTATCTTACCTTGAGCTGCTGATAAACTGTCAGTGGAATTGTGGGTATGTCGCGATCGACCCGGCTATCAATCAAATCTCCATTGACTCGAGAATGCCGCTGTGGAGATTTACAAGTCAAAAAAAATATATTCAACATAGGGAGAAAAGTTAAAAGACGAAAAAACATTGATAGGGTACTGTGACATCAATTTTAAAAAATTCCAACGGAAGAAAAGCCGAGGACAAATATTAGAACATAAAGAGCCTCTATAGAAAAAGAATTAATTCTAAAAAACAGAAATTACAAAACATTTCGGGCCTAAAGAGATCATTGAAAAATACAATCAAAACTTAGTGAGTTTCAAAAACAAATTGGTTCTCGTCTTATTAAGTGAGTAGTCATAATATCATATTTTGTTTTTGAGGGAGTTTTCCTAGAAAGACGAACTCTCTAAATTTAAGTGGGTCTAAAATTAACACAAATTACCATAGAATTAAAGTTATCAACATACCGGCAATTATTACCAAAGGGAAACATAGATATTTACATCAGTTACTGACTGTACAGTTTAGAGGACATTTTGTTTTAGCAGAACTTACCTGGAGTTGCTCTTTTAGCATTTCATTCTCAAGTTTAAGAGTTGTGACCTGACCATGCAGTGAAATGAGTTGGTCCGGCTGTGCATCTAACACGAAAACAAGCAACTTTACTAGAACTGAGTGTTTTTAAAGGAGGCTGGAAAAATTAAAAAAAAAACACAGCAATAAAACAATAATTTACTTTTGGAGAACTTGTTGTTGTTCTTTGAATCCCAGTTCTGATCAACACCTGCATTGAAAGAAAATGCACCATAAAGGTTAAGTCTAGATCTGCTTCCTCACTCTTGTAGCTTATTTGGCCACTCTCACTTCATTGGATGATGGCTTTGTCACAGGTTACTCTCTCCCCTTCCCACCCCCCCTCCCAGAAATTCTTTTCTCTGACAGATAACCAGTACCAATTTTCACTACTGGGTGGAGAGGCATTGTGAGAGGAAAGTGTTCTTCTTACCCTGATACAAAACACACTGACCCTACTATGCTCATTAATTGACCCGTCAGCCCTGAACTAGTGTGTTTACCACTAATCCCTCCCCTCCACTTAAACAAGAAAAGGAACACAAGATCCTCAACATCAACTGCTGTTGAAGCTATTTTTTTTTTTTTGCATTATAATCTGGGCTATTATAGAATGACAGCATTTTAATGACATCCACTAAATCCAAAACTTTGGTACAACTTAGTTAGATGAAAACAGAGTATATATATTAAATAGATTCTGGAAATCACTTTTCTGTAAACATCCTATTTTTAAAGAATTGCAGTTTCAAGGTAAATTAAGTTTCATAGCATTTCATTGGATTTTTTCTTTCCTGTTCTGGTTCCCAAATCCCAGGCATCCACTGTGAATCCTTTTGGTGGCAGATGAAAACTAAAAAATATTGATCGATTGTGGAATTGTTTTACTAGTATGGTCAGTCTAAATCATCTGTTCAGTCATCAGTTTAAACACAGACATAACACTTGGAAAGTCCTTGATGCTTTATTTTTTTGAATCAGAGCAATTTCAGTAATATGAATTGCTTTGATCTGAAAAGGACAGGACTGACCTGGTAAATCAATATCATCATCAGTTTCACTGGAGTTAAATTCACCCTGATTTTCATCCTGAAAGAGTAGTAAATAATGATATTTCAGGGTGCCTCAATAAGAATATTAGTAACACAGAGTACCTACCTTAAAAAAAAATTAAAGTTTGAATAAAGCAAATCTTTCTCAAACAGGGTTGCTCATAGTGTATGTCCGAAAAGGTGCTTTGCAGCATTCACTAATAAAAAGCATTAACCACCCTGGGAAAACAACGGTAATTCAAATGTCCAGTATCACATAGTTTTTTAACAGTCACTGACCTGGAATGTTGCCACTTGAGCTTTGAGATTCTCTACTTCTTGCTGGAACCAAAGCAAATGACAAATTAATTATTTCAAGATCTGTGTAAGTAATCCTTTATTGTTTCAGTCAGCACCATTTTAAAAGTACATAGAAGAACACTGCCTCTGTTTGCTTTTTCATCAATGAGATTTTATAAATTAAGAAACAAAGGAAACTAGAAAAACAGAGAGAACAAAATGAATGCTTCAGAGCCAGTTGTCTAATCTAAAGGGAAGGAGTAGGTGGGCTTTAGGTTACAGACTTTACCTGCAGTTAACCCTTTACACCCTAACATCAGTATACCTATTCTCCATACTGTTCTCTATACATTCCCTAGGGTTCTGACAAGGAGAATTTATATAACGATCAACAGCTTATTTAGTTGGTGATCATTTCCTTTATTCTTGTGACCTTACTATTTGATTCAGAGGTGATATTTTTAGGAGAAATTAGATGCTGGTCACTCTTAGGGATCGATGGATAAAGTAAGTCTCCTACCTCAGCTTCACATCTGGACTCTTCCTCATTTGTTAAATCTTCCTTTAATTTCTCAACCTGATCATTTAAGGAACATGACTTGTTATCAAACATTAAAGATGTATTCACCAGATAACAGGCTTTCAACTATGAATGAAATTAATATACTAGTTCTCGCTATCTTTTCAGTCCAACCACTTCTCTAATCATACTTCCTTACTTTTGAAATTAATTGAAATTTGTTTGTTTTAATTTACTTGCTCCTTTCTTTAATATTTTACTTAATCAATAGTATTAAATAGAAGACTGAAATGAATGTCATTTCAATTATTTTTGGTAAGAAGGGAAAGCTGATCCACTCAAATCTAAGCACAAGATCAGATATCAACTAAGGGACTTACCCAACAATATTGTCAGATACTCAGTTATGATCACAAAAGAGACTACACTGAGTGGTTCAAGAAAATGTTTGCTCACCCTGAGTTTTGTAAACTCCTTTTAACTACTTGTTCACCACATTAGAACAGAGAAAACTGGGTATCTTTTCCTCCACCACCCCACCCCCCCCCAAAAAAAATAATTCAGACCCAGTTGAAAAGCAGTTGAAAGGACTTGCAAAAGAAATTCAGAAAGAAGCCATTACCTCTTTTTCTAGCTCCTGTATTTTTTTGTCTTTTTCTTCTAATAATTCTTCCTCTATATGGCCCTAAATATGTCAATAACAAAGAAGCCATGTATTTACTTAAACTCAAACATTTAAGCAAATGGAGGAAAAAACAAAAAAGAAGATTATAGTGCAGAGAGTACGTAGTAATCTTATTAATAGGAAATGACAACATATTAATTCTACAATATCTTACATTGATATGATTTGTCACTACTGGTGCTTTGCTGTCTTGCTGGGCTTCAAGGCCACGAAGCTGCAGCCAAAAAGAAGTCAACATGATTTACTCTGAGAATTTGTACATACAGTATGTTTTAACCTCTCTTAATGGCAAACACTCCTTGGATGCTCACAATGTGAACTTTACGGAATAAAGATTTTATGTACTAAAGGATGATGAAATGTATAACACATTCAGTAACATAAAACTTTTAAAATTAAAGTCTGGAAAAAGATCAGGCTTGATTACTATTTGCCACAGGGGCTCACATGTAGGAAGTAAACAAAAATATACTTATGGAGAGATAACAGGGCCACAGAAAAGTAAGGAAACTGAAGGGCTTATCAAGGCTGGAAGAACTATTAGTTTATCAACTGAATGTAAACACACACAAAGACATCATAACATAAAGTATCATAATTATCTGCGAAATGACTGAAAAAGGTTCAGTTGGTAAATTTTGTTACCCTTTCTAGAGTTTTCTGGTGTTGAACTCTTAGTTTATTCAATTCTTGGTTTAGCATTTCATTTTCCTCTTCCAGTTCCTAAAAAGAGAATTCAAAAGAGACATACACAAATGCATTTCATAGCAGACAGTTATTTATAGAAGGTAATCCCTGGATTATAAGAATTGGCTGTGATGACAAAAGCTTCAAAAAAGTCAAGTTGTGAAAGGAATGGAACCATTGCCTTCCAGATAATAATTTAATTCTTCTTGCAACTAGACTACCAACTGAAGCCACTTCAAAAGGACTGAGTTCTGGAAATGGTTTATTCCCCACGAAGGAAGAAAGCAATGATCTATGACTTACTACATCATATAACATTGCTTTCTCATAAAAAAAAAAACCAGACAGTCCTTTTGAATATTATAATTGACCTATCTAAGATGACAAAACTTTTCTAGCACAGTGATGTACAGTTTAAGCAACATTATCCATATGAGCCAGTTCTCTTCATCATTAATTGTCTACCGTGATATCTTGAGACAGATCTTGGTTGGCTGCTCTTGGGGAGGACAGCGTTGTTGAAGCCTTGGATGAAAAGGATTCCTACAAAGTACAAACAGAACATAGAATTTAAAGAAAGCAACAAAACTTTTAAGTTTGTAATACATGTTTCAACAGAAATTTCTGTCGTCTTCAGTTAATTAATGTACAAAGCTTGGAAGCTGAATTAATCTTATATAGCAAGTAGAACAATGCTTATTATGATAAATAGTGACAAGAAGAAAACAGGTAAAGCATGAAAGTGTGAGAATTAAAAGGATAGTTTCAGATTTACATGGTGTAATTGTTGATTCAAGGATGGTTGTTCTCTTTGAATATGAATAGCTTCCTTTATCTTAAGTTGAAAACCAGTAAAGGCGTGATCTAAAACATGGAAGATATCTGCTGAACACAAAGTGCGACAATGTGCACAATCTTGCAGATGCTTGAAAGCATGAGAGGACCTGTCATTGACTAAGATATCTCTAACACCTGTGGAAAAATGCTGGTATGTTTCACCGACCTAACAGGCATTACAGCCAGCAAATACGAACTTATAAACCACACATGAACAAGGCCTGTCAGGGACAGGGTCTTTCACACCAAACAAGTTGCCAATCTTGAAGGAAGGGAAACCAGCTTAATGTCTAGTAATTAAGTCATTGCAATATAGCACTTAATAAGATGGCGAATCTTTTTTTGAGTGATAGCAGAAAAATGGCCTGTGCATGTACATCTAATTATGCACATATGAATTATTCTCAGATTCAAATGAGTACATTTCATAAATGTAAATTGTCCATGACAGTCAATCATTTATGGAAAGACAGAATTGAAGTGTATGCTATCATATCACATCATACTGAATATTTGTAAAACGGTAAAAACCCCAAATTATCTGAGTGTGTTTCTACATGTACATATAGTTACCTGTTGTGATATACTACCACTGTTGACTGAGCTTGGAACCTAAAATAATGAACATCATACATTACGATGAACTTTTTTCTGTAAGTTTTATCACATTAAAATCATTTTCAATTGCCTTTGATAAAAACTTTCTCCAGTTACAAATTAACAAAAAGTCAGCTTTTCATTTCCATAACAGCACCCTAAAATTTTTATAATATCAAAGTTCATGAAGAAAATAACACACTAAAAGAAGGTGTGCCAAAAACTTCAAACCACTGCTACAGTAAAATTAGACACTAACAAACCATTATAAAAGATGTCAAGATGATTTAAATTTGCTTCTCAGAGATGAGTGCAAACTTAGAGATTTACTTTCAGTGGCAGTGATGATTATAAAGAAAACTTTTGTTGTATAGAATAGATACTAATGGTAGTTTATCCTTGATTCCACCCTGACAAAAAACAAGATCAGACTTACACTTACCCCAGTGGTACTTGAAACTGTTTCATGGTGCAGTGAAACAGATACCTCTGCCTCTGATTCTTCCAAACTGCTGAACTCTGTTATTAACTCACCCTGACAAAGAATCAAATTCATATGCATGTTCACCATTTAACTTCCAGATCAAATTTGTAATTCTCCTAACTGTCAACCATACAATTCTTATAATGTTAGTTAAGAGAATTTAATATTGGATCAACTAATTATCCCCAAATTGATATTTTTCTCTATTCTCATTACTTTTCTGGTTGATATTGTATTGTTATTGTAAGGAGAAATTCTGTCTTGGTCACTCATGGGAGTTAAAGTGTTAAGGCATGTTTTCCAAGTTGTAAACTGCCTTCAAACACTGATGTCCATGTATAGTTAAAAACAGTGTTAAACAGTTTACTCTTTAGTAAGTTGGGATGATTTTCATTCTATACTTACAAAAATTACCTACAGTAACAGTAAATGACCTGCATTTTGCTAAACAATTGCATCCATTATAATCAAGAAAAGTTAAAGGTTAACAATTTTAATTTGGTAGCCTGACACAAAGTGAGCCTTTGTCCATCAGTAATCACTGTTTCTCTGCCAGTAAACAGCTCAGTTCTGCAAGGTAAGCATGTACACCAAATTCCCCTCCTAGTGTATCTTTTGAATTAGTTTAAAAAAAAAACACTAATTGTTTTCACAGTGTTCAAACCTACTAAATATCCCTTTTTCCCAAACTTGTTGAGATGCTTTCATTGACATTGTATGAAGCTGTTACAGTAATGAAACTTAATCAAAGCACAAAGAGCTATTAAGTTAAAGAAGGTCATCTGTCATCTTTCATCAATCCTTGAAAACAATAGCTACTTATAAATTCACGTAAAAAGAATGCCTTATTTGATGGCATTTACACAATTTCTATTATTTATTTTAATAAAATTAATTACATTTGGAACAACTGAATCCTCTTCATCCGGTTCATTATCCTCTGAGGTTTCCCCTGGTACACAAAATTTTTTTCATTAAGATTTAATATAAATAACCATAGGATGGTTTGACAATTTTCACACTCTTTTCTATTTTACAATAATAAGACATAGACTATTTTGTTTGGGACCATTAACACATAGGGTCCTTCACACCCCCGATCATGGACTTTAGCTTCTTTAATTTGCAAAATGGAAACACTCTCCATTAATTTTTCCTGATTTTATCAATATTGTGTAACTAGGAGAATGAACTCAATTATTATCTAATCTAGTGTAATGCCTCAAAAAAATGCTATACCAGAATGTTTATAAATTCTATCAAATTCTCAATCCAAACTTTAATTTTCTACATGTCATCTTTTAGCAATCAATTTCTGGCAGAGAGAGGACCTAGATTATAACAATACCTGCATCCCACATTGCAACAGATGGAGCACTGTGCATAAGGTCAATGATATCTTGGTAATTACACAAGCGAGCAAACTCCTCAGCTGTTGATGAAAACAAAAGATAGTGTATACATGAACACCTCAATTTGGTTCTAGTGCCACTATCAGTGCTTCCACACCATTTGTTGACCCAGTTATTCAACAGTGGATAAGTTTTAGCTAAACATACTGTGCTATCCACAAGATAGACATCCATCTACTGGATAGCATTCCTCATCCTTCTGACAAACAGAGTCAGAATATTCTTTTGCTAGACACACTGCATATTTGTAAATGTGAACCCTACGTTTGTATTTTGTAATTGGCAGCCCTTAAATCTTACAACTGTCTCCTTCTGTCAAGTTTTACAGAAAATGTCTTTCCTATTACCCATCTCTTCAAAAAGAGCAGGAAAAAATAAATCCAGAGATGGTGGGGAAGGCTATTAAAAGAAATTGAGGTATTTAAATGCTGTTCACATATAAATGATGAATTTTTGCCCTACATACCTGTATGACCATTACTGTCAGTCAGTTGTGGATTAGCACCCCTTTTTAGTAACATCTCTACAGTAATGGAAAGCCCCAGAAGTGATGCATACATAAGTGCTGTCCTATAAATTACAATGACAGAGGTACATGAGGCACAAAGAGGATTAACCAAACAACTACTCTTCAAACCAGCATGCACCAAAAGCAAGTTTAAGGTTTTTTCTGACTTACTTTTTAGAATTGTCTGCTATGTTAACCTTTGCTCCTCTGTCAAGTAATAACTTGACAACATCTTCATGTGCACCTTGTATAGCCATCAATAAAGGAGTTCTTCCATCCTGGAAAAAAAATATGTAAATTACCTCTCATACATTGGATAACTCAAAAAAAGCATCTTTTCTATACAAGTGTTGCATAATTAACTGAAGGAACCATATGTTAGGGTACTACATGCAGAAGTACTCTAGAACACATTTCTGACTTTTTGTAAGATGCTTTTAAATACTATAAAAGGTAGTTGAGCTAAATAGTTTACAATCTTACATTTCAGTGAGTAATTCAGCATTCCATTCATGATGTCCTTATTAATAAATTAACTGCATGAACAAAAGTTACCTTGTCTTTGCCATTAAGAGAAGCTTTGTTGTTAAGAAGAAGTTCAACACATTCTTTATGACCTTTGGCAGCTGTATTTAGCGTTGTAAATGAAATGAACATCAGTGACAGAAAATAATTGAAACAAATTCTTAGGCGCAAAAACACCAGAAAATAATAAGTTATCCAACATCAATGATGCTTTGCTCATGCAACAGATTGGCTTTGATAAAAAGAATAAACATTACAACTTGCCCGCATGGTGAAGTGCTGTCATTTTTTTACCATCCTGAGTTCCAACATGGACCTTGTGTTCTAAGATTTTCTTTGCACATTCTGTGTTCCCAGAATATGCAGCCACATGAAGAGGACTGCAGCCTGAAAGAAAAATATTTCAAGAAATAAGGAGATACAGTGGTACCTAAAGAACACCTCTGTCAGTGCTTTATCAACTTGAACATCATTCATTGATTAATATTACATGAAGTATTTTAATTGAAAATATAATACTTATTTAAAACTGAGTGTCAACTTTTAACATACGGTCAAAAATTAATCGCCTTCAAGAGACTATAAATTTTACAGCTACATACTAGTTGTTGAGAATCACTTCACTTTTACAGTATTTTCATGTAATAGCACAACTCCAAAATCAATTCCTAAGCAAAGTACATTAACTGCATTTTAGAACTGCAATTAAGCTAAGAAACTTCTGATGTGGATAACACCTATACACAAAGACTTGCTTTTAAACCACAAACACTGTTTGATTATCCTCCTTTTATCAAAGCTGTTGTAATCACTTAATACCTTGCATTCAATACCAAATTTAAAAAAAGGATCAATCAACGAATTACATGTAACATAGTGACTGCGAAGGTATTTTTATCAGATACACATAAATAGTAGCTTTATAAAGGACTCACCTGCTTTGTTCACAAATGATAGGTCTGGTTGTTCTCCCAGTAACACCTCCAAACACTCAACATTTCCTTTCTCACATGCTGTGTGAAGACTAAGAAAAAGTGAAAAACAAATTACTTTGTTCATCAGGACATGCTCTTGATGTATGAAGAGCCCACACTCATAAAATAAGGCCCAATTAGCCTTTCATATATAGCTCTTCTACTAACTGACAGATGTAAGATATGAATATAGAGAACCTTATAATTTAAAGTCAATTATTTCCTATAGTTACTTAGCATTTTTCAAACATGAGATCTCTGTCATCAGGGTAGGAGAGCTTATACTTTGAGAGATTACAAGGGATGGAGGGGTGATACAAAAATTTGCCTTACTCTGTCAGGCTCATGTTCGATTCATGAACTCGCCAAGGTGACTGAGTTTGTTGTTGTTTTTTATTGGTACCCAAAGGGATTTTTTGTGCATTCTCCAATTTCCCTCCCTACAACACTTTACTTTTCCATTTAGCCAGGAATCAATCGATGAAGAATTACCCTAAGGGTGTCCTGTTGCTAAACTGTTTTAAATAACTTTGTTGTTACTTTTTCATATGTTCTTCACTACTGTTAATATGTAGTTTACTATAATTTTGTTTTGTTTCTTTATGATTTCTCACTGCACAAATTCTTTGTAAACCAATAGTCCTCATCTTAACTAGTTAATGTACATGTAACAATTACCCCAAGCTAATTAATATAAAGGTTGGTAAGAGATTTCCTTACGCTGTTGTCCCATTTGGTCCCAACTTTATCGCTGACGTCCCCTTTTTTGCAAGAGTAGTCCTAACAAAGAGGAAATATACTATACTCATTAATAAAATAATTTTTTGTTGGAGTGGTAGTTGGAGTTCCAGTATATTCTTTAAAAGAAATTGAAAATCATTATCATGATGAAATCTAACAAAGGCACCTTCTCTAAGAACAATGACAGCCATAAAGGTGGCCTAAAAAATTTTACGGCCTTCCATAGGATTGAAGCCCTTTAAGGGTGATATTTTCACTGCCCTCCTGTTTGTATAGGAGTAGTTATTTACTGTATCATTTTTTTTTTTTAACGAGAATCAATACAAAGACTTAGAGTAGAATGTGTTTCTCAAAAGATTAGCCTTATGCATCAGAGTATTTAATCATTCCCAGACTGATAATTTGAAGTAAAAAAAATTGATAAAATTTTAAACTTGCTCGCTGATTATTCATCACAAGAGTGAAGCAAAGGAGATAACATTTGAGTCCAAAGGACTCAGATTTGTCATTTTTTCCTTGTGCCTGTGAGGAACAAGGAACATTTTCTTTATCTATTTAATATACACTCATCACTTCAACATTGCTGATACTCACAGTTTTCAGGACACTTGTCACTTATGAACCCAATATAAAACTTAATGAGTTCCCTGAATCTCAGAGGTATAGAGCAATTATACCATTATATCTGAAATTTTGAGGTTTCATACAAAGTGGGGGACTTATATGTTTTTTTCATTTCATACTTCACTTCTTTCTTTACCTCACTTATGCAATTCAAATTTTAATGTCTACATTATAGTTTTGTGTGATGGGGTTCACCATCAACAAGATTGACCTTTCTGTCTTGGGAACATAATTAACTGTTGTTAGAACAGTTAATTACTTTTGTTGCTGAATTACCCAGTGTTCTGTGTCTTTTCTAATTGACCTTCACACTACCCTAATCACAGGTGACATATACATTTATGAATACAAATCGTATATTTTTTTAATTGAACCTACCTGAGTTTTTCCACATCTCCATTCACCACACATTCAATGAGCCGTTCATCATATTTAGTCCAAGTATCATCTTCACTAGGTGGATTTACTTGAAGTTGAGTCTGCATAGTTAACAAAATACTTATTTTGGATTAACAAAAAACCAGTCAGAGAATGAATGGATGTCAAAGTCATGTCCTCAATAAAACATGTTTTCTACATGTTTAAAAAGAAATTATGAGGACCAGGTTCATAAATAAATTAATACATCAGTAAATTAATATCCTGCTTCATTTACTAATTAAAAATTAATACTTTAAGTATTTACCAAACAGGTGAAGAGTGCTCTCCACACACAGTGACTGGCTGATTAGGAAGTGATTAGCAAGTACTGTTCACCTCAGAGAAGCAAGGAGATAAATTGTTTGTCAAGAGCTTACTTTCCACAAATTTTTCAGTACATTGACAGAAATAAACCTATGTTTTGGTTCTTGTATGGTCTTGTAATACTTATCCTAAAACAATTATTCACTTTAATGTCTGTGAAAAGCAGTGGATATTTGCTTTTCTGCTTTGTGGCTCTATAAGATCCACTTAACTCTATAAAATCCACCTCCACCTCAGCAAATAATTGTTATACACCACACAAGTGGATGGTGCTTTCCTCATGCACTGATGGGCTAGTTTGGAAGTGATAAGCAATTAGAACTTGTCACATCCACACAATGGAGGAGACAAGTTTTCAGTGTATTGACAGAAATAAACTAATTTCATGGTTTCTGTGTGGTACATACTACGACGATTATTCACCTCTATACCGGTGAATAATTGTTGACCAGTCACTTTTGAGTAAGCTCAAGTGGATAATGCCAAGAACTGAACGTTTTCTAAAGAAATATCGGTTGTAATTGCTCATTCAAGGCAATAACCTACAAAAGTGGAGCAACCAACATCTAGAATAATAGCGATATTGCTTTATACTAAATGTAGGATAGTTTTATAGCCTTCGACAAATTTTGAGTTGACATGTACCACTTACGTTTTTTTTTGGCGGAAATAGATATTGTACGTAAACTGTAGACTGTCAAACTTTCCAAAACAATCTGAGACAATCACTACAGCACCTTCTACTTCTGTGCACACACGCATGTACAATATAATGCCTTAATCTCAAATTAGAGTCAAACTGTAGTAAATAAACTGAGCTCGTGTTGTTTACAAACTTTTGTCTTGAAACAATCACCGGCCTGAAGATACACTTGATACCTACTATAAGGTCGCTTTCGAGTTGATTTTCCTACTAAGGTATGATTGTGCAAATCATACCCACCTGTGAGGTGCGCTTCACCAGCTTCCCCTTAATCTTCTTCATTCCAAACTAGATCTTTTTCCCAATAACGGCGGCAGTAGCTTGACTTCTAATCCATCTTTCCAGCTGGGAGGTCGCCTTGATGCGATCATCCGTGAGGCTTCCAATATATTTGATAGTTTTGTTTGCATATGTTCAATATTTTGATCTCTAAAAATAATTTCCTTCACATCAGAAAGGCTCAGTTAGGAGAAATAAACCACTCAAAATGCTTTTCTAGACCATCCTTTCGTAAGATGCGGCACGAGATTGCTTGTTCCTTACGCTTCTTTACGCATCATGCCATAGCCTGTATTGGAATCCAGGAACCAAGCAACGTCGTTCCCAGGGAGGCTCGTCCTCAGAATTAGGAAACAAGGAAACCTGGGGACGAAGGTGGATCGAAAATCCACCATTTCGTTTGAGTTTCCGCTTTTCTTACTGTTTTGGTTTTTGTTCCGTTAGATATGGATGAGAAATCGAGAATGGAGTGCCCCAGTCTTCCTAACGGCTGGCAGCGCGAAATTGTGATGAGGAAGTCAGGTTTGTCAGCCGGGAGAAGCGACGTTTATTATTACAGGTACATGTACATGGGAACGTGTTAATTTGTTTGAGAAGATTTCCTTCACGTTTTGATTTCTTGTATCACTCTTCTTCAATTGGAAAGTGCCATATAATGCCTTGAAGTCCTTATTTAAAGGGAGTTTTACCATTTTCCGGGGAGGCAAGACGCGGTCTAAGCGATCCTAAGATTTTAACTGTAACATACACTTAAAAATTCTGTGCACTGGTGACAAAAGACGTGGAGACCTTCACATGTGTCGACGAAACGAATTATCCGTTTTAGTTGGTAAACATGTGCACAGTTTTTTCAATCCACACAATTCTGGTGATCCTTCACCCGAGTGTTAAGTTTTAAAGAAAAATACAAACTGTGGGACTTGCTGTATGAGAGAAACGGAGAGTCAGTGATGTCATGCAGTATTATAACTTATGTAATAATAGCAAACAAACAATAAGTGGATAAATTTTTTTAGCTGGCAAACATATTCAAGAAAAAAAACAGCACATAATTGTTAATTTAGAGAGATACACAAATATGATCATTTACTGAAATTTTAATAGATGTGTCATTCACATTTGGATAAATATGAACTATCAAGTCTCAGGCCAAATCCTTGCTATGCAGGATACATTTTGAAATTACATTGAAGTTTAGGCCACAATACATTGATCATGGGGGGGTGGCATGAGGGCCTGATGGCTATTGTGCGGAAGTCTGGGTCTAGGGTAAGAGATCCTTGTTTGAGACCTGGTCATGCCATAGTGTGGCAAAACACTTTCCTCTCACAGTACCTCTCTCCACCCAGGAGTATAAATGGGTACCTGCAAATTTTCAGGGAAGCCTAAGCAGATGCTGGGGGATAACTTTGCAATGGACTGGCATCCCAACTAGAGAAGAGTAGTATTAATGTGAACTATACCAGGATAAGCTCTGGCTTTTTGGGCTACTTGACTTTAGTACAGAGTTTACCCTACCTACAATAATCTCAGACCATGGAAGAAGTTGTTGAATGCCCCCATGAGTACATGCATAATATGGGCTTAATTGAGAGCGTCTACTCTTTCTTTCTTCTTTGAATGGACTTAAAGAAGAGAAGACCTCAAAATATAGAATTCCTACCAGCAGAAGGAAACACTTTTTGTTTGTGATCTAATAATGAGATAAAATAATTGTTGAACATAGAGACTGACCACAAAGCTTTAACATGAATGGAATATTTCCACTTCACTTTGCAGAGGTCATGCTGTTTAAGTAGTGTTCATTACCATGATGATCACTTCGATAATCGGACAAGTTCCTGTTGGAGTCTTGAAAATTTCTCAGCTGTGCCTCATGTGCTCCCCTTTTTTTGTTCTCACCACATTTTTTGTCATATGTGATCTATTGCAGAACAGATGCACAACAATATGGAATCTTTTGGTCTAGAAGATGTGATAATATTACAAAGACATAAATGTGTAACATTTTTCTACTTTTCTTTGAGCAGTCCAGATGGTAAGAAAATCCGTTCCAAGCCTCAGCTAGAACAACACCTTCCAGAATTGGACCTTGGAAATTTTGACTTTAGAAGTGGTACTTTCAATAGGCGAAGTAAGAGGAGACAAGGAGAAAGAGATCAAAGCTTTGGCAGAGATTTGAATCGAGGGATAATTCCTGCTCCTGTGCGTCAATATGCCAAATCATTTTCAGGGGAACATGTTACATATTACCCTTCTATGGCAGTGGCTCCTCCAAAAGAGAAGAAACGTAAACACGAGGCATTAAATGCAAGAACTGACAAAGATAAACCAAAGCAGCTGTTTTGGGAAAAACGTCTACAAGGGATTTCAGTTACTTCATTGGAACAGGATGTGCTCAAGTGTTTTCGCTTGCCAGATCAAATAAAGAGTGTAGGCCCTGGAATAAGCCAAAAGAACTTAATTCATTCTTTAGTGACAAATTTGCATAACAAAGCAAGTGTAAAAGGGCAAGACAGATCTGCTATAGCTCTGGAAAAGCACCCAGAGGTCTGGCTAAATGCTGAGCAACCTCTGTGTACTCCCTTTACTATCACAGAGGCAGATGTCAAGAAACAAGAAGAAAAGGTGTCCACATTACGAAGGCAGTTATATGAGGCCTTAGTTGAATATGAGCATTTAAAGAGGGATCCACCACCAAAGTAAACTGCTTTGTGAAGCAGCAACTCAACTGAAAACTTGCTAAGGAACAGCTGTATGCACATTACAGTCATAGAATGTGTGAATTATGTCTTCAGCATCAATGTGATGTGTTCCTAATAGAAGAGAACAAGGTTTATGGGAAACAAAGGTGCCAAAACTTAATAATATAATTTTCCCTGGACAGTGTGAAAGACATGACTGAACAAGCTTTTTAGAGGCAATGTGACAATTTAGAGTTTTTCAAATGATCTCTCTGAATGGCCTGAACACATTGAGCAACTTGTTTGTCTATCTTATTGAATGACATATATTTTTCCATTTGCAAAGAAAAAAACTTAAACCAAATAAAAAAGTAGACTGATGTCTTCTTAAGTAGAAACCTCTATTTTTCTATCCTGGCTGGTCCTAAGCCTTTTCCAGGCATTCTGTTTGTAGAACAAAGTACTATAATAAACTGCAAGATGGTAGTAGGAGAGTGAGAAAACCAGAGAGGTTTGGGTCAGGGTGGATTATGAGCTTTCTTTATGTGACAAGACCCAAACTTCCCTTGCTGTTTTACTCTGCCACTAATATACTGCTGTTTAGTATTTCTCCCCATTTTAGTAACTGAGTCCCTGAAGTAGGCTAGCTGGTCCTAGGTTTACCCTGCTATTTCTAGCAATCTCATTTGTGGTAAAGATAATTTTAAAAAGTGAAATTTAGTTTAAAGGGTATTTTATCTGTTTTTAGACAAAGGAGTTGTCTGTGCTTTGCAGTAACATGCAGTGTGGTTTACATAACTGCAGTCAGTTATGTAGTTTACCACTTATGGAAAGATGTACATTATTCATGGTTGCTATAGCCAAGGTGTTTGAGATTCCCTTGCATGCAGAGTAGGCATGATCTGTTTGCATTTTTCATGCAAACAGAGGCCAGTGCCAGTGTAGGAGCACCTCACTCACTTTGGGCTTGCCTCATGATACCATGGTTCACCTGAAAAACACAAAAATTTCTGCCTGTTCTGCAAGCTAGAAATTCTCCCAACTTTTCCCCTACAAATGTCAAATTCCTGTTATTATGTCCAACCACCAATCGCAGCCATCCCCTCCACCCATTCATTCATCCTATTAACCAGTTAAATGCAGTGTACATGAATTGATAGTTCCTCAACATAACATGGAAAAAGGATTCTTGTTCTTGGAAACACAACATCAGCTTGTCACTCGATTTCTTAAAAAATATCCTACCAATCCTACATGTCTTATGTCCATAGAAAGTACCACACAAACAATGAAAAAGGAGAAAAAGTAAGTGTACAGTCTCATTCACAAACCAACCTGAACTTGCCTTACAAGGGGAAGTAACATGCTTTCCAGGCAAGCTAGGAACTACTAAACAAGTTGTTTATGAGAAACATTGATTTCACAGAAACTGTAAGTATGAAGAGGGCTGAGACATGACAAATGAGTTCATGTCAACTTGAGATTTCACTTTTCCCTGACTTCTTTCAAAAATGTAAATTTGCCCCAACCCATACTTAAATTTCCTGACTTTTTCCTCATCTGTAGCAACCATGTTATTCATTGGTTTTCTGACATATACATGTAACTCCTCAGTTGTACCAGACAATGTCAGTAGACTTCATTCTCTTCTTTTGCTAACTTTCCATTTCCTTAATACTTAACACAAGTATAAAATGAAGCACAAATTTTATCCTGAACCTCAGAGTTTGCATTTTGTTGAAACCACACTAAAGGCAAAAAGCATTGTATCACTTGACAACTAAGTGTTAAAACTTTTTTACAACCAAAATAGGAAGTACTTGCGCACAAAAGAAGGGCACACACTGGCCAATTAATAGAAGGTAGAAATTCTCCAGCTTTTAATTCAAGTCAAGACAAAAAACTTGTAATTCACCAAGAAGTGACTCCTTTTTTCAATTGTTTTATTTTAAGTTGACATCCACAATTTCAATTCACATTCTCAGAAGATACAAAAGAGCGTGCAAAACCGGATGGCTTTTTCTAGGCTGCCTCATGTCCACCTGTGTGGCCCTACACATGTCAGCTTTAACTGTGGTTTTCTGCGCAAATGGAGCCTGTTATTTGATAATAGGGACAACCTGTTGCAGCCACATACACAAAAAAAACATGGAACTGGAGAGAAGTTTGAATTGAGATGTTGTAATTTCACTGACTTTCCCTAAGAATGAAGAATTTTTCCCCTAAATACTTCCAGACCTGTGGCAACCATTTCAATGTGAACAAGTGCAAATCAACTCAAGTAACATTTAAAACATCCTCATCAGAACAAATTGATGCCAGCCAAAAATAGCATTGTTGTTCCGAGGAATAATATGAAGGATAGAAATTTCAAAATGGAAAAATGGTTTTATTACAATGAAGTAAAAAATGTACATCTTAAGCACCATCATGAATATAAAAAAAACCCTTCAAAATCTGGTTAAATGGAGGTTCCGGTACACTCTAAACTTTTTATGAACATGATAAACTTCTCTCCAATTGTTTCCAATAAAAAGCAACTAAAACAGAAAGCAATAATTTATAACATAAGTCAAAATCTTTAAGAGAGTGTTTTGGCATTGTCTATTTGGCATCCACTCTGCAGCCAGCGTGATTTGGAATGAAGTCACATATTGGTGTATCTGGCAGTGTGATGTCATCAATATGAACGAAGCCTGAAAGTAAAAGAAAAATATACTTAAAAAAAACTAAATTAGAAGTAATACGGTTCTTTCTCAGCTGAAGTTATGATTTTACAAAGTGGGAAAGATGGAGACTCTAACCTGCTTCTTTTATGAATGTGGTTCCTGCAATAGTATTAGTCCATAGAAGCACTGAATTTTAGCCAACAATAATAAGATCACCTTTTGGTTACCACCACTTCTGGTGGCCACATGGGGTTACACATTTAGCTACTCCCTGTTTCTGGTAGGTAAATTATTGATCAATACTGATTGAAATGTTTAGACTTCTTCTTTTGTCAAGGCACAGAATTTAACTCTAAATAAGGAAAATGCTTAAATGCTCATTCATCAGTAGTGGCCTCCTTTGATCTTTTTCAAGGTATCATTGTAGCAAAATAGCTTTATTCACAGCTATGTATGGTTTTACACAAAGTAACAAAATCTACAGAATAAAAACCAATTTCAATAAGAAATTTGATCCTCTTCTACAGACCCCTTCTTAATAAACCTCAACAAAGCAAAGGTCATACTGCAATAGTCAAACTCACCATCATCCATACTGCTGAGAAAGTGGGGTCTAATGCCTTTATCAGGTGAAACTTTATTTCTCGACTTAGTATCATCTAGATAGCTTCCCCCTTGCTCAGTATGTTGTGAATGTGATGTATGCATTTCCTGACAGTCACCACAGTGCATTTGCTGCTCTCTATCTTGCTCTACTGGTTTCTGCGAGTGGTACCCACCCTGGCCTTGTTGCTTCTCGTCAGCTTGACTATAATTATCATGAGACATGTCACTTATTGAAAATGTTGCACTGGGATTGTTAGACAAATTCCTAACATCTTCACTTGTTTTGTTTGGTTGTACAGTGATCCATGGCTGTTTCTGAGGGGCTGCAACAAAATTTAAATGGGATGATCTACACAGTTTTGAGTGTCTTCTGTCCCTCTGTACATTCTTGTTCTTGGCATCTTTTAAGTTTTTAGTGTGAAGGTCAGGATCATCTTTGAAATCCCATTCATCAGACATTTCTTGCTCTGTATTCTTAATCTCCCTTGGAAGACTTTCAATCTACAAGGTATGAATCAAATCAGGCAATGTTTCATAAATACAATGACAGATATTAAGATTAGTTCAAATAACAACTTTTCACACAACAGGTCAACTTTACTCTTGACTATCAAATTATTGACAAGTTAGCCTGATTGTCTCCAAAAGCATTTTAAGCACCTACACACTAGTTTCAATTTCTTTATGCCTTAAAAATGTCCATAGATAATCTTATTATCATGATGGTTTTCCCTCAAATGAAAAGTTCTGGCCCCAGCATGTCAGTTTCCAATTTTCTCTGAAGAAATCAACCATCATAATCAAGGCTATTGTTGAATGGTGTCATAGACTCAACATAGTTTGAAAGAGGGTAAGTCAGTATTATCAACTGAGTTGATAGTGTAAATTGACCACCATAAAGCAATAAAAAGCTGATGTTTCAAGTGTTAGCCCTTCATCAGCCCTTCACTCTAACAAAGGGCTAACACTTGAAACATTAGCTTTTTAACTCTTTATGGTTGATAATACTAAATTACCCTGTTATACTCTCCCACTTATGCAGCACCATAGCTTCTTCAGACACTTACCCCCTTTATAGTTTATAAGAGTTTTACCATAGCAATGATCCTGATCATCAGATTTACCCATATAAAGGCATAATTAAGGGCATGATGATATAAATTATTGTAAAGTGAACTGTAAATTTAATGAAAATGGTGACACCACAAAGTGACATAATACATTTCCTTACATCCTTAGGCTGTGTCCTTGCATTCATACTAGTTAAGGAGATCTCTGAGTCATCTGTTACGTCCCACATGTCTGAGTCATCATCACCAATCTGTTCTGCTATATTCTTCTTCTAAAAGACAACAAAACTGACAATGTCTCTCTAAAGCCTATTTTCCCAAAGGATTTTCAAATCAGTTGTCTCTACAGTGTTCAAATTAGAGGTTAGTGACTGCAAGGGCCTGTAAGGAAAGGTTTGTATAAGTGGTGAGAGGAGATGATGGAGGAGTGATTTTTACATTTATTACACCAGGTTATCACTAACTGCAATTTGCTCCTTTAAAAAGAAAAATTGGCTAATGGTTTTACTTACCCTAGTAACTGATGTTTAAAGAGTTAGTAAGAGTGTGGCTTGGGATGGACTGTTTCCAGTCCTCTGTTTGTTCACATTTATCTCTGATTTTTTCCCATACTAAACAACTTTGAGTGACAGCTGGTTGTCAATGAAAAGTGAGATCAAGATTGTAAGACCTTACCCCCTCTATCTACTCAAAGTAAAGTTAAATCAGCTGATCTGACATAGTCTGGGTGTGATTTGCAAGATCCTTTCCTCAATAACTTGACTGTGAACAAAGCCAGTTTATTTCAATTGGTAAAATGTGCCAAAATAAAAAAATTACTGTAGTAGAATCTGTAGGTCAGAAAATATCTAGTCCAAGATATACTTTATTCTGTTTCAAGGCAAACCAGACATGCTCACCACTTTATCAAGAACTTTAGGCAAAGAACTGTCCTCAAATTCCCATTCATCTGAATCTTCATCATCATTAGCTTTCTTAGCTTTCTTCATACTGTTCTTGATCTACAAATAATGGCAAAAACTAACTCCCATGAGTGATCAAGATGATCGAGACAGAATTTCTCCTTACAGTACAATATCAAGCAGACAAGTAATGAGAATAAAGAAAAATATCAATTAAGGGAGTATTAGGTGATCCAATACCAAATTTTCCAAACTAACATCATGAGGATTGTATATCAGACAGTAAGGTGAATTAGTAATGAGATCTTGGGAATAAAAGGCCTAAAAAAGTTGTTGCTTCCATTTGTCTGCTACAAACTTTGTGTATTACCTTACTTTCATGAAAACCACTTCTCTTGCCATCTTTAATTCCTGTGAGTCTCACATCACTTCTGTACAGTCTTGGACATTTATTTTTATAAAAATTGTCAATTTCTGTAATAATAAAATTAATTGCAAGAGAGTTTTTTTTCACTGTGTCAAGTGAGAAAATTATTACATAAAAAAAAGAAATAAATTATCACATAATTATAAAATCTAACTTCTGTGTAATAAAGACAACAAAACTTGTGAGAGACTAAATTAAAATAGAAATAACTTGTTGGTAAAAGTTATCTAAAAATCATAGATGCTGATAACCAGCTGATAAGCTTTCCCTGAGTGTTTGCAATAGGACTTCAATTCCATGAATATGTAGCACACTGTTTAACTGGACTACAGGTCTCTGGAGCACAGAGCAGTTCATTCTCATACTTAGATTTGTTATAGATAAGGGTTTTATTCAGAGGTTTCATAACATTTTAAAGTGTTGCAAGCTAACTCCTGAATTACTGTTATGGTGATTTTGTAATAAAGGATTAGAAGGGAAAATTTATCACTTTCTCTTCCTGAAATTTATTATCTCTGGTAAATGTGAGAAAAAATCATCACAAACAAACAAAAAACAGTGATTTTGTACTGAGATCCTCTAAATGAATGAGTGCCTTTCCCTCATTAAATAGTCCTTGCAAATAACCCTTTCAATCCCAGATCTCATTGGTGATTCTCCTTACTGTCTGCCAAACAGTTATTATGATGTTAGTTCTTAGAATTTGGTGTTTGATCAACAAATAATCTCCTAATTGATATTTTTCGTTATTCCTATCACTAGTTTGCTTGACATTCTATTGATACTTCAGGAAAAAATTCTGTCTTGTGCAATCATGAGAGAAAAAGGCTTAAAATTTAAAACTTATTTAGCACCTGGGGTAATAAATCCAGAGTCAGCTGTAAGTACATGACATCACATTTCTGTATAATATTATAAATGGCCTTGGACTTGCATGGTAACAGCCTACACATACGGCTCGCAAGTAAGATCAGTAAAAGGATGAAAGCAAATAGCTAATTTGCAGAAAGCAAAAAGATTAGTTACAACCTCCTTTCTGTTGAACTACTGGCACTCAGTGCCTCTTTTATGTTTTGTTCAATCAAAATTTGAAACTATCTATGTATAAAAATTAGAATATTGTTATTTGCAATATAAACTGCATTAAATAATTTTTGCCTAGATTCTGTTTTTTTATGTGAATAACACCTCCACTAATATGAATCTATGTTTGTAATTTATTCCTGATTAATAATTTATTGTCTCTGTATTTCATAAGTGTTTGTAATTTATTAATGAAGCATTGTTTGGTGTATCTGTTGAATACTTTTGTTGTAATAGTCTAGTGTTTAATGTATGTAGGATATTTATTTAATTTAATAGAAAGAACTGAAAATGATTACCTTTCTGATATGCAGGATGAATGAGAATATAATCCCCAGAGTATTTTCCACTTAAAACGATTTTGCCATTTTTAACAGCATCCTCAATTAATGAAGAATTAAAAATGGTTAGCTCTTCATTGTGTGAATCGAAAATCCTGCAAAATGAAGAAAGCTTTTCAGGTGATTAATCTATAAACCTAAAACAAATAGCACCAAAACAAGCTAAATAAAAGACTCAGCACCAAAGGTTCTTATCGACTTAAATTCGAGCAAGTCAAATTTCAGTATTCCTAAAAGACGGCGGACATTTGAGGAGGAGAAGAAGATGGAGAAAAATAGAGAGAATTCGTCGCTGCACTAGGCGCCAAGAGGGTCCATGGGCAACGGTGAGTAATTAAGTAAGTAAAGAAACTTTGTTTTTAAACGCACCTTAACGTATCTTTTGCAGAGGCATTGCTGCTGAAAATGTAGTCTACATCACTGAACTCTTTCCCGACAAGTCCCCCACTTTTCACTGGAAATCAAGTAAACATAAACATGGAATAAAAAAACCGCCAAGTTGACGTGCATCACCATAAATAAACATACATAACGCGACGTACCCCATCGAGACTTCAAACTTGCAGGTACACTCGTAGAAAACCAAGCAGTCAATCCTTCGAATACCTGAGTTTCGTCAAACATAATTCTCGCACATGGCTAAGTTAAGACCTTGACTAATCATCCTTCATCTGTAAACTAAAATAAACGATCACGAAATTCTGCGTATTTAGAGGTAAGTATGTAGTGTAAGCAGAACGGTCATGTCCCCATCCCATAATGACGTAAGTCCCACTAGGCCCTGATTCACAGAACGCAGTGCACTTTCGAAGATCATCTCTTTGCATGATTTTCATCCACAGATAACATGAAATTTATTTCATTACAAGAGGAAAAGACTTATTTTGTTCCTGTGGAAAGAAAGAGTTCATCTATTGCCGTTACTAACCCTTTTCTGATTCTATACGTGTGATCTCAGCAGTTTGTCGAAGTTTGTTCCTAAAACTCGTTTCAGTGCTACATGACTTTAAGACATTGATAGACTGAATCAATGAAACTCAAGATGGAGCTCAATATTTTCGACAAGCAACTATTTTTATAACACAATAATGTGTATAACTGCCTGATTTTCGATGAAAAAGAACTAGTCCTGGCAGTCAACACACTGTTACCCCATTCACACCAGCTAAACATGTTTAGTTAAACAGGGCTAACTGAATAAAAATCAGGTTTTATCAACTGAGTTGATAACGTGAATTGGCCACCGTTAAGAGTTAAAAAGCTAACATTAAAAGCGTTAGCCCTTTGTCAGAGCAAATGGAATTCCATAAATGTGTAGGCGTTCAGAATCCTGTCGATGATGAATGTTACCTAACAATCGTATTTCCATAAAATTGACAGTGTATTTTATTACTTTCTGTTTAACTATCAATACATTTGTTTATTTATCTATTTTTGCGTAAGCTATGGAAATATAGTTAAACTTGTACGAAAAGATGTTTGAAAACGTTTGCATGTTTCACGTCCACACATAAGTTATACCTTTGTGATGTACTATAGTCACTTGTTCCTCCACGTGAGGTAACTGATCAATCCACTCGGAGGCACAAAAAATCAATTAAACGTCGCATAAGATAATTGGTTTTAAATAAACTGAAGAGCTGCAATCTTGGAGAACTACGTCGCACAGTTCAGTTGACTTCACAGGCGTTATTGTTCGCGACTACCATCGGGCGGTTGTTGTCACCAGGTCGTGGAGAAGTTTTTTACCTCTCAGAATTTCAGGCAGGTTATGATGATGGTAGCTTACACTCATGCAAAAAATAAGCATTTTTTTTATACAGAAATACAGGTTTGTACTGACCTAAGCACAAGGGTCCGACTTTTTATTTCAATCGCTCAGGCTTCAAACAATGAAGTGTTTCGAGAGTTTCCATTAGAATCCTCTATAGACATTCCCTTAAAAATCAATGGCCACACTCTCAACTCTGCACTGCATCTTTCATAGCCAACAGGCACACCTAACACTTTTGATTGTCTAATATTTCGTCCACAAATTCGTATCATAGCCACCAAGATAGGGTTTAATTTCTTCATCGTCGCTTTGATTGTCATCTGTAATGGCACAACTGTCTTGTGTTTCTTCCTTATCTTCACTCAAGTTTATTACAAAAATATTATCGGGTGAACCATCTCAGGCTCCATTTTGTGTAAAACCATGATCAAAAAGACTGATATCGAAACCACGAGGTTCCATCCGTAAACAGAAGAGTACGTGCGAGTAAGTAGAAGGTCAGCCAATAATAATGATGAAACGAAAACAGGCCGCTTACTGATTTAAGTGCAAGACCACTTTTCATTTCCGCCTTCAACTTGAGTGACAATCAATAAAAACCAATCATAGTGATGGAATGGAGGTACGCCCCCTACTGGTCTGGGTGCTGTGAAAGCACTTTCACTTTACAGTTACGCTTCCATTTAACGATGGAGGAGGAATTTTTCTCCGCAGAAGAACCCGAATTGGGTGGCCACGATTTTGTGTTTGTAGATGAGTTGTCTGTCGGCCAAATTTGCCCAATCTGTCTTTTGGCAATGTGCAATCCCGTACAGACGGTTTGTGGCCATCGCTTTTGCGAAAGCTGTCTATTGGGGACATTTAGGTACTTCCGTTTATTACATCTTTGTAAATAGCTAGCTTCAGTTTAATTTGAAGCCTATTTGTCGAACGCTAGTGTGTATATACACCGCTGACATAAACGAGGGACCAAGAATACTCGGAGGCTGAATATTTCCGTCAAAGATATGCAACTATTTATGCACAAATAACTCACGCTTTGTATTTTTGCACTTCAGGGAAGGAGTTGGCCGGGTTTGTCCTCAAGATAGGACTTCTATTCCTGAAGATGGGGGGGGTGAGTAAATCGATGTTGGAAACGTAGCCTTGAGTACTTTCGTAGCACATATATATTGGCCGTCTTGTTTCGTCGTAGATGACGACCTTAGTCGCGAATTCTTAGAACCACTATCATCTCAGCGTAACGTGAAAACTCCTTAACTTCGAGCTAATGGAAAGTTTGGGTTACAGTATTCAGTAAATTAGTCAGTTCTACCTTCTCCTTACGATCGAGGAATACTAGAGGAGACAAGGTAAGGCAGTAAGCTCTAGAGAAGAGGCTACGGAGAACTGGAGAATATTGGCAGGAGTAAAATAGTAACAAAGTTAAATGCAAGTTGCGGAGACGACGACGTACGTCATGTTTATTCAAGGCCCCCTTTTCTGTCGCCGAAATTAACATGCTTGACTTGCAGCACTCAAATGATTGACACTTCAAGGATTTAATCGACCCAGCATGATAAAAAATTCCAAAGGGCTGTGTCTTTCATGTTTTTAAGACTATACTTAATAACGTCATCGTTTATCCTGCATGTTCCACAGTATTTTCGTGACGTGGCGTGGGAGAGGGATATACTTTCTCTACGAGTCAAATGCAAGAAGAGTGCGAGAGGATGTGATTGGATCGAAATGCTCCGTTACTATGAGGTGATTCACTGTTAGATCAAGGGAAGTTTTATACCATACGAAACATCTGTTAACTTCTTTTGTCCTATCTCAGATCTCATCTCGACGTAGCAAGAAGCACTGTTTAATGGCACGAAATAAGACACTCGATCTAAGACAACTCGATCCACATTATAAACTAGACTTTTACTTCCTTTAGTCAAAGATTTATTTAAAACCAAAAATGTAAAGAATAAAAAAGACACTTCACACCCCGAATCAAGAATGGCAGATATTGAGTTATTTTTTTAATGTGACGAAGAAACGCAAAAAGGGTTCTCTCACCTCAGTATGTCACAGAGTTCAATTGAGGGGTATTTCAGATTGACGTTTCTGATAAGATGCTAGAACATAAAATAAATGCTGTTTCTTCCACTCACCTACAGGATCACGTTCAGTTGTGTGAATATGAAGATGTTTTTTGCGATGATTGTAACGAAGAGTTGCAAAGAAGGTCCCTAAACAAGCACCAAACTGCAGAATGTCACAACAGGATTGTGCAATGTGAACACTGCGCAGTAGAGTTTGCCTTCAGGCTTACAGAGGTGAGGCTGTACTGTCTGTGGAATTAACTTTTTAACAAACCTAAGAGATTTAACAGAATTTTTACACCTGTGACCTATCGTGTTCCTGATTGGTTAATGACAAATGGATAGCTTTTTATAATAAAGTTCGGATATAACGCGCGCTGTCATTGGTTGAAAGAGCATGCTCTATAACAGTACAAAACATAGAACTGAGCTAAAGCTGTCACGCCATCTGCAAAATTGTACCTCACTTTTTCTCAGAGGGTACGGTAACGAATCCTGCAATCTGACTGGTTCTTAATGCAATCTGGATTTTCCCACCTCTGCTCAAATTATTATTAAAAATTAAACACAGCTAACACTGCTTGCTTTGCAACATAACAGAGCACAGTTAAGGCTTCTTTCTAAGTTTCGAATTCCGTACTTTACTAGATCGAAATAAAGACAATGTCATATCAAATATTTCGAGGAATATTCAGCTTCCTTTTTCTGTCACAATCATAATTTTTGAATAGCCAATTTTCCTTTTCGAACCTGGTTTCATGAAAGTCTTTCAACTGAAAGGAGAGTGAGGAGATGCTAGGGCTAAAGGTTCCTAAAGGGCTGGGGACAAAAACTTTCCAAGTATTAATTTCCATATTTTTTCCAATTTACTATGTCGTATTTTCATGTGCGGTTGCGGGTTAACGATCATTTGCATGAAAGTAGAATTTAATGGAAATTATGACGAGGAGAAATGCCTTTTGATAATATTCATCTGCACGACATTGAAGTTGTATTTCTCCTGAAATCTACAGAGTCATGAAGATGAATGCTTGCGTTGGCCGCTCGATTGTCCTCAGGAATGTGGAGTACTCGGGATACCTCGAGAAGAGGTAGAGTTGTTTTTCACGATACAAGTGTTCATTGTAAATAAATTAATAATTTCTTCTTATACATTTAGGTAAATATGTCCTAAATGTCCGTTTAGTTAAAACTATCTTTTTTGTTTTTCTGTTTTTAAACGTTTGGCGTAGATATGCTTCATTTAAACTGTTACAGTCGGTGATTACCGAACATTATTTCTATTAATGCTGCTATTATTATTATCATAATTGGTAATATTACTATTATCATCATCATTATTAACATTATTGTGTTCTTACTATCATAAATGGAATAAGATGAGAGACGCAGTTAAACAGGTATATGGCAGGGCGGTACATGTATCGTGAAGGCATGGGTCCAAGACTCGGCCAAGCCTGACTTATTTTCAGTGTTGGGGATTCGTTTTCTGCATTTACTTCAAGATTGCTTTCTACCGTCTATTCACGTCTCCTTCTTTGTTGAACTCGATATGGGACAATCCAAAACTTTGAAATACTAACCAACGTTCCGAATCTCAATTTTTCATACAAACCTTATGGAAAAGATTCTTTACTCCAAAAAGCTATCACAACTCTGGCTGAATTATTGGATCCATAGATCCATACATAACTTTAAAAAAAAATCCAAAAATGATTTGCGATTCAAGATTCGTAGTAAATCCACACTAATTTTCAACAGTCGTGGAAGATGTTTTGCTTGCGTCAGCATTCAATTACAGTTAGAGATTTACCGCTCTGCCGCTAACTTGCCGCTATTTAACATGCCAGAGGAGCGTGAGAAATAAAGCAAGGATGTAAAGTAGGATGTTCTGCCGTAAATTTAAAGGTGTGGAATGCTAAAGTGAAGTGAACGGGAAAGTGTATTCTACACTTTGGCAGACGAAAGATTTACCATGGAGCATTACTCTGATAGAGAATTTCGTTACCAGACCATTTTTCACTTTCTTGTTAATATCATGGTATTCCTGCCAACGCGAGGACTATGAAAAGGAGGCTTAGTTAGAACGGATTGCGAAGGAGTAATCAATTGTGTTCTGATTAAGGTTCCAGCCGGGATTCACTCCACAATCGCAAGACCAGAAAAAGCCCCCGAATTCCTCATGGCTAAAAACTTGATCATGTAAACTAAATAACAAAAACAACTACAGATTTGCGACCTTCTATTTCAGGTGGAGTCCCACGTAATGGATGATTGTATTATGACATTGGTCCCGTGTCCTTATGAGAAAGCAGGATGCAACTTTTATGTAAGTAAGGTAGATGAAGATGTCTTCATAAAGTCTCGCTATTTCAGGTGGAGCTACTTTACCGATGGCAGGAAGATACCAGTCTGTATAAATGATAGAGAGCACTTGAATCATCGCTGTTGGCCGGGTTTGAATTCGCACCTTTAGAACTAATCCGTGTCACAAGGTTTCAAGCTAAAAAACACGATGTCATAACTAGATTGTAATTTTTTTGCTGTTGTTTTGCCTGCAATCTTTTGTATTTATCCTTTATTGGCCCTTATTCTATGAACCGAGCAGCTTTTCAGTGGCATGCGATCCAATCGAGGCTGTTTGTGAAAAAGATCATAGCTTTGGTAGAATAAGAGTATCATTGCAAACATTTTAAGGTAGTTATGATTTGTAAAAGTAGATTGTTTTATTATTGTGTAATTATAGTTTTTTTGGCAGCACTATATATCAAATGTATAGGAAAAACCTATCAACGTAATTTGTATTGTTATACAATCTTTAATTTATAGGACAAGAGGAACAATCTAAACGCCCACGTTGCTGCGTCATGTGAGGAACATCTGCGCAAAACGTGGTCCAAGCTGCTTCAGACAACAGAAAGGGTAAATGAGTTGGAGCAAGTGGAACTTCACATGCAAGCCGATATAGATTCCGTGAAAAAGTCACTGGAGGAGGCCAAAGGAGACGTTGAACAACTTAAGCTGTCAGAGGCAGAGAGAAAACTTGAAAATCTGCAATTGAAAAAAGATGTGCTTGAGCTGCAAAAGAAGCTTAAAGAATTGCATCGGGTTTTTAAGAGAAGGGAAGTGTCCGATAGCGACACTGAAAAAGATTTGACGAATGAAGAAACAACTAAATCGAAAGGCCAATGTAAATCTGATTACTGCACATCACTATCTTATCGTGACCTTTCATACTCGTAAGTATTTGAATTTATTACTTATAAGTCTAATTTCAGAAGCAATATACACATGTAAATTTTAAAAATGCTGAAATCTAACCCCTAAGTTATTTTTGTCATAGCTTACCATTCAGTATTATACCATCCACAGGAGTTTTTTCAACACATAGTAGGGAAGCTATAACTGCGGGCACGTTCAAATGATTTGCTCAGATCCTTCTGAGCCTCCCAATAAGTTATGAAAAGAACTTTGAAATGGCTGGCATGCTATCCCTTCGTAGAACGTAGTTCTATCTAAACGCTGCCCAGCTCTTTCTTCAACAACTTTCAGAAAACCTATATAACTAATGAAATATGCGAAAGCAAAGCAAACACAAGGTACGCAGGGCTTTTTTTTTATTGTAATGTTTCATGTTATTGTCTTTTCAGGAAACAAGGGCGTGGTAAAAGAGCACTCGGAAAAGTTCCAAGTCCACATTAGTGTTAAACTTACTGTTACATTTTGCTTTATTTACTTAGATAGAATATTAATTTTACCTTACCATCAAGACACTTTCTTCTAATCTAATAGCATTTTCTAGTTCTCCAAAAGATAAGTTTTTTTTTCTGCCAAATAATACAGACATCCACGAGGATGGCTACCTTAACGTTGTCACTCCATGTATAATTTGGATATAGGGCACAAAATAAAGGTCCGGCAACGGAAACTGTCGCAGTTGGCGATAAATTTGATTAAGAATCATTTTTAATGCCCTTGTTTTATTACCATTTTTTGATCAATTCGAAGCTGCAACATACCCCCCCAGGCAACCCACGGACATTTGCCTATCGTACATCACCGGGGGTGGGGAATTGAACTTTGCTTGGGTGGGGTGGGAAATTGAACCAGCGGTATAAACGTGTTTTAATTTTAAATGTGGAGAACTTTAAAGGAAAAGAAAAACCAAATGGCGGTATCAAAAACTAATAAGAGGGCCTCAATGGAGTTAACAGTTCGCCGTAAAACAGCAAAAAGTTTAGCTGTTACGCGTACAAGTTTGATAAATTGAAACCGTTCGTCGTTAAAAATAGTTAACCTTAAAATTTTTTCATTTAATCAAAAAGAAGGAAGTTAACCGTTAACTGTAAAATTGCAAACATTTTAACCGTTAACCGTAAAAGCCATTACTCTTATATGGGAGATTCGTTGAATCACGCAAAGAATTGTTCGATAACAAATTGTTCCTAGGTGGGCATTTTCATTCAATTTTTTACTGGGGGGGGGGGAGAAATTGTAACGAACTAATCTTAAAGAGTTCATTTTATGAACCATTGAAGTGCATGATGGTAATAATCGCGGGAGTCTGATTTGTCAACCACGAGTATGGTTACTGACACGTTGCATCGAAAACATAGAAAGGCAACCAAAGTAAAATACAAAGACAGAAACAACATATCGATATAAAAGAGATAGATCTGAATGCATCATATGTTTGTTTCGAGTTGGATTTTCCCATTAACCAAACGATGCCATCACACTCCAGTTTGAATCTTAATCCGAACTTATATATTTTCGAACGTAGGAAGACAAGAAGAGCCAGTACCAATTAATCATAACCGTTACAATTTCCGAGAGAAGCAAAATATATTTAATGAAATGAGGGCTTTATTTAAAATAAAATTGGACGGTACGGAAAGGGGGTGGGAAAAGACATGAAGATTCTGTTGCCGCACCCCCTCCCCTCTCCTTCCTTTTGACAGTTCCTCTTCCCCTTGGTACAAATTTATCTCTCTTCCTAGCCTTCCGCTGCCGTAAACGTCAAAGGAGGCAGCTATAATTTTCACCAAGAAAACACTGAGCACTCGCTTGCTAAACTCACGCACGCTCAGCAGGTTACAGAGACTGCTTCTTATATTTTGGGAAATCCACAGCTTAGGGATGGTAAGCCATTGAAAGTAACTGAGAAAAACAATAGTAAATAATGCTGTTTTCATTTCAAGAGAAAACCTGCGTTGGGCTAACTTCTACAGTAAGTCTATTTCACCCATTAGCTCACCTCACGCATGCCATAAATTGACTATTTATGACAAGAAATCTTACGTATATAGAAATTTGTCTGTCCATAATAAGCAGCAAAAGTAGATAGCCATCAATAACCATTAATGGTTAGTAACCATTTCTAACCCGTCGCTCGTTATACTGAAAATCCTGGCAAAGTTGACCCGAAAAAAAATTGGCCTCCGAAGGTTTACAATAACATTATCTATTATCGCTTACTATAGGTTACCAATGACGTCTGCGTTTGCCTGGTTTTGATTTTGATGTTCAAATATTGATGTTATATCTCATCATGATTGGTTGAATTAGTTTATGATCAGTTAAGTACGCTTTGATTGGTATGTTTTCTTTAATATACACTTTCTTTTACATTGATCATATTTTTCAATTTTTTCAATGGTCACGGGGCGTTTCGTTATTTCCTCCATCGTCAGTGTCTAACCGGAGTTTGCTAAAATATGAGTTTCGCTGTACAATCACGACCTCTAAACATGTCATCAAATCACATCTAGGTATTATGATGCACAGCTTAGTTTACTTCAGGAAGAATTTCATATTCCAATTTGAATGTTAATCCTAACTTAAATAAATTTGCGACGGTTTGGATAATAATCTTATGATTCTTTCTTCAGGGATTTCAATAACGGCGGCTGCCGATGGTGAAATAGGCGGCTGTGGCCGGAAAAAAACGGGCCGTGAGAGGTCTGGGGTCAAGCTCCCCAGAACAATAAAAATTGAAATCTAGAGGCTAGCAGGATAAAAGACAACAGTAAGAGGTCTTACAGGTGGCCATAACCAGCTTTCATTGAAACCCCTGCTACCTACCTCTAGGGAATAATCTAGTTACACTACTGTGTTTCTTTTCTCAGAGTAAGCTACATTTCAGTCCTAAATACTTTGCATCTGCCTTGTTCAGTTGTTAAGATAATAGCATAAGAATATTACTTTTCAGAGCAACCATCCGAGAAGTTTTTCGGTGTGCTATCGATAGATGAACTTTTCAACTGTTCCCCGTCATTCAGCTGAAGAACCGCGTTGGTTTTATCCTCCAGCAATTTTGAATTCGTTGGCGCGGTTCTCTTCTCAGGACTGTGATCGGGCCCTTCTGTCTCACTGTCTGATGCGTCTGAACAGCTATCACCCTGCAGGATAGAACACAGTTCATGATTGGTTATCCTGGTTTTTCAGAGTAAGGGATATCATATTTGAGGAGGCATGCAGTGTGACCGAGTGGTTGGGGCGCCAGTCTTGTAATCTGGTAGTCCCGGGTTCAAGCCCTTCATCCTGCTACACTCTGGGTTTGTTCTCGGTTCTCCCGAGTTCAACTTCATGCCTGACTCTTTTAAATAGCCTACTGGTCTGCCTCTGGGAAGATGAGATTTTTAAACATTATGTTTGTTCACAGTGTCTGTTTCTGATTTGATTGGCCTTAAAAAGGCAAATTGGGGAAGTGGTTAATTAATTTTATTTTCATTGTTGTCATTATTATTATTATTATTATTCACGAAAGGAGTATAAAGAGAACACTTTAACCTAGAAACCAGTTCTTTTTTTTCCTTGAGAGACCGTTGTTGATAGGTTCAACATTAACTTTTAAGATTGTATCCCTCTGATTGCATTGCCACCTGTAATACTGACATACGACGGAGAAAGGTCCAGCAAACTAAATTAACCAACATAAATAGAATTACACTGCATACAAACCTCAGGGAACAAGTCTTTACATGCATCACTCCTCTTTCCAAGAACCGCTAGTCTGTTTATAGCTATTACTTTCTTCAAGGATTTCTGTTGGAAGAGAAAATTTTTTTGCATATGATGAAAATTTGTAAACGGGGAAAGCTCCTAAAAAAATTTCGTGAGAGCCGCTGACGTTCAGTTTTGAGTAAAGAAAACGAATTTCAACCAAAGTAAATCCACTAAATGATTTCATAGCTCTTCCCTGACCAAACACAGGCTTACAACAATTGAATTCTAAGAGTCGTTAGTTATTAGCATAAAAACACCCACGCGATGTGCCTCCTCAATTTCTCAATACTGGAGCACTTCAAGGAAAACTGAAGAACTGCCACCTACACTGTAAAAGATCAAAAGATTCAGTATTCTGACATCACGTTTTCACTTTTACCTTCCATTGTGTCCTAGCCAGAAATGCCTTAAAAGTGTCCGTTTTGATCAAGGTACTCTTTCTCTTCGTAGCCACTTCAAGGTCCGTCTAAGATCGTAAAAAAAGTCAATTAGTGTCGTAATAACGCACTAGAGGAAGAGACGTTGGTTTTCAAAGGTGACTTTCATAATCCTGGACGACACATTAACAATCCTGCTGACTGATAAAAGATATGCTATACGGCCATGAAGGTTTTCGCAAGAGAGAAAGGGCTGCAATTCAAACTGTGATATAATATTCCTAGACTTAAAATTGAATGAAATAAATAATACAGGCTGGAGATCTTCATGGGTAAATAAAATATGTATATGTTTCTTCGCCCTTGTCTCCAGATATGAACGCCAGCCTAATGTACCTGCTGTTGTTGAAGGGTTGTAAAGTTCAGGTTGATAGTTATACCTCGTAGTTCCTTCAAACAAGGTCACAAAGGTCTTTCTCGCGGTGTGGTTACCTTAACTCAACTTCTACCTACTGGTAGCGATTGGTGAGGACACATCACATGACGAAATAAACCAAACGTTGGGAATATGGTAAACCCAATGATAATCCCAAGTGATATTCGTTGATTTTTAGACCTCAAATTCATTTCGATAACCGTCGTCGTCAACGATTACACTTAAGATGGTAGGGGGTTTTTTCATTGGAACAAGAGATGGAGTAAACTGGTTTGGCCACAACAGATCACTGGTCGACAATCAACATCGCATGTTGTACAAGTTGTTTTGCGGTAAGCTGTTTGTACCCAATTTTTTCCTGCGCGCTCTAAGATATTTGAAGGACAATAAAACAAAATAGGCTCCACCTGGCTAAAATAGGCTGATACAGAATATTTATCCTTCGTAATCATCTGATCCTCAAAACCCATAGTTTTCTTCGAGATTTCTATTGGAAAACTTTACGCTTCAGGAAAAAGACAATGTCCGCAGACAAATATCCGAGCTTACATTTACGCCAAATGAGGGATATTGCTTCTTCATTTCCGAAGAATACATAAGTGCCACATAAGTGACATCAAAAAGTTCATAAGATGTTCTGGAAAATGTTATGGCGAGGAAATACGAACAGTTCCCATTCGATAATTACTGCAGATTAATTAGTGCTTCAGCAAATTACCTTCAGCCAGGGATGTGTCAAACAATCTCTTGCAGATAATCTATCACTGAAACAATAAATTAAATATTGTTATTTTAAAACCAAAATTTAATCTGGAAATCGAAGGTATTTTAACCCTAAATAAACCAAGGCTACCTCAAAATGCTACATTATTACCAAACGTAAAACTTTCGTGGGCTAAATAAAAGTTCCGATTTAACAATTTGACTCTCAAGAGAGACTAACCCAAAGCAATGACTCATACATCACACTCACCTTGAAGTTTTAATTAGAAGGGAACTAATAAAATCTTTTGCCTGAGGGCTAATATCAGCAAAATATTTTTCATCAAATCTATATTCAACATTCTGTATGTTAACGAATGTTTCATTAGGGTCCTCTCCAAGGAATGGGGATGCCCCGCTAGAGAGCCTGGAGGAGAAAAGATAAAGATATTGTAAGAGGTGGTTATGAAGAAGAGCAGCCAGTAGCACAGCATAATTGAGTCACCAATATAAAAAAGAATTTAAAAAGAAAGTGCAATAAACACAACTTTTTCAGTTAAGGTATTAAAACCTAAAGAGTAAGTAGTTGACGAACTGAAGTATTTGACGACAATTAGAAAATGGCATGGCTCTTAAGGTGACCAAACCACAGGGGTGTTAGCTTTGAAATGGTGTGCCTTAACAACATCTTAGATGGAAAGGAATTTTGCCTGCCACTATTCTAGATAGCAATATATTGTTTCCAGTGATGTCATAACCATCTCCTTGGGAAATCTGAACCTCAAAACAGAGTAGAAAATAAATTTAAGTACTCACAGTATATAGGTCAATACTCCTATTGCCCTAGGAAAAAATAAAAGAGGAAGTCAACAAGCCATCATCTGCAGTCAGTAACTTACATTAGAGAATTTACTTGTTATTGATAGAAAAATACCCTGATGACTGAAAAAGGAAACAGACATAGTTGTAAATCCAGTAGAACTGGACCTACAGGACTAATATTGAAACTGAGTAACCACCAGAGGAGCACATATACATATAAATATATACATATTTACCCATTTTCAAAAACTTTACAGTTTAAATTAACTTTGCTTCTCCATTAAAGGGTATGGAAAGAATGAATTACAGGGACAAAAGAAAAGCACAATAGCTGGTGTCAAATTTCCAAAGTCTTTGTTTCACTTTAACATGCACAATATCAAAAAAAGTATTGTTTCTTTGATGTGAAATATAAATGCATCATGCAACACATTTTTGATGATACAAAAAGAGGTACATATAATTAATGCATATTTTCAGATTTTCAAAACGGGTGTATCAATAATTGTATAATAAATTATTATATATTTATACACTCACATAAAAAGAAAAATAATTTAAAGTTTAATTTGAACTACTATATGAAAATAGCATTAGTGGCTATGCTTATGCAGTGACTAGTCAAGTAGGATTAAATGCACTTTAATCTCTAACAGTCTCAGATAAATAAATCACTTCCTAAATCTCCATTAGTTCAATGATGTTTGGAGATCATTTCTATTGATACAATATCACTAGGAACTCATGGTGACCTTTGCAAGACATTTACATGGGTGCATTTCCTTGCATTTCCTATTACTGCAAAAAGTGCATGTACACCTCTTCCTAACTGAGTGGCACAAAACATGCAGGTTTTAAATCCAAACAGAAAAAAAAGCAAGGTTCCGTACCTTACAGTATGAACCAAGAAAACAAGGTTAGCAAGATATGCATTATAATCTCTGGGTTCAAATAGAGGGTGATTTTTATTCAATTCAATCAGACTTTTGAATTCAGTGAGCTTAAATACAGTAAATTACAGCCTGCTAAACTGACCAATCATAGCTCATGTACTAACTGAGTGATATAATGACGTAATACCATAGCCTCACCACATATCTGTTGGTGTTCCTACTGGTTCATAGCTGATGACTTCAGGAGCTGTGGAAACATTACCATAGAATAGTTATGATACATTCAATAAAACTCTGTCATGAACTCAACAGCAAACTTGACCCATGCTAGCTGTATAATTACCTACAAACTCTGGTGTGCCTATGATAGCCTTCACCACATCTCCAGGTGGAATAATCCTTGCCAGTCCAAAATCAATCAGCTTCACTTTTTTCTCTTTTTTGTTGTTTAACACAATGTTCTCTGGCTGAAAAAACAATTCAATTCCAGAGTTTCACTGTGAAATACCCTGTAATTCAATTTGACTCAAAAGATCACATTGTATTGGATATAAACAATCTAAAAATAAAAAGGACACAATATAAACTCAGTAAACAATGTGGAGTGGCTATTTAATAAAAGAATGCCCAAGAGAAGCTGAGTTGTTTGTGTAGATCAGATATGACAATTACTTCTTGAACCCTTCATAATGCAAAGCATGGCTCCAAAATTGGTCATTTCATTGGTAAATCAAAGGAGAAGATGATGAACTTTAAGCTTTGTCAAATTCAAAAGATTATTAAGCCTGTAATTCCAACGCGTGACCAAGATTAAATTTTGCCTTACAACATCCATACAATATCAAGCAGCTAAGTGATGAGAATAAAGAACAAAATAAAATAGGGGATCATTAGTTGATCTAATGCCATGTTCTCTCAACTGACATCATAGAAATTGTAGACAGTAAGGAGAATTAATACTCAGATTTTTGGAATTGAAAGGGAAATAATTGACTTGTGAAAAAGAAAGATGGGATGTGGTTTGTTAGTTGTAGGCTGTGCATTGTGGATCATGCATTTTGTTTGAAGTTGTACTGAGTGAAAATTTTTCACATTATGTAAAGGTCATTGTAAATTAGGACTGCTAGGTAAAATACATTGCAGTCACTGTGTAAGATTTACTGCACTCCTATCCTCCTTCCCAATCCAACAAAAAATACTTTCTGCATAATAATTAATTTTTTGCCATGAAATACAAAATGGAATATTAAGGGCTCCAACTTCAAAAACAAGCTATGACTCATGAAATACAAACCATGATGTGACCATGATCTACCATCCACACTCATTAGACAATATCTTGCTCAAAATAGTAATTTTTATGATTCAATTGGTTCTTTGCACCCTGCAATCTTTTCTTTTGATCAAAATGCAATTTCATTCAAAATTTGCCACTGTATCAAAGCCCCAACACATCTTCAGAAGTTACTGAGTAAATTAAAAAAGTCTGAAAGCTCTGATAATTGTATTGTGGACTTGCAACAGACTGCACTAGTTCCCAAGTTTCCTTACGGTGTGTTGTGCATGTGTACAATGTGATGTCAGTAAAACCTCCAGCATGAAAAAACCATGGAGAATAATCTTGACTCTGACTGGTAAATAAAATCTAGAATGTTATGCTTCTTTGTCTTTGTTCAACCAGAGTTGGAGTGAGCTAGTTCGCATAGGAGATTGTTGTGAAAAAACTAAGCTCAACTGAGGCAATAAAGTTAAATGACTTTTCATCTGAGAAATGTTTGTTTCTTTCATTTAAAAACAGCTTCAATTTTGTATTGAGGTAAATGATCTGTCAAAGATGATGATGATGAAGATGACCCATGATGACTGACACATAATAAGAGTAACCAAGGTCTCCAACTAAAAATTCATACTCACTTAACAGGAAGCTGTAATTAGTTCATTATATTGTGACCATAAACTAAGCTTGAGGAGCTGCAAAACCTTTAACCTGCAGTTTTTTTGCACTTAAATTCTTTTTGCTCAAAGGTGTGGAGCAATTCATGTTGTGCAGCCAGACAGCTTTCTTTACCAGTTTTAACCAATTCAAGATTGCTCTTCTATTCCAAGCGAAGTTCTAGATTTAACCATCTAGATTTCATGCATGGTAAATGACCAACATCAGTGGCAGTTGTGAATCTCCTATTAATTGATTCATCCTTATTAGAGCTTTTCTTCATCAATAAATTAGCAACACACAGTTGACCAAGTTGCTTGGGCAAGCAAAAGAGGAATGATTTTCAAATAAATGTTCCCATAAAATTTAAATTTGTTGCAAAAGGACTTAAGTTTATGCTTTTTAAAATTCAAATGGTATGCATACATATCCCTGAAAAAAATATATCCTTGCACAACCAGTGAGTCTCCCACCAGGGGGAGAGGGGGGGGGCATAAGGCTTGAGAAAAAAAGCAAAATTCAACTCACCTTAATATCTAAATGTACAATGTGATGGTTGTGAATGTAATCAACTGCTTCCACAACTTGCTGTATAAAGCTCATTGCTTCATTTTCTGTCAAGTAGTCTTGTTCAATCAAGAACTCAAATAACTCTCCTCCACTCAATCTGATTAATTTTAGCAAAAATAATAATGGTTGTCAATTCATCCCCTGTAATCATATAAAATGTTATATAAAATATACACTTTAAGGAGCAAGGCTGATAAACTATTATGGTGCACTCCTCATTCAAGGTCTGCTGACCCTGCCAATGAACTGTATCCACAGACATACACAGACTTGATCAGAACCACATTTTGGGAAGTTCCCTTAAAAATGTAAGCTCTATCTACATGTTTGTAATGGTGAATATTAAACATCCCATTGATAATATTCAACAATGGCTCCTTTGCTCTCCTTTGCAACAAACATTACAATTTATTTTGTAAAAAAACACAATTGTGAAACTTTTTTTTTTAAGTCTCCTTGCGTTTCATCCCGAGAAAAATTGTATATTTGGACAAGCAGTCTACTCAATGGAGTATAAATCTTGTACTGACAAAACAACAATGGTGAAATGTTCATACAGAGAGACTCCTTGGACAATAATTATCTCATTGCCATAACTTATTTGTGCATTTTGGCATATTTTTCCATGCTAAAATAGACATTTTGACGGCTTAAAATGTATTTTGGCACACTCTCACACTTGAGTGATTGTTCAGAATGTTGTTTGTTTTTTTTTTTGTCAAAATAGTATTAAGCCTTTTTCAGAGTCACTTAACCCTTAGGCAGGGGGTAAAATGATGCTGAGTCTGACCTTAAACATATTTATGCCCACAAAAAAATATATATTGTTTTATAATTGAAGTTACCTTTAATTGTTAAAGGGCCAAGGCACAGTGATTATCAAAGGAAAAAAATCATTTTCACAGTTTTTGAGTTTCGGATTCCCATGCTTTGAAGCATTACTTAATAAAATGCTATGAGAGGGACAACACTTTAGGAAACTGGTCGGGAAACTTGAGCCACAAAAATTTAAGAACCCGAAACCCTTAACCTTTGAACGTCAGGAAATTCTTTCAAAGCTCTCTAGGGACGCTGGAAAGAATGTTATTGATTAAATCTGCCAATACCTCTTGATTTGCAGTGACAAGTCTAACAAATTCGCATTAAGGTTTGAGATTGCCTAAGGAGACATATGCTAATTTTGACTTTTGGAAAAGGATCAATTTAAAATCCTTTTGTATCTTTAACTTAGTCCATAAAGTACCCATAACCCGGTGAAACATAGATCATTAATTATAAATTACTTTTTATTGAGATGATTCAACAAATAAGCTTAAAGAACCAATAGCATGTCCATGTACCGGTAAGTGGTTTTCTTTCACGTATAGTCCCACTGGAACATTCGAGAATATCTTTCTTATGATTGTTCACAAATAAATCACACAATGAAAAAAACAAACAAATATTTCGCTTAAACGATAAGAATAGCAAAAAATGTTAAAAGTAGATGACTCACAGTTCCAGGACAAGAGTGAATTCCGCAGCGCGTTCGAAAGCGTCGTGAAGATAAATAACCCCATCATGTTGAACCTTTCTAAGAAGCTCTGCCTCGTAAGCGATTTGCTCTGCCGTAGCCCCTCGCCTCGAACTTAAGCTCCGTTTTTTCTTCACAAATTTGGCCGCAAATTCTGTATTTGTGCTCTTTTCCACGCATTTCTTAACGACGGCAAACTGTCCTCTAAAGAGAACAAAATTTACACATCTACATCATAAAATTTCAAGTATTTTATTTACAAACTATAAATGTTCAAATATAAGAGGCTTAAGGAAATTAGCAGCTAAGACTTCATCAATTTAGTTAAATTACTCACCGCCCAATTTCATCACCGATATCGTAAAAATCTTCAACTTTGTCCTTTCTGAAAACTAATGAGTCCGTCATCATTCAGCTAATGGAAAACACAGTTGTGGGCCGGCCGCGCGCTAATTCAATTGTAAACTCCCACTCTTCGTCCACTCATTTTAGAGCTTTTGCTTTGCCACAGAAAGGGTGAACAGGGAATATGGACTGTGGACAGCGGACTATGGGCTGCGGGCCCAGGACTAAGTTATTGAAGAACATTTCAAATCCAATCCAAAAGTAATCCTCATTTTTGCCTTGTAGGACTTTTCCGGCTTTGGTCTCCACGTAACGAAAGCAGTTAGGGAAAAAAATTAATCGAATGAAAGAGAATTTGATAATGATCTCTTCAACCGATACAAAGGAAGAAAAGTCAGTCATGTAAATCACGCAAATAAAACTACGAAATAAGATTTTATAAAATGAAAGAACGAAAAAAGGAAACTTAATATAAGATCACAGCGTAAATTACCGTAAAATTCAAACGTGCGTGATCGTGTTAAAGTGTTTAAGCGTAACCTAGGACCCAGTCTACAAAAAAATTTCTTCTCGTTTCCATGTATCACGTATATTTGAATTTATTCCGCGCTAAATTCTAGCAATCTTTCAAACGCATCGTAGCCATCTTCAACTGAACCAAAACTTTCTTATCGTCAAGGTTGGCAGCTTTGTCTGACGCAGTTTGATGAAATCAGTGGAAAACTTAAGATTTGTTGTTGTCACTTCCGAGCATATCTTCATGATTACACTTGTCAAGGCTTTTTGGATAAATGGGATACTGTTAGCGATCAACGACTTCTCAAGGATGCTACTATTTAGGACCTGCACAGCGTCAACCAGCATCACTACTTAATATAACGTTCTTGCGTTGAAAAGAAAGAAATAAATACAAGTAACTAAAAAGTCGCAAATTTCCTTTCCCCAATTTTCACTTAAACCTTCTAACTTATAACAAATATTTTGTTTAAGTGGAGGACCGCAAAAAATTCAAGCGTCAATATTCGCTTTTTGGCATGTGCTCGAATATTAGAATCAACATCATAATATGATTAAATGCAGTTTGGTACAGACGTATGTAATATGAAACGGATAAAGCGAGATGGATGTCACGCTTTACTTCTAAAGGAAAAAGAGAAAGATTTCTCCCCAAACTTGGCATAACAAGGTACAACAAGTACAACAAGTACAACATTCTGTTCTTTCTTCAGACTTTTTCTTTCCGGATGTGAGGGTTGTTGATAACCTTGAATGGCATGGGAAGAGGGGGAAGACATCTAAACGCCGCTGATTCCTTTTGACTCATGCATCTGACTAGGCGGGGTAAAAGCGACTGCTCTTGGTCTTTTTACACCGAACACCGAAAAGGTTTCTTACAAAACAACGTAAAACTGCACGACACGATGGAGTCAATTATAAGGAACGACACCGTTAGCAAGTTGGTTATTGTTTATTAAAAGATAACGTAATGGTTGAGTTAAAACGAGGGTGCCCAGCTTACATGCTGTTTGATAAAAACACATGCTCAATTTTTATCAAAGATTAGGGAAGTTTTTAATTGAATGTCAAAAAACCAAAACTAGAGTAATCAACACAGCCAATCAGATAAAAAATTTAACATCATAATAGGCCAATAAGAACTCAAAGCAAACTCAGGCAAACTGCCTCAAGGACGTGAAAGCGCAGGTGATTAAGTCATTTTGCGTTTGATTGGTTGAAAGGATGGCGCGAGTATTCTAGGCCAATCAGAGTGCGAGGTAAAGCAAAATCAAAGTAATACCGAATTACTTTTGACACTCAATTAAAAATTCATAACGACAACAAATCTTTGAGATTCTGACTCAGAATTCAGCACTTTTCCAATTATTGGATATTTAAAATTGCCAATTACAAAGTCATAAAAACTCATAGCTTACTATGACGACCAGAAGCGACCGATTGTTAAACAATAGGCCTTTTGTTTTCGTGTGGAGAGAGGAACAAAGCCAGGGATTGGCTTAAAAACGACCCAACCGTTGCTTACCCAGCTGAGAATGGTTGCGTTGCATGTGCAACTGAGCGATAATTTATGCCGAAAAAAATAATTATGCAATAAAATATATGATGACAAGAAACAAAACACTTAAAATCAGACATAGAGCAAACCATAGACCCTTCATCGCTTTACGAGTGAAGCGGAACAAAGAAAACTCTGGAAAATTAGCGCATGAGAAAAAACATATTGTTCCTTGCTCGAGTGAGAGGAAACCTTCGTAAAATAACTTTTACGATTTTCCGCCATATGTGTGGTGTATATACTACTCTAACTTAAACTTCAAGGTTAGGAATGCCATCCATCTACGACCTTAAGGCTTTAAAATGATTGAACAAGTTCAAAATGCGCGGATCAAGATCAGATGTGAAGAGCAAGGTTTCGAGGGAGCTCAGGTACTGGAACACTTGATTATGATTCTGAAATGAACAGATGAAATAAAGACAATTAACGTTTTCTGGTGTAAACACACACCCCTTAATCTTAACTGCAATCTTTTCCACTCCTTCTGAGGATCATAAGAAATGCTTCTGCTCTAAATGAAACAGCTCACACGAGCTAAGGCTGGTTGTGCTTCTTAGAAAGTTAGCCTAGATTCGTCCCTTACAATCTTCTACAATCTTGGCCGTCCTTGCTTCTACCTGAATTATTGTTGTTATGTTTTTCTATCTTACTGAGGGAATTTTTGTTTTCTCTCGAGGAACGAAGGTGGTATTGCACGTGCGCGAAAAAGACTCCAAATTACGAACGTAGCTCATTTAAAAAAATTCAGAATAATATTAATGATAATAATGATAATCATACTTATGTAATAACGATGACAATAACTGTTATGCTAATGACGATGATAATGACAATGTCGATTATCATGAAATTCAAAAAGATAATGCAAGTAATAAGAACAGTGACAATACTTTAATTAATAATAAAATAATAATAATAACAAAAATGATGGAGATGATGATTAAAAAAACACAATCTAACATAGTCTACCAAGTAATACAGCAGTTTAAAGCAAGTGCAAGCTTCTTAAGAGCTGGTCAATTTATTTTTCTGTACATCATTAGAAGTTTTTCTTCTATAGCTTCTTAAAGGAATACGCCAATCCTTAGCTATCAAATAACAATATGAGAAATTACCGTGATTAATATTTCTCGGAGTCTTTCTGTTGTGTACTTGAACCACTGAGTGTTTACATCCAACTGCTGTTGCTCAGAGCGAACAATGTGTTCCGTTAAGATCATTATAAAACGCTGGAATATGGTTATAAAGACAGAGAACACACAGATCAGAAATTTGTCATTATTTCACACAACTGTAAACACTCTTATTACGAACTGTACAATCTTAATAATCAAAATGATAATATTGACAGAAAAAGATTTATAGGTCAATCTAGCCAACCAACTCAACTTTCATTTTAAACGATCTTGACTACCTAAAATTTAATTTTTATACAACATAATACCATTAAATTTCTCTACGTATCACATTCAAAACTCGTGCTATTTCTAACCTGGAAAACAATAAGGAAGAGTTGCTTTTGCGTTCTTTGGGCATTTTCCAGTTTTTCTGTAAGTTCTTCCAGCTGCTTTTGTTTTTTACTTAAATCTTCCGCTACACCAGGTTCAAGGTTTGAATTTCCATTGGCTTCTCCTGCCTGACTCAAAAAGAAATCATATTTAAAAGATAGAAACACCTTCACGTGCAACTAGTTTTATATCATCGCCGCAGATCGTTGGTAATTGTGCGTGATCACGTGCAAAAAAACTTTCCAGCGGTCATCTGTAATAGAGAGAGAAAAAGTACAGGATTGAAATTGATCGGACCTCCAAGTCTCTTTACACATGGTGGTTGCACTGACGAAATAGCCGCACAGCGTAGTCCTAATGTAAGGGCTATCTATTATGCAAATGTCACGATCTGTTCGAGTTTTAACTTTTTTTCAGTACGGGTTTTCATCCCGAACAAGAAAAATAAGTTACGCGATTCAAGGGAAAACCACATTAGAACTATGCGTTACATGACATTTCATCAATCACACCATTGACCTGTTTCTTGGCTTTTTCTTCCAATTTCGCCACCTTTTCCTTAGCTTCCTGTACTTCTCCTGAAACCTACAGACACAACACACACGACTTAAAAATTTTAAAATTCACTCGAATTTTAAGAACCTTTGAAGCACAACGTGCAACCCTTCCTACCTTACTAGTATGCTTGCTCATTTTCTTTAAGGTACTCGTCATTATTTCCCACACGTATAATCTTGGAAAGGAGATAAAAGAATCAAATTATTTAACAGAAAGGGATCGAACAAGAAAGAAAGAACGAAGAGAAGAGACAGAGGAGCTACAAAAGATAAACGACTAAGTGCACAATCTTTCTTGAGGATTAAAACTGCTCAAATGATAAACAGCAGCAGGATAGCACTAGTAAGAGTGTTAGGAAAGGAGGGAAATCTAGATTATTGATACTTTATGTCAGAACAGAGTTCGCAATATTCATTTGCCCATTTTCCTCTTCCAATATCTCAAGAGTAATTCTCCTAACTGTCTGCCACAGATTTCTTTTCATTTTAGGCCTGAGAAATTGGCGGCAACTAATATAAACCCCCTTGTTGGTATTTTTTTTCTGAATTCTCATCACCTGTCCCCTTGGAAGGTATCGATTTTGTTAAGAGAAAATACTTTTCGGTCACTCCTAAGAGTGGAAGGGTTCAACAACCGAACTGAGCTACGAAAGAAATCGCTTTTTGTGACGTTGAAAATTACTTACGTTCAACTCTTCAACCACAAAATGTTACCTACTTGAGTTTCAAAACCACGTGGGTAGATGTAACATCTTGAAACATACTTTTATTAACTTAAGTCTTGATAAAACTGTAATTTCCTTCTACATGCAGTATATAATTTCAACATCCTAATGATTGATATAAAAACATGGTTGTTTGTAAGTACAATTTTTCGCGATCCATAAAAGTAAAATTTCCATCATAAAATACCTTGTAAAGTTTTCCTTCATGTCTTTGGAAAAAAGCCAGTTGACAACCGCTGAACAGTCAGTGATCTGCATGCGAACCAATTTATCAACCAGCACCACAACGATCTAAAGAAAGAACCACAGCTATCATACACTGATATGCTACCACTAAATTTTGGCCACGAAAGAAATACTTGGCGTTCTGTAGCCTGAGTTGCAAACTATTAGCGCAATAATAGCGTGTGAACATAAACCGTAAAAGTTTACCAAGATCAACAGTTTTCAAGTAACTGTACATGTTTTACAAGGAAAACTTATCATGAAAAGCCCAGACAGAAATAAGTAAAGATTTCAATATTTTAAATGTGGTGATTACAAACCTGATGATTTGATGACCAAAACTCGTGCAAAATCTTCAAACAATGGATCTGAGCTTCTTCGTTCACGATAACATTTTTTAACAGTTTATGAAACCTAAAAATCAAAGTTCAAAATAACCTCTCCAAGAAAAAACTACTAAGTACATCCTACTGAGAGTTTGAGAATTAAAATCCAAAGGATGCTAAATTCCCTATTCCTCGATTGTCAACTCAGCTAAATATACTACACGTAGCAGCTTATCACAGGTGTTCATCTTTGCAAAAACAAAGCACTGTTTTTCTCCCTCGTAAAATTCTCTATTTTCAAGTAACTCTCACACTACACCACTATTACAGTCGGATTCCCACTATGTAGCCACTCTCGAGGCCCGTCGAAAATCCCCAAAACGGATGGTATACAAATGTGATTATTTAACTCTTTGACCTTTGAGAGTGACTAGCGTCTAATTTCTCAAACATTAAAGGTCACTAACTAAAGAAGCTCTTGATGGTTACACAAATTCTCCAAGTCAGCCCTTAGGAAGTAAACAGAGAGCAGTATGGAGAATACGCATACTGATGTTGGGCTGAGAAGACTTGAATAGGAGGCACGGGTTCGAATTTCGTCGAAGCCTGAATTTTCTCTGGCTTCTTTCCCTCAATTTTATTGATTGCAGCTAACCTGCGACGATCAATCATTTACTTGAATATCATCTAAGATCATATTGTTTACTTCAATAATTATAAGGGGAGAATTTCATCGGGACGATTTCGAGTTGGCCTCCGTTCTTCGATAGCAGGCCCGAGTATAGTTCTAGCGAATATTTCCATTTGTTACCTTGTAAGAGCACTGAATGAATGACTTAAAGACTTGGAACCGAGTTTGAACACAACTTGAAGCAAGACCTCCAGACGTAATACTGGAAAAGTATGGTCGATTACTGGCGCTGAAAAGATAAGAGAAACACTTACAGGCTATGAATCATCACGTTACACAAACAATGAGGAGGTTTGGTCTAGATTAAGATTGATCGCGCAACCCAGACGTTTTTGTGACGTAAATGGATAACGGAAGTAAAGTGTTCTGCATGTCGCACTTGCCACAAATCTATATTCTGTTGCTTTGCGTGCAAAATTTTTAAACAAGGGGTTTCTAGTTATCTTTTGTTATGTCAAAGCGCACTAGCAAAAATTGTTGCGTTCTTTCGGTTGTTAGTCGAGACGCAAAAACATTCCTCTGCTTCAGTGTTACATTGTAGGAGCGAAAAACAAAAAATAGTGGAGAAGGCATGATTAACAATGTGGATTTGCGCAGAAAATTGAAACTGTTTCCACTAGGCTTCTACCTCCTCTTGCAGTGTTAAATAAGTTTTAGAATTTCGTGCTGCATCAAATTTTAACTACAAAAGATTGCCTGATTACGAAAAAAAACAAAGCTATTACCATCAGCATTGTCATCTTCTTGACCAGTTGCATTTGCTGGTATGTTGTTTAAAATAGTCTGAAGATGATCGACATCTTTCTTGGCTCTGATTGCGTCTATAAGCTCTTTCGCTTTGTCTTGTCCAGCCAACTTGCCTGGCAGAAAATTAGAAGTAACTTATAAGATGCTTTGTAGTTCGTAAGTATTGGACTAGAATTGTGGACTGATAACACGTAGCGTAAGTAAACTAATGTGGTAGGTACTTTGAATCAATATTGTTGTGTACAGAGTACTGCATTATCACTGATTTGTATTGTAAGTTATGAATTGAAAATAGAAAGGGAAATAAATCCTGTCTATTAAACACCTTTACGCAGGGGTTTCCTAATTTGCCTTCTCGCAGGAAGGAAACAAGAGAGAATAAGCAAGGCAGGAACGGAGCATTTAAAAAAAACTGACTGTTTTATGCGTATTGCACTCTCAGTTTTCTCCGGCCAAAACATGGCAACAATGCCGCAGAAAATTCAATAACAAGGTAAAAAGTGTGAGCTTGCTAATCGGAAGTACCTTCGTAATCATTAAAATGAAGTACCGTATTGTTCATACCTTCCTCGTCTGAGTATCGGTAGTTGGGTGTAGGTACAGCGGGGAGTACGCCATGTAATCCCTCAGGGATGTTCTCAACCAGGAACTGATGGTATGATAGTCTAAAGAAATTAAAATCATTCATTAAGCAAAGACGGTAAACGGTCAGAATTCAAGAATTTTCAGAGAATTGTAATATTAGTTTTAAGTGCGAACTTCTCTCATCTGAAGCGCAATTTCTTGTCATATTCTATGAATTCGACATATAAAATGCGCACCGCTGCAAAGGCACGTAAAAATTACCATTTTGCCATTCACAGTAACTAACCTTCGAATTCTTTCAAAAAGTTCATTCAAGAACACACATCTTGGTGTTTCCAGTCCGGCGTCAGTTGCAGATACCCTTCAAAATAAAAAAAAAGAACAAAATTGACAGGACGGTTCCTTGTCGCTCATTTCTTTGGTCAAGGTCAAAACGAGGATGGTACTATCTTCAGGTCGCAATCGCGACCAGTAACCCCATTCCCAGGGCCCCTCTTCTTTTCTTCCGCAGCACGGTGAAAGATTCGCAAACCGTCTTCTCTATGCCTCTTACGAGAAGCGATTTTAAAGTATTTAAATAATCATTGCTTGTACATTTTTGGGATAAAATGATGCTTCAAAAAAATTAACAGACTTACCATTCATCCCAACTCCATTTAAACTGGAAGTTGCTGAGATGATGCGAAAGCCAACAAACAAACCTGTGAAGACATTTCATCAATCTTCATAACGAATATATCCTAGAGTTGGACAGACTTCTTAAATCAAACCTGAGACAAATTCTATAACGGCATAATATTTATTAAAGATAAGAGAATCAATTTATCAAAACAACATCTTAAAAAGGAAAAAAATTACTAGTTAACTCTGTAACGTTTCCCTAACTAATTGGATTAAAAAGTTGTAAGATATATAAAACATATGATAAATAAAATAAAATATTTAAAATAATGCTAAAGTGTCTAAAGAAAAAAATGTTCAGGAGCACTTGTGCACAGCAAAAAATTGAATGGGCAGCTAATGCATTGCAAAGTAGATGTTGGTTAGGATAGCCATTCAGTTCAGGGATGAAATTTTTGTGAGAAGTTTGTGTAGTACAGGCTCGTCCCTCAAAAGATACAACAAGAGAATGCTGCAACAAAAGTAAGGCTTATCCCTTTTAAACAAAGGTTGTTTAATTCAGAACTTACCTTTCTACACAAGTTGTGTTCATTGTATCTATCCTTTCATACAATAATTCTGTTGCCTGGGCAACCTGAAGATGTCCATTAAGGAAGAACTTGAATTTGAATCAGCTGACATGCATTTATTTACAGGTTAGTTTGCTGCAAATCACATTGTGGTACTAAACTTATATTTTCATGTTATCTTACAAAAGCAGCTAATAGTCATGTTCTGTACTGTTTTATATACAGCAAAAAAACTTCCTATCTGTTGCTACAACTTTGCAGCATGCAAAGAGTTTCTCACAGAAAAGGAGTTCAAAATTTGTCAAAGCTTGTTCAGTTTGAAAATTAAGCTGAAATGTTTTTAAATTTTCACCTTTAAGGAGTGTTTTAACTTTCACCTTGTTTTACCTTGTTTTAACTTTTATCAGTTTTTCACCTTCTGTCTTTGTCAAAACAACTCAATATCATTGTGTTTGGCTCATCCCAACCTGAGATCCTTATTGGTAAAGGACTACAGAAGAATTGAAAATAAAAAAGTACTGGGTTTACATTAATTTGTCCATAAACAGTCAGAAAATCTTTCTTGTTGACTACGTATATTTAAGTTTTAAGTAAAGGAAGGATACAATGCCTGGAATTGTATCTGATCTTAGTTTGCACAGTTCCATAATCAAGGAACCATAGAATACTTGAGTATGATATGACATTGGAAGTCTGAACATTTCTGAAAAGATCACCTGAAAGAGAAATACAATTACAATACCTTTAGGTAATAAGAAAATAACAGAAATAAAATGTCATCCAACAATAAGTGTATTCAGTTACTTTTTTTCATCTGTTTGGATCATTTTCTTGGTTAAGGTTTTCACATACATATGTATGTACATGTAAATCATGATAGTTTCTTAGGTTCAAAAGAAGCAGTTAAAGGAAGACTTGTTTCCCCACATCTATTTCTGAGTAGACTATTTAATCAAATTCAAATATTGTGCTAATTCACTTCTCAGAGAGTTGTAGTGGATATTCACGGCTTATCCTCTCCACCAACAACAGTAGTTAACAAAAAGCCAAATAAAAGATTAAAATAACTTTATTAACTAGAACCTCATATGTCACAGTTTGACCATGATTTACCTCAATGACACAATAATTAATAGGCACTTTAGACTTTCCAGGTAAATTTAACAGCTGATTTGCACTAAAAGGGGAAAATGCATTCAATATGTCAAAAATGTTTCTTGTAAGAGTAAATCTAAATTAATGCAAATTTTCAAAAAAATTGCTTATAGTTATTAATATCATGAGAGAGTGTGTTGGACCTCAGGCTTTAGGGACATATTTATAATAAATACTTATCTAGGATCACTACCCCATGCTCATAACACTCAATAACTCATCCATCATGATAGCAAATTGCAAACAGACCATGAAAACCTGAGCTTTGCATTTAAAATCTCATCAACAATAACATTTATTATTAACTGCAGCAAAGAACACAACTAGGCTTTATTATGAGATGACAGGACATCAGGTGCTACAATGGAGCTAACAACACATCTCTCACCATTCCTTTCTGTCCTTGAAATGAGCATGAATTGTTCTTCGAATACCCTCCTCTATCAGATATCTTTCAATTGCATGAGCACCTGGCATAGATGGACCCTAGGAAAAGCAATGTTAATTTTTGTGATTTTCTGAAAACACAATAAAAGAATTGTTAAATACTTCTACTTCTAAAAAAACAGTTCTCAAAATTTCAAGCAAACTAGTCAAGCATTGCATCCTTAATGGCATTCAAAAATCAATAATATCAATAGCCTGGTCCTCAATTGCAGAAGAATCCCCAATCAACTATTCAATAGTGGCATTTATAGCAAATCATTGAAAAATTAACCTTGTGCAGTGTGTTGTTCCCCCAGTAATGACTATGTACTATCACCATCTCTAAAGGTAAACTGTGCAAGGACGAATAAACTACTCTTTGCAAAAGTCAGCTTTGTATTAATATACTTACCTCTGGTACATCAGTGTAATCAAACATTCTATAAACTACAGATGGAAGTGGGTAAACAGTGCCATCCTTCTCTGCTGGAAGTGCAAATGAAGGAAGGGTGTGCTGTGGGAAAAATGCAATTCAATGTTTTTGCAATTATTCATTTTCTTAAATAAAGCAATCATGAAATCAATATCATCCATAACTAGGGTAATAGAATCATAAAATTTTATCAAAATTTAACATATAAAATCTTGTCAGCTATTTTTATATATGTATGACCAATTTTCTGCAATAACTGTTTATAAAACTGACTAACAAAACAGCCTGTGTCACATTTTAAACAGGAATTAATTAAAATACTGATAGGGTTTGACCAAAACAAATACAGCCTTTCTTTCATATTAACCCATAGTAAAATGGTGGTTTATGTATTGATTCCACATAAAGAATACATGTACATGTACATGTACACTGTACATCATCCTTCATTGATAAACAGACTAAAAACTACAGTCAACTCTCCACTAACAAACACTCTTGTAAGTGGACAGCTTTACTTACAGACACCTCCAGTCAAACTTTGTATTTTGACATTCCCACAAGCAGGCACTCTCTTGTAAGAGGACACAGACAGACTTGGAAGTGAAAATTTGAGTTTCCTTTTGTTTACACTCTCCTTTAACTTATTTCTACTAAACTACAATGTAAGTCTACTGACAGACACTTTTCCAATTCTTGAGGGTGTCCACCTACGAGAGAGCTGACTGTAATTTAAGAGAAATAAATTGAAGGGGTGTCAACATGAAGGCCCTTCATGACCATTGGTGCATTATAACAAGAGGGAATGAGACAAGTTGGAAAAGTAATATCGCAGAAGTCCCCAGGGACATTTTCCCTACACCTCTTCAATCATGACCCTATCAAGCATGCAATAAACATGCTGCTTGCTAAATAAGATTGAAATGTTCTTCAGACTTTTTACCTGTAAGGCATCTCCCAACACATCATCAAAAGCTAGATAAGGTCTCCTGATATGCTTTTCCTGCAGAAAAGAAAAAGAGCATATAGATGTAATACCAATAAGCATTTCAGTTTTTGTTTTGTTCATTCATTTTTAGGTTGCTTTCAAAACATGTTAAGACTATTTTTGCCACAAACCTGCCAGTTGTCTGATTTGAGCTTCTTAATCTGTGCCCATAGGCAATCAAGATACTGTTAAGACAATAAAATTTTCAGGGCTTTAAACATGAAACTAATATCAATTGCAGGACCTTGAATGTAATATAACAATAATTAATCAAATGCTCAACCTCCCATATTACATTTTCAGCATTCTGATTGGTTCACTAAAAATCTTGGTTATCAGCTCCTATGCCATATAACTGTATAATAATGTAAACGGAAAATAATAGTGCCATATGTAACCAGGTTAAAAATTTTAGATGTGACTAAGCTTAACTTTTTAAATTTAATCAGTATGATGGAGCAAGATAAAAATTTCTTCCTTGTGCAGTGTAACAGTTACGACATCTTACCTCTTCTTGAGGGTGAGGTTCATCAGATGACCACACTCGCAAGGCAGGAATGTGAGTCTTCTGTCTTTGACTAGTCAATTTAAAAAATAAACATCAAGAACATTAACATCTGATGGATTTGCATGTACAAGTAGATAAGTCAGCAGGTCTTTTCACAAGCAGCTCAGTTGACCTCTATTTAAAATTGTACCTTATGTAGCTTTCAATTGTTGACAACAACCGTTCAAATTCCAGACTCTTCTTCTCAGAGAGTTCTTTGGCAGCCTAGAATAAGAGAGAGACCTCAGTAATGTTATTTATCACAAAAGAAACTGCTAAAATTAATCCATGTGAAGGGATGGGGGTTGAAACCATTTCTTAGTTGATTTTTAAGTTTTAAAGATAAGGAGAAATTAGAATTTAGACTTACATTAATCCTGGTTTTTCATATTGCTTAGGCTGTTAAAATTAAGCATTTTGTTCAAATTACTAGATGCTGTCATACTGTACATCTACTGACAACATTTACTTATAGGACCAAGTAAAAGCTCAGTAATGTGGACAAGGGGTTGACCTGACAAGGAGAATTTGTTTAGCAATCAAGAACTTTTTTAGTTGGTGATCATTTTCATATTCTTATAACCCTGATGTTTGATTCAGGGCTGATATGTTGGTAGGGAGACTGTCAGAGAAGAAGAAATTATGTCAACACTTTCCCATTTAAATCGACTTTTGCGGTTGAACTTACCCATGGCAATGAAGATAGTACTGTGTACACAAACCAGTCAGACCGGGCCTAAAACATATTAAACAGGCAATAGTATTTTCCCATTGAAAAGATAATTCTGTCAGGACAATGTGTAAGATTTACTGATCATTCACAATAAAACAATCATTACCATTACTTTCAGGATTATCATTAATATCATAAATAATATTTATGTTACCATAAATATTACAAAATGCATCATGAAATTAGATGTGATCGCAGATTTAAAGGGATGATGACTTGCAGAGTGAACGGTTCAAATCAAATAACTAGGAATCATCTTATGAAAGTAATGAAAGCACATTATACAGCAAAGAATAAGAAAACCTTTAAGCAAAAAAAAGTGAAGAATTTTCTTATAAATGGTAAACAAAATTATTTACATGGAATGCTTTTTTAAGGTATAACATGTGCAAAAACAAGGATGATTTCACCTGTGGAGCATTGTCCTCCATAGTAGCAGCCAGGAACTTATCAAAAAACTCCAGCAGTCCACTATGCATGAGAACTCTGCAGTTAACGAGATCAGCAAGAAACCGCACCTAGTAAAAACAATAAATGTCAAAACTGTACAATTTGATTAAAAACACTTTGATTACATGCAAGAGAAATAATAGTGTGTCAAGAGATTCAGATCCTACTTATGGTGATTAGGATCCTTAAATCAGACCAGACTGAAAGGTTTAGACCTAAGTACTTGCTGGGTTGCCTATGTTCTGTGCTTCTGTAACCCAATCTTTCCCAAAACCTAAGGATATGGGTTATAGTACTGAATTACCAGGAACCAAGAGGGGTCAAGGGTTACTTGCAACAAACTAGCATTAACACTCCAAGTTACTCCACATCAGTGGCAACCCACAAAAGATCAGTTAAAATGAAATTAATAAATACCCTAGAAATAAATATATCAAAAGCTAATTTATCAAAAGTTAATTGATTACCATTAATCTAGCTCTATCAAATTGAGCAGCAATCAGCACTTCCTTGAGGTTTTCCAAAATCATGTCTAGGAACTAAACAATAGATTGAGCCATTAGTATCCAGCAGAAAGTGGGTTAAACTGGAAAAACAGCTCACTAAGGACATTTCTTTTCTGATCTATGTATAATCAAAATCAAAACCTCAGTTGGCAATTTTTTGTGTAAACTTGATGAACTGAAACAAAAAACTTGAGTTGACAGAGTACCTCCTCTCCACAGCTGTAACTCTTTGCATTTAAAAGTCCAACAAGTGTGCTGTAGATAGTGATTTTCTCTGGTAGATTTGTAGCACTGAAAGCATAAATTCACATGCAAATTTCAAGCTTGTAAAACTGAACAAAGAAAAGTGAGAAACACATCGAAGTTTTGATAAATTTACAATGTACAACACAAGTAAAACCACAGAAGTGCTTTTCATGACTAACAAAAAATGTGATGCTCTCTAAATTTTGTTGCTTCAAAAGTCATGGATCAATCAGCGCAACTGTTTTATTGCTCTGCTTTCCAGTGCTTTAGACAAACAGCCAATTAAGTCTTTCTTTGCAGGGATCACCAATCAGTTTCCTTTGACCAATAAATTTACATGTAACAGTTGACTAACAGCCCCCAAAAGGGAAATCAACCAAGATGCCATATCAGAATGCACAAGATATGGCACAGTATTACATTGTTATGGCATAGTAGTGGAATAATAAACTCTTGTGTAGCCAATCAAAAAAAAAAAAATATGCTATGGTTTCTTACCAAGTGCAAATAATCTTCAGGATACGTTCTTTATAATTTGGCAGATCAGCTTCTAGCACATTGGCAAGACCTTCCAGATTGCTTTCAAGCGATGAAGTACTCTGTATCAAGAGATAAAATTCAAGGAAAGGTATTTCTAATAGACAGTGAAAGTTTAATATACATGTATTGCACTGAGAGCTTGTACCTTTTCTCCAACACGTGTAATGAGGGATTCTAACCGATCTTCAATATCCACAGTTTCAGTTGTTCTTCTTCTTTTGCGTGCTCTCCCATCTGAGAATTTACAGGAACAAAAAGCATTACATAAAGTATCAATAACAAACCATTTAAGTCACAAACTCATTCCTCAAAGCAATAAGGACAGATGTCATAACACTCCCTTGAGAACAAGAAGGTACTAAAAATGAAAAACATCTAAATTTACTGTACATGGCGTATCTCAAGATAAATGGTCCTGAAGCATGGACTTGGAAATATGAAAGGTTGGAGTCGTAATAAAACTTAAGAAAAATCAAGCTGTTTCAATGATAATACCAAAGAAATACCATTTCCAGAAATTTTGGAAATATATGTTATTCTGGTTGATTTCTCTTTAGAGTTTATGAAATTGTCAGTCAACTTTTACATGTAAATTTGTTGATCAAAGGAAACTGATTGGTCATCCCTGCAAAGAACGATTTAATTAGCTGTACATCTACAGCAGGGTCCATCAGTGTTAAATCGCTGATTTTGAAAGTTATCGTGGCACCCAGATATAAAATGGTCCAATGAGGCCCACAATGTCCGCACACTTCGAAGAATGGGAACTAACATATGATGATTCGGTGACAAAAACAAACCAACGAAAAAAAACAGCACAATAGAAGAAAAATAACATCAACATGTGGCTCTGCATCCTATTGTTTAAAAAAACAAAATATTTTCTATCTCGCCAGCCTTTCCAAGCACAAAAGCAAGACACACAGCTGACAGTAGAAATCCTTAGTGAGAAAAACATCGATGAGCCACTCGTCCTCGGCTTCTTCTTTAGATCAACAGTTTTGTTCCCCACCATTTTCACGTCGTCTTTGAATCAGGAATCGGAAAAGTAAAACACTTCGAGGTTGTCGCACGTAAAGAAGATATAATCTTTATCTGTGGTACAGCAGATGAATTAAACGTGACAACTTAGAGTCACCCTCGCACGAGCACCTCAACAAAGGGGAACTCTAATTAACACATCACACGAGAAAGGAAATAAGAGCAAACCTTCTTCTTCACTATAATATCTTCTTTTCTCTCTTGACATGGTTTGAGCTCCAAGCTTTTCTAGTAAGCTAGAGAAGACGAGAGAAGACAAACTCCCGGTGAATGCTTTTGAACGTTGCTCCTTGTGTTACAGTTTCCGCACTGATAGCTACGTCGTATATTGTTACTATAGTGTACCACCAACGGTTACTCGCCTCGTTCTCCATCTCCCTCACGACATGAGTAAAAGGCTCGGTGTCTTAGTCAATACAAGATGGCGACTATTTTGCAAGGTAGGGTTGTGGATTTGTAGCTTCAGTAAAGGGAAGAGTGGAACGAATTGTGCGAATTTTCGCGAAGCTTCCTAAGAAATTAAATATAAAAGTTTCGAGGTAGTATAAAAGTTTCGGTCACAAGTGATCTGGGGTTCAGGAGAGGTAGATCAACTCTACTCAGCTGTAAAACATGAAATGACGGTGGGTGAATCGCTGAAGTAAACTGCTTCGCCAATGACATCAGTTCATCTTTGGGCAATATTTCCGTATAGTTCCATGCTTTATTATGCATATAATTATTTTATAAACAAACCAATGAGGGAAAATTCAAATAAGTGGCCCTATATTCTGGAGTATTACTGGAAAAAAAACAACCGTTTTCTTATTGTGATCTGACTAGAGATCTGAGATGGTTATCTCCACGAGATAGAGACAAGGTAAAACTTAAAAATACAGGGCCACTTATTTGCATGTTGTTGAATCACACATGAATGGAATTGCATGTCATCTCTCTTGAAGGATTGTTTAGAAGTCGCTTTCAAGTACTTTCAAGTCGGCAATTTTGGTTTGGTGAAGTTCAGAGTTTTCATCCTATTTCTTGGTGTGTTTTTCAAGCACTTTTTGGGAATGACAGAGCAAGAATACTACAAAGTAATAACATACTTCCTGGTAGAAGGTAATTTCTTTGCTTTGTAGGGTTTAGAACAAAGGGTTGTGAAAATTTACATAATCATGTTTCAGCTCTTTACCGTGAAACTTAGGAAACCATCTGAGAAAACTGTGATTTGATTCTAAGTAGTCTGTCATAACCAATCGCAACAAATTTCAAGACCTTCCAGGAAACCTCAAAACAACCAACTTCTTAACTTGTTTCTGGCAGTTTAACACTCAAGGCTTACTGGTTTTTCTGTAACCCTTTAGCTTGCAGAAGTGATTAAAGTGTAACTTCTCCCTATAGTACCCATAAATTATCCAGCAAACAGGTTAAGAGAATTCTCAAATTTATCAGGTGGAAATTGTTATCGTGTTCTAACATAAAATTGTTGTAACCTATTTACAAGCAGCTAGAGGGGAGACTTAACAATTACATCTTGGGAATAATTAATTCTGTGTTCACAATTTTCTGTTTCCTATACGTGTAGTAAAGATACAAGGTTTGGGTGTGGAGGATAGATTGAAATAATGGGATTACAAAATCTTGAGTTCCAAAAAAACAATAAACAAAGAGCAAGAACCACACTCAGGCTGTACACATCTTATGCAAACAACTACATGTAATTCTAGTTGGCACTAGTGTGAACTTTTTTCCATCTGTTTAGACACAAAAAAATCCTTGGAAAGATATTTGGAATTTGTTAAACTTTTTATGCTTTCATAAGCTAGAAACTGTGTTATACTTGCAAAATAAGGGCTTGATTGCCAATATGATGTTGGAAGTAAATTCTGTACGAACCCTCTTCACCCTAACATCAGTGTGCATACTCTCCATACTGTTCTCTATAAATTTCCATTGGTACTGCCATGAAGAATTTGTTTAACAATCAAGAGCTTCTTTAGTTGGTGAGAATTCCCTTTTACATTTTGATTTTAATATTTGATTCACCAGTGATACTGTAAAGATAAATTAGCTACATTGCTGAAATGACTTTTCATTTATAGATCAGCAGGGTCATATTTGGACATAAAGAAGCATCACAGGGCATATGGCTCTCAAATATTAAAATTCAATCATCTTCCTGTGATACATATCAAAGCAACATTTAACAATACAGTCATTACAATATTGGACAAAAATGGTGAGAGATGGTTAACAAGTTATTGTATCTTTTCATTGTCAATATCTGTGATTTCTTTTTTATTTTTTTTCTGTTGAAAACGTTATTACTTTTATTTTTTAGAAAAAACGTTGGGATGGGTTTCAGCGGTAAGTAAGTGAACATGGTTGCTCACACTCAATAAATTTTCCATTAAATTTTGATTTTGATTTTAAGAAAAATTTTTTTTCTGTGTTGTGAATGTCAGGGAACAGAGGGATTTAAGAATGCAAGGGGAGGAAGTTCTACAGCAGCACGACAGGCTGGAATAGCAGCTGCTCAGGTAAGATTTTTGTAAGCTCTCTTTACCTAATGAATAATGGGCAGGGGGGGGGACTTTTGTAAGAAACTGTAGTGATGTGTCTTTTGGGGATATGAAAAGATAGTTTGATTTTAATATCTGAGTTGATCAAATACATTGGCCACTGTGAAGAGTTTCTAAAGCTGATGTTTCAAGCAGTAGCTCAGGCTAAAACTTAAAAAATCAGCTTAAGAAACTCTCTACAGTGGGAAGAGTTAATAGTGTTGACTCAGTTGTTAAAACCAAATTATCTTCTTTACTTAGATTGAAGTCTATTAAATTTTCATCCCTGATGGAATAAAAAAGTGATAAAAGGTCTTTAATAATAATTTTGTTCTATAATTTTTGGAATTTTCTACTTATATTTATTTAGTAGTAATAAAAATTACAATATTTTTATGATAGTGTAATGATAATGATAATCAAAGGGCTTATGAAGCAGCATTTCCCACACACTAAGGTGAAATAACTATTATTTATGAGGTTCTTTTACATTTTGATTTGATTATTTTTGGTTTACAGTGTCTATTTACTTTTCTCTTGAAATTCAGAAAGCAATTTCATTAGGAGTAGACAAAGCACGAATAAAAATCCGTGGTATTGGAACTGGACGACAGGTATTTACAGTGTATTTCCCAAATAGCATAAATTTCTCTTCTTAGAATACTGTATGAAAATCTGTTTGAAATCTCCTTGTTTTTTGGCAAAGTCCTTCCCATGAGTAAAATAGAGTCTGTGGTGTGTTTTACTCTTTCTAAGGACTACACTGCAAAAGAGGGACTACCTGTAGTCTATACCAACCAGTTTCAACGCTATTGCATCCTTGTTTTTGTTTGAAACAGATCTGTGGTAACCTTATACTCTTTTTCTTGTTATCTTTAGGGTGCAGTAAATGGCATTGTATTTGCTGGAGTGGACGTGGTCTCAGTTACAGATGTTACCCCTGTTCCTCATAATGGCTGTAGACCCAGAAAAGCTAGAAGAGTGTAAAGTGACAAAGTATTAAAAAAAGTTCTCAATTTGAGGCAGATTGTGGTTTGTTCTTCTAAACATCTAGGGAACATAAATTGCAACAGCTCTCAGAAATCAGCGTAAATTTGTTTACACAGGGAGGCTTCAACAGAAAGAACAAGAAACAACACAATGTACCAGTTCCAAGACATTTACCCACATTCTTGTCATTGCTGTTGCCTTTTTTCCAATCGTTTGAACTGAGTTATGGCGTGAAATAATCAGCTCTAATAATTTGCTCTTCAATGTGTATTCTTTTCCGCCTCAGCCCGGTGAATGCTGAGTGAAGGGACGAATCTTGCTTCGGCTCATAATTTCCCTCAAGATCATTCTCATATGCTTCTGATTTTAGCCCCATTTTTTGTTATTAAAGATTAAGTTCAGGGGGAGGCTTTCAAATTTTAGGAATATTTATACTACCCATTTATTTTTTGACTGTTAAAATTGAAACGGAAATTTCCCGAGTTTTCTCTCATTAACGGATTTGAACACTTCGCTTGGCCTCTTTCTTATGAACCACATTATGTAGTGCTCGGAACTCCGCTTAATGTTCAACCTGGAACATAGAATACAATGAACGATTGATTATGAAAGCTGGGTTATCAACTTCCACAAACTTCTTCTTTCATGAGATGTCAATAACTAACCACTGCCTTCAAATGACTTATTTACTGCACCAGAGTATAAGAAATCAAAACAACAACCTACTTTAAAACAGGTCAAGGGTCGACTAATCCCAACTGTAGCACTTTTCCCGAGCGTTGAAAAATATTTGACGATTAATAAACACAATAACCTTCAATCGAAGCTCGCAATTATCAAAAACTGTTCGCATCCCGGAACAAATAATGTCAGCGGATAAATATCCGTGCATATTATGGCGCCAATTGGAGGCTCTGGTTTATTTTTAACTCACCCATTACTAAGTTTCACGCGACTGCCTAGGCTACTTGGCAGTCGCGTGGGTATATACGCCATGGCTGAATGCCATATAGACGACAAAATGGCTGACAATATATATACTTTTTTTTTTTTATTTTTTTTTTTTTTAATAGTATCTCTTTATTGCGCCGTACTCTCCAAAGGGAGATGTTAGTCTACTTACAATAAAGTTCAATAATACAATATGAATAACATAAAACGATAACTTTACCATATCCGAATATAATACGTTGATTGAAAAGCTATTACTGCTAAATTACATTTGTGCATTGAGACTTTGATACATTAAATGAGGAAAAGTGAAAAAAGAAAAAGAACGTAACACTGTTAACAACGTTCACTGTTGGCAGGTGTACCACTAAGTTTTTTATTTATTTACTTTTTTATTATTTAAATTTTGTTTTTATTTTATTTTGTATTTTTTAAAGAGAGTTGAGATATTTTAACCGCATTTGTCAGGAGCTAGTTATTGACGGTATTTTCAATTAGGTCCCTTTGGTGAACTGCATTCACAAAGTCGTGGAGGACAATGGGCTTGTTGTTAAGTTTACAACTATAGATATAATAACGCATGAATAGTGTGACGTAGTCGAATTTCTTGGTGGTACTATTCTCGTTTAAGTTGGAGGTAATTCCGAATAAAAGTTCCTCCGTAGTTGGAGAGAACTGTGAATTGTACGTTGTGTTAAACCACCGAATGACTTTCTGTATGAATGATTTCGTAAAGGGACAGTGAATAAAGGTGTGATCGATTGAGTCTTTTTCCCCACAAAAGCAGCATTCTTCGTCAGTTTTAATACCATATTTGAATAGTTCTCTCTTTGTCACCACGATTCTATGAATAAACTTAAATTGAAATTCTTTTAGTTTTGTTTCTTTGCACAGCTTTCGTATTGACTTAAATATCTTTGCCCATTTTTCATCATTCAAAGAAAGTATTTCGCTCCATCTTTTAGGACCTGCCTGACCTCCAGTGTGGATTTTAGCAATTAAAAGATTATAGAAATCCCTTGATTTGGCTTTATCAAGGTTGAGCGTGAAATTTCCGTTGAGGTGAAAAAGATGATCATTACTTGTGAAAAACTGATTATTAACTGATTCTATTTGTCTTGCTTTCGACCGTAGCCGGTCAGGTATGGCACTAATAATCTGAAAATACTGGAGGAAGTTTGTCTTGCAAGAAAACTTTCCTTTAAATTCCTGGAATGAGAGATAGCTACCATCCTCCTTCAACAAGTCTTTAATAGAAACGATACCCTTCTCCATCCAGTTGCTGAGATAAACGGGTGTTTCATCTACTAGAATTTCTTTATTATTATACAGTACTACATCACTTTCCTGGTCGTAACCGTAAAGTATTTTTAATTCTTGAAAGAATTTGAGAATGTTCTTATAAAAGGCTGGCACTTGAGGGAAGTACTTTGTGTCGTAGTTGCATTTTAGAAGAAAATTTAAGCCCCCCTTTTTCCTGAAATAGTGGTTTGGCACAGAGCACCAATTTTTATCTCCAGCATTCAAAAGTCTAGGGATCCATGCAAGTCTCAAGGCTTTAAACATAAGATCTACATCTGTCATGCGTAGCCCACCTTCCTCTAAATCTTGGTAAAGCACGGTTCGTTTGATCTTATCCTTCTTCTTTTTCCATATAAAGTTAAACAACTTTCTTTTCAGCGTGTCTGCGATTGTATCAGGAACTTCAATATTTGAAGCGGAATAAATGATCTGTGAGATACCTAGAGTTTTGGTTATTAAAACTCTTCCAAATAGCGTGAGGCTTCTATATGCTTTAAGATTCATGTAAAACTTACAATATGTCCTAGTTAGCCATGTTCTACCACGTTAACCCACATTTACCTTAAGTTAGCCATGTTCTACCTCGTTCACCCACATCTACCCTAAGTTAACCATGTTCTGCCGTTAACCCACATCTACCCTAAGTTAACCATGTTCTACCACGTTAACCCACATCTACCCTAAGTTGACCATGTTCTACCACGTTAACCCACATCTACCCTAAGTTGACCATGTTCTACCACGTTAACCCACATCTACCCTAAGTTAGCCATGTTCTACCACGTTAACCCACATCTACCCTAAGTTAGCCATGTTCTACCACGTTAACCCACATCTACCCTAAGTTAACCATGTTCTACCACGTTAACCCACATCTACCCTAAGTTAACCATGTTCTACCACGTTAACCCACATCTACCCTAAGTTAACCATGTTCTACCACGTTAACCCACATCTACCCTAAGTTAACCATGTTCTACCACGTTAACCCACATCTACCCTAAGTTAACCATGTTCTACCACGTTAACCCACATCTACCCTAAGTTAACCATGTTCTACCACGTTAACCCACATCTTCCCTAAGTTGACCATGTTCTACCACGTTAACCCACATCTACCCTAAGTTAACCATGTTCTACCACGTTAACCCACATCTACCCTAAGTTGACCATGTTCTACCACGTTAACCCACATCTTCTCTAAGTTGACCATGTTCTACCACGTTAACCCACATCTACCCTAAGTTAACCATGTTCTACCACGTTAACCCACATCTACCCTAAGTTAACCATGTTCTACCACGTTAACCCACATCTACCCTAAGTTAACCATGTTCTACCACGTTAACCCACATCTTCCCTAAGTTGACCATGTTCTACCACGTTAACCCGCATCTTCCCTAAGTTAGCCAGGTTCTACCACGTTAACCCACATCTACCCTAAGTTGACCATGTTCTACCACGTTAACCCACATCTTCTCTAAGTTGACCATGTTCTACCACGTTAACCCACATCTACCCTAAGTTAACCATGTTCTACCACGTTAACCCACATCTACCCTAAGTTAACCAGGTTCTACCACGTTAACCCACATCTTCCCTAAGTTGACCATGTTCTACCACGTTAACCCACATCTTCCCTAAGTTAGCCAGGTTCTACCACGTTAACCCACATCTACCCTAAGTTGACCATGTTCTACCACGTTAACCCACATCTACCCTAAGTTAACCATGTTCTACCACGTTAACCCACATCTACCCTAAGTTAACCATGTTCTACCACGTTAACCCACATCTACCCTAAGTTAACCATGTTCTACCACGTTAACCCACATCTACCCTAAGTTAACCATGTTCTACCACGTTAACCCACATCTACCCTAAGGTAACCATGTTCTACCACGTTAACCCACATCTACCCTAAGTTAACCATGTTCTACCACGTTCACCCACATCTACCCTAAGTTAACCATGTTCTACCACGTTAACCCATATCTACATTTTACATTTTCTTTTCACGTTTAGTAAATATATCAAGTATACCAAAAGTACCATTCGTCAGACAAGCGCCATCTTGAATGGCGCAATCTTTTCTGTGACCTCCAAAGTTTTGTTTCACACTCGCGTGAGATACGTATAAGTCTTCTCCACAGCCGTTGTTTACTGATCTCGTCAAGATTTTTTTACTTATAGTTTGTTTCAATATATTCGATTTTTTTCATAACGGTAAAGCGTTGTGTCGTCCAGTTTTGTACTGATTCAAACAAAACTGGGCATACAATGCAAAGATTTCCAAATGAAGCAAATTTGAAACAACAAAGGGTTAAATTTGTTCAAGTAAAAGGAGTCCATTTCGTCGAGCCGTTCGAACATTTTGTTGTTTGTAGCAGTCATTTTTCTCTCGATTGCGATGAGAAAAGCTACATGGTTGAAATGGGCCTTAAAATGCAAAAACAACTTCTTCCTAGTGCTGTACCGACGATTCAGGCCCTACCGGAAGCAAATGATTCTGAAGTAAAAAGGGGACCCATACAGTCGGCAGACGGCGAGGATTCGGAAGTGGCCGACCGCACTGACAAAAAACCGAGGAGAAGTGAAGTTCTTCAAAAGTTAGAGGTCATCAGAGTAAGTACTCAATTGATTGACATGGAAACCCTACGAGTATTAAATAACTAAAGCTTTATCGATTCTCTAAAAGCACCTTTTTTCTCATCAATTGAAAGATTGTGGGGAAGCCAGTTCGGGAGCCAGCGCTGAGCCCATAGAAGACATTAACCTGTCTGAACTTTTGCATGAATTCGAAACATATGTCAAAGAAAGAGAATTCGTTGATGTGGGTTTGTGATGTGATGAGCATCAATTTTATACATGATGCTATAATTGACTCTTATTTCTATATGGGAATCCATGCCAACCCCACTTGCCGCTTCCTTTGAGAAACCCTGCAAAGAAACAACAGTTGAAGAATTTATGTCACAGTTTTCACAGCAGTGGAATTACATTCAAAGATCAGAAGGACTATTTTTTTTTATTCTGAATATAGCTCAAAAGATCCCGATTCCAGATTGCGAAACTATCTTTTAGTATTTTCAATGGAAGCAAACACAAACAGGATTCGATAATTATGCAGGCCATACAAAGAAATGTAGAAGTTATAACTTGCTTAAAGATGAAAATGCTTTGGAGATAAAGGAAAGCAATACATAAATATCTCCTAACAAACAGGCACAACCGCTAGTGTTGTAAGACATAAATAACCATATCTGCATTAACATGTACCTTTTCTCTCAAAGGCTAGGGGTTTAATACAGTGAAAAACGTTCCAAAATCCGCCGGAAAAGTGTTTCGGATTTTGTTTACCGCACAAGATTTTTTTTTGTGATTTCTTTCTTCTTTTTTTGCGTTTTACAAAACTTTACTCTACTTACAATACACTACAGGACTCAGTTACAATGCGTCACTTACAATAATGTACTGAGAACACACTACTAACAAAGCATAGTTTGCAATAAACTTGATTAAAGAAGATGACTTACTCTCGATTACTTACACTACCGACACAATACTCTACATTTTCATTATTTTACGACAAATTACACTACTTTTAATATGTTACGGTAAATTACTTACAGTATCTTACTAATAGTATATAGCGAATTTGTATGCTTTACAATAAAATTTGACTTCTTCTGCTACTCTGCATTGTTTGGATGACACCCATCACATAAACCGATATGTGGCAAAAGCTTATCCCATTTCTGAAAATGTTTTGCTAATTTATTCCGCTTTGCTGCTATCTTCATTTCTATCTGTTATATCTCCCCGATCTTGGCCTTATAAACTCGTATGGAGGGATTATTAGAATTCAATTTACACTTGTATATATAAAATTTAGCTGTCAGTATTAGATGATTTAGAATAATCAAGTCCTCTTCTGCATTGAAAACTCCAAAAAATATATCCATTATTGAAAATGTTTGAAAGTTAAATTGACATTCATCAAGCCAAGAACAGAAAGCTTCCCAGAAGGCCTTTGTAACATTGCAGTAGAAAAATATATGTTCGAAGGATTCAACCACTCTACAAAAAGTGCATAAAGGCGGATCCGACAATCCCCACTATATTATTTAATACTTTATATTGGAATTCTCTAATTTTAGTTTAAATTGTGACGGTAAAAGGCGAGGAGTATATTTTCTTCCAGTCAAACGGAAACTGTGGAAATTTTTCATCGAACTTTTTTTGCGCAGTTGGAGGGATATGCTTTTTGCTTTTAAACACGTTATAAAGTGATTTGGACGTGATTTTTGCTAGCATTACATCAGAATTTTCTAATTTCAATAAATTATGTCATCGGTATGAGAAGGGAGATGTTGAACGCTTTGTCTAATAATACGCCTCCAGTCACGAGGAATGGCGTCTTCGACGCTCATTAACCTAAAATGTGGTATCGGAGATAAATTTGCATGTAATACCTTCACATCCTTTAAGAAGATTCCAGTGTCAGAAATGAGATCACCGATCGTAACAATTCCTTTAGAAAGCAAGTGTTTTTCGAAAAGTGAGATCTTTTGGACAGTATTATTTTTATTTTTCCATATAACCTGGTGACCTACATCTTCATACGAAAGTATCGAAGGTTGCCTTAACATGGACCAAGCGTCCAGGCACTCCTTATAAAAGGTCGGGAGTTAGATAGGTAACTGTCTGGTATCAAAATTAGACTTAAGAACAAATTCTCCCCCTACCTGAGAAAGGAAGTAATTCAATGTTATTTTCCAAGAGCTGTTATAATCTTTATTTGTAAATCTTTTTAATACCATCACCCTCTGTGCGAGGATCATCGACTGAATATCCAACATCTTAAGCTCTCCATCCTCGTATCATTGATAAGAGCGGCGCGTTAATTTTATCATTGTCTTTCCAATTAAAACGGTACATCAGACTGTTGACCTCTTTAATTAAATCATCTGTGACTGTAATCAACGACCCTTTACTCAAGACTTTGGGGATAATAAACGATTTAACAAGCTGTATCCTTCCCAGAAGCGTAAGCCCTCTCCATTTCCACATATTTATTGTATTTTTGATAGACTATATAAAACACCTTCGGAAGCTCAGCTTAAAAAATTTCTATGCATTCCTTTAAGTTGTACCCTTGCTTTATTGGATTTTTATGCCAAATACAAATAAATAACACGGTAAATTAAATACCAGTCTGAGTTTCCGAGACGACCATTAACGCTGTCAACATGTTCCGTTCTGTCTTCGTGCGGATCGTTTCGGTGAACCCTACGCGGCTCATATTGTTAAGGACGTGGCCCAGACTCCCCTAAAGATTCTGGATTATCCCCATCGCTGCCATATACTAATCTTAAGGCATTCGAGTCACTCCCTTCTAAAAAAAACATCGTCCGCAGAACTACTGCTATTTGCACGAGCTGCCATACCAATTACACTGTGGAATACGTGTTGCGCGATACTTTATTGCCACCGCTTATTTAAGTCACCACTTCTCGCTACTGTTTTCACCGGAAGTGGAATTTCAGTTAAAATGCCGATTTTTTTCCCTGAAATAAGTCAAATGGACAAAACGAACTGCAAGTTCGTTTTCTATGCCACTTTTTTACATTGAATAAGGAAAACATGTATTACACTCCCTTTAACAATTCACGACATCTTCAATGACTCAAACGAGAAAAGAAGAAAATAAAACGCTGTTCCAAAATCGTAACGAGCGTGACACAAATGGAAGAGGAACTAAACGAGGGGAACTCAAATTGATTGAAAAGATTTGAGTTCCCCTCGAGAATCGAATCTCCTTCCTTCCAATTTCGCAGAGGGTGTTATTAACAATGATCAACCACAGCAGTATCCAACCACAAAATCACAATGCTTGAGCTTCGAATCCGTCCATGTTCGAGGTTACAAGATGTTGCCGGGTTGAGTTCCATCATCAGGTCCGGTTGTTCAAAAGTAGGATAACGCTATCCACTGGATAAATCGCCATCCACTGGATAGCGCAGTACGTTTTCTCAACAGTTATCCGCTGGATAGTGATTTATCTGTTGAACAGCGTTATCCACTTTTTTTTTTTTCTTCTGGGCCCAGATCTATAACAAAGGACATTCTGTTACTCAGTTTTTATTTTCACGTGATAACAAAGTAAGTCAAAGGGATTACAATAACTTTCCGAGTCAATCACTGTACCTAACTCGCTACAAAAACTGTCTCTACAGAGAAGGCTTGATGAAAGAAAAATCCAACTCAAGCAAATTTAAAAGACACAAGGATCTTGACATGATATCAAAACTCTTTTCTAAAAACCGAAAACTAAACACTATATTAAAGATAGTAAATATGAAAGCGATCTTCGCTGTAATGAAGTTAATATGAAGTATATAGACAAATATGATTGTCATAGATTCACAGTTATATAAAAACATGCGGCAAACTTTAATGTTCAATTTGCATAGAAACTACCTCGATGCTGCAATTGACCAAGAACGGAAATCTCAACTTAAAATTGAATTAAATTTTACGATGCAACTGAAACATTCGTAAGATTCATATTGAAAAACATCACCAACACGACCTACTAGCGAAATAAACTGCTTCCCAATCTACAAATAAAGTAGATGGTCCTTTGAAATAAATTCTTTGTGAATAAATCTTCCAAGTTTAACTTTCTACTCATTCCAGAAACAAATGAAAAATTCGCCAAAATTTTTTAACTGAGGAAGTGCCCACTACTTCTTGAGTCTCTTAAAATACTTTAACTATTTCAATCGTGATCAGTAAAACGGAAATTAGTTTTTTAAAATTCAATTGTAAGCAAAATCTACCATAGTTCACCGACTATTCTGCAACACACTGTTGTCTTTCATACTATGCACTAAGAAATTAAAATTGAGTTAATTTAAAAACTAGTGTATTTTTACTGACAGACAATATCGCTACATGCCGAGATTATCAGGACGTTTTAAAACTGAGACATTATGCCTTTAAAACCAAGCTAAATCGCCGAAAATACCGAGGAAGTTCCTGTCGCCGGAGAAGTTGGTTTCAAATCGTTGCCAAAAACCATCAGCAAGGATCTCGTCTTTTCTGCAAACAGGATAAAAAGGATCAGAAAGGAAAATAGAAACTGTTCATTTTAACATAAGTTGAATACGTTCCTGAAGTAAGAAACCTGTTTAACACACCGATATATGTAGAAGTATCAGAAATTGAAGGAGTGATGAACTTAATAATCAACATTTACGATACGAGCTATGCGTAGCAACAGCGCGGAACGAGCTAATATTCCTTTCACTCATTTTGATATACATTGTACACACTCCGAGATTGATATTACGTCATCGTGTTCATCATTACACATCCTTGGAAAAGTTTTGGTTAAAGTCTTCCATTAAACCAGAATATCATTTTGCTGCTCATTGCATATCATACGTTGCGATTGCGTGACTAAGAGCAAATCATCTTTGAAGACATAAAAGCCGTTGCAGTTAGCCGCTCGCGAATTTGATCATTTTCGGAGCACTAAAATTTGAATGGCAGAAACTTATACCTTGGCGTGATTGATTCTCTTCATGCAAATATGATGCGGGCTTGATTTAAAATATATTATCAATTAATATTTGCCTACCTCCATCTGACAATATCCCAAACTCCTATCTTCAAATTCATTCCAGAGTGACGTCATCCCCAATGAGTACAAAGGGTGCCCAGTACTTCACATCGCTGAACTCTTCAGACTCTTTCATGCTCCTCATAGCTTGGTTAAGAGCTTCACTTGCAAGCTTGCCAGTAACCAGTTCTTCATAGAAATGTTTCATAAACACGAGAGTAGCCTTGTCATCAATTGCCCACAGCGACACGAGAACAGAGCGAGCGCCGGCACCTAAAAACGCTCTTGCAATTCCAACAACTCCCTCAGCCTTAATCTCTCCACGACCACTGTGACAACAACTTAACACAACCAGCCTCGCTCGCATCCGAACATCCAGCACATCTTTCATTGTTAGAATAAAATCCTCCTCAACAAAGAGCAGTGATGAGCAGGTACTTCGTGGCGCCAAGGCAATTTCGCCTGTTTCCATTCGGCCATGTGCAGCAAAGTGCACCAAGGCAACAGAGGGAAGTCGCCTCAACACTTCATCTTTTCTTGCTTCTTCACCAATAAGAGGATCAGCGCCAAGGATTCTCCCGAGTATCTCAACTTCTTCTCTCGCACATGGCAGTGGATCGAGCTTCCTCCCCTCGTAAAGAACCCCCTCTAAACATGGATCACCCACAAGTAAAGCACTTTTCTTATTGTGGAAGTCGTCTGGGTAATCGTTTATCAACTTCAAAGTAGTTAGGGATGGAGTCATTCGAACTCGGAAAGAGTCACACAAATAATTTGACTCGGGATCCATCAATGCAGCAAAAGGAACAGACCACAATGAACTCTCGGGAACAAAGATAATTTCATCGCCATTGATCAGATCACCAATCGGCTCAATGATAACGTCATACAACATCCTCAAAGCAGCTTTCGGTGAGCTTTCAGGAGAGAAATAACCACGACCTGACCTTTTCTTCGCTAATTCTTCAGCGCATGGCTCATCAAGAGAGCGATCTTCACATTCAATAACACCTCTTTTAAACGCTCTTGATGCTGTGTTCATTAAGCTTCCAATAAAGGTATTGACATCTTCGAACGAGCCATAATTACTTATCTCAGTACTTCTCAATTGAATATCTTGAAAGCTGTTAATAAACCAGTAGAATATCTTGCGTGCCTTATCATCTACAGCCATGAAAACTGTATGTGAAACAGCACAGCTTGCAAGGACCTCAAGATCACAATTCCCTGGAGTGTGAGGCCCAGGCTGTGTTCCTCCCGACCCATACCTGAAACAAATCAGATCATTAAGAGCCTGTGCACGTCCTTGTTCAGCAGATAAAAGCGCATCCAAAATTTGATCTAGTTTTAAGTGAAGACACCACAAACAAGTGTATGCGGTTCTTTGCATGTCGCGGTAGCTAATCTTCCAATCATCTCTGAACCGCAAATTGGCTCGGATAACGTCAAAAATTACGACACAAGAACGATACAGGTTGACGGCTCTTTCCAGATTTCCTAACCTCCAATAAGCATTGCCGAGATTGCCGTAACTCTTTCCCTCTCCAGCCTTGTCTCCCACTTCTTTGGCAATTTTTAGATGACGTTCATGATACTGGATGGCTCTTTCGAAATCTCCTAGGCTATAATAAGCATTGCCGAGATTGCCGTAACTCTTTCCCTCTCCAGCCTTGTCTCCCACTTCTTTGGCAATTTTTAGATCACGTTCATGATACTGGATGGCTCTTTCGAAATCTCCTAGGCTATCATAAGCATTGCCGAGATTGCCGTAACTCTTTCCCTCTCCAGCCTTGTCTCCCACTTCTTTGGCAATTTTTAGATGACGTTCATGATACTGGATGGCTCTTTCGAAATCTCCTAGGCTATGATAAGCATTGCCGAGATTGCAGTAACTCTTTCCCTCTCCAGCCTTGTCTCCCACTTCTTTGGCAATTTTTAGATGACGTTCATGATACTGGATGGCTCTTTCGAACTCTCCTAGGCTATCATAAGCATTGCCGAGATTGCAGTAACTCTTTCCCTCTCCAGCCTTGTCTCCCACTTCTTTGGCAATTTTTAGATGACGTTCATGATACTGGATGGCTCTTTCGAACTCTCCTAGGCTATGATAAGCATTGCCGAGATTGCAGTAACTCTTTCCCTCTCCAGCCTTGTCTCCCACTTCTTTGGCAATTTTTAGATCACGTTCATGATACTGGATGGCTCTTTCGAAATCTCCTAGGCTATGATAAGCATTGCCGAGATTGCCGTAACTCTTTCCCTCTCCAGCCTTGTCTCCCACTTCTTTGGCAATTTTTAGATGACGTTCATGATACTGGATGGCTCTTTCGAAATCTCCTAGGCTATCATAAGCATTGCCGAGATTGCAGTAACTCTTTCCCTCTCAGCCTTGTCTCCCACTTCTTTGGCAATTTTTAGATCACGTTCATGATACTGGATGGCTCTTTCGAAATCTCCTAGGCTATCATAAGCATTGCCGAGATTGCAGTAACTCTTTCCCTCTCCAGCCTTGTCTCCCACTTCTTTGGCAATTTTTAGATGACGTTCATGATACTGGATGGCTCTTTCGAAATCTCCTAGGCTATCATAAGCATTGCCGAGATTGCAGTAACTCTTTCCCTCTCCAGCCTTGTCTCCCACTTCTTTGGCAATTTTTAGATCACGTTCATGATACTGGATGGCTCTTTCGAAATCTCCTAGGCTATCATAAGCATTGCCGAGATTGCAGTAACTCTTTCCCTCTCCAGCCTTGTCTCCCACTTCTTTGGCAATTTTTAGATCACGTTCATGATACTGGATGGCTCTTTCGAAATCTCCTAGGCTATGATAAGCATTGCCGAGATTGCAGTAACTCTTTCCCTCTCCAGCCTTGTCTCCCACTTCTTTGGCAATTTTTAGATGACGTTCATGATACTGGATGGCTCTTTCGAAATCTCCTAGGCTATCATAAGCATTGCCGAGATTGCAGTAACTCTTTCCCTCTCCAGCCTTGTCTCCCACTTCTTTGGCAATTTTTAGATGACGTTCATGATACTGGATGGCTCTTTTGAAATCTCCAAGCCTATGATAAGCATTGCCGAGATTGCAGTAACTCCTCCCTTCTCCAGCTTTGTCCCCTGCTTCAATAGAAAAATGCAAATTGTTTGCATAGTGGAGGATCTTTTGGACAGCCGTTTGAGGTAGCTGAGCGTTGATTTGTATATCCTAAAGTTTAAAATTAGAAATATTGAAATTGTTTGACTACCTTTTATCCCCTTGGCTTATCTATCCTTAATTATGTTTCTCGATGGCTTATTATATGGACCAGACTTGCTTATGGACTGAGAAGGTTACCCTTATAGTGCACTTAACTACTATATATATATATATATATATATATACGGAAAAATTGAGCTGGTCTGTCTTCCATGGAAGCGTCCCTTTCCGCGTTACCTCTTGGTTTTCGATTAATTTTAAAGTCGTAAACTTTCTCTTACCTCGATTTTCTCTTTGGTATCGTCACGGATAGTGTTAATTTCCTGATTAATTCTCGTTTCATCTGTGCCATCAGTTGGTTGATTATCACACTCGGTCCACAAATCAAGTAACTTCTTATTGTTCTTGTTAATCTTAAAAGGCTCGAGTCAAAGAATTTGCCTTCTAAAGAGTTTTAGGTCAGTTCTATTTACACTACAATTTCAAACTCAACACAGTTCATGCCAGCATTCAATCCAGTGTAATGAAAATTGGCCGCAATAGCTGAAAGTAATACAAATACAGTTATTACCACCTCTACTGCTTCTATTACCGGTAATGGTGAGGGTGGTAGAAGCAGAAGTACTACCAGTGTAAGAAGCACAGCCAGCATTATTGTGCAAAATTGTGCACTTAATTCTCATGGTCTAGATTAGTTGTGTTAACGAATATATAAGCTTACATGTAAATGTGCACCTGACTCCGCACACTTGCGGTGACTGGAGCTGGCAATGACACTGCCAATGGCGCAGGCAGACGGTTTTAACTCCAGTGATAGGACATGAGAGAAAAGGAATTATAGAACTTTGTTTTTAGGCATGAGGTTTGAAAGGAATTTGGAGTTGTTTGGCACCTACTGAGCATTATGGTAAGAGCTGATATAGTTAAGGGCATCACTCAGGTGAACGTTTGAACCCAGTACTGTTTAAGATGATTTCTGGTGTTGTTGGCCGTCTAATATACATAACAAGTCGCCCGGTTTCTTGAATTCGTATATTTATCAGAGTCAACAAGATATGGGAACCGCCTACTTTTCGCTATTTTACATGAGTAATTAAATGAAAGAAATCTCCAAAGCAGAATTGGCTTTTTCTACATTGGTCAAAGGATACTGCCAATCCTTTCTGACACCAGGTAATGGCTTCTTGATACAAGTGCTGTTGTACACATGCACTGGCCCCTTAAAGAAATTGAAAAAAATTGATATCAAGAAAGATCATTTTTCGCATTGCGGATAATAAAGGAACTCAACATGTACTTCTATTTCAATCTTACAAATCTTAACTTTAGTAATGTCTCGCAATGTACACAGTCAAAGTAAATTACCAGACTCGAGACCGAGTGTGAAATGGAGACTGGTTAAGAAATTGAGAGGTATACATGGGTACGCGTAGATATGGAATTTTTTCTCGAGTGATCAACACGATAGCCTACGAGTGAGAACAGGGGAAGAGGAGGATATCGGGTTGAACACTCGAAGAGAAGTTCCATTTCTTTAAGCAGCCATGTATTATTTTGTGTGTTATATAAAAATAATACTAATTTATAACAATAAAAGTCGGCTTTATTAATAAATGAAAAAAGGATCCTCGACCCTCGAAAAAAAAGTTGTAAAGTGCGTGGGCGATAAGGCTCATCGTAATTTTACACGTGTGCTGCTGCTCTCAGGCCTGGTAATCATTGTAAAACATCACAGTTTATATAATATACGTAATGATATAGCAGCTTTTTCATTAACTATCAAAACTTACAACTTAATCCAAAACCCTATAAGAGTAGGCGGATTACTTTTCAAAATGAGAAATTTGGAATTTTTCATTGTGCTTTTGCAAGAAGATCTTTCAAATACAAAGTCGAAATTAAGACAATAAATTAGGTTGTGAAATGATTTAAGGAGATCAGACAATGCGGAACCCCAGCACAAGCTTTTTTCCTGAATGATCAACTAGTCAGATGAGTCCAATCACCTACTGAGCATTATGACAAAAATTTTTTTCCTGACAAAATAATTTGGTGTGAGTACGGAAGGACAAATTCTCAACTTTCAGAACTAGAGTCTACTTTAAACGTTTCAGTTACTGATGTCTTCTCAGTGCTGGGTAAGTTGCCAAATTAACAAAAAAGTCTTGCGAGAGCATCTGAATTTCGGTCTGTCTGATTTTCATATATCTGATTGGCTAATTTGAGGTTCACAATTTTTAGTGTCAGATTTTATCCCATCTTTCAAATAGCCAGCGGACGAATAGAGAATCGGCCAGAACGAGTGATGTTGGTGACGGGGCCATGCATTGAGCCTGTCCCAGTCATGCCAGCGCTACCTTCCCATATTACCTTGAGGTTGCTGCAAGCACGGCGAAAGTTTTCATTCACGCACACCATTCGAACTGTAGACTGATATGAAAGATCAAGATGATTGTAATCAATCTCTATCAAAATGAATACAAAACTGGAATGATTGATTAATTCTTACCCAGAAGGAGCTGAGCCGCTGCTCTGTTGCTATAGAGTATGGCGTTTAGTTTGACATCTTTGCAGTTCACTTGCAGTCCCTCCGAGTAAAAGTGTACAGCATTGTTGGTTTCTCCTTTGCTGTACTCGTTGTCACCTTCTTTCAAGTACACCTCCGCCATCGCTAACAGAAAGAAGAAAACATGATGATATAGAATATAACTCAATAGGGATGCACAAAATAGCAGCCAGACATATACAGATGCGTAAAATATCCAAGAGAGCAGCAGTTTGAACCGGCTGTCAAACGTTAAAGTCATTTTGTTGACTTGCAAAATTTGTCTGCATTTTTCCTGTTCCATGATCACTAAGCGGTACAGGTCCCTTTGTGTGCCTCTCTTAAAAGGATTGCGTAACCCTAATTGACTCGATGACCATACCTTATTGAATAAGTTGTGTTTGTTTTAATTGTTATTATTACCTTTTAAAGTTGCATCATCAAATTGCGATGTACCATCTGACGGTAAAACGGCCGGAACGTCTATAACGAGAGAAAAATAATCAGACAAGTATATAGGGGACAAGGATCTTTCTGATCTCTCTGTTGGCCTCCAAGCATTGTGGCGTGATAGTTCAGCCACTGAACAGTTTCAAACCTAAATTGCACCATACCAGCTCAAGTAAAGTAAAGAATCAAATACGTTGGAACATTTAGCAAACATAGACAAACACTGATAAGTTCATTCAAAACAACGTGAATCGAAGTATTTGGGAAAATAGTCAAACTCCATCTCCAGTGCTTGATATATGTTACCCATCGAAACTAAAATTAAGATGTAGAAGCGGCGAAATAAGGTTTTAAAAAAGTACGCCTTATAAAGAAGATTCCTGCCATACATAAGATATGATACATAAGATACACGCTACGGTACCGGCATGCCTTGTGATTAAACAATTAAACACTGATTAATGAGTTTAACGGAGAGATATATGTTGATCTTATCGACAAAATCGAAAAAAACGTCAGGTGCTGGACTCCATCGAGGCGGGGGTGAGAGGAAGAACGATAAAGACCTTAAGATGGACAACGGAAAAGTAGATGAAGAGGAACTGATTTACCTGGAGAGAGGTTCTGAGGACAAAGCGAAGAAAAGATCGTACTGGCGGTCCTTTCTCATAAGGTTAGATACCCGAAGGCACGAAAAGGACAACAATTTTTCTAAGTTTTTTTTGTTTTATTTTTATGTTCCTTACGAGATCACATTTAATATTCCATACAGTCTGAGAAATACGCTATCCTAAAGGTTGGGTTAGGTCAAGCAGTCGATAACTTCATACTCCCATATTTTTTTCTTAGTATAAGAGTTTTGGCGTCGAACTGAGTTTCCTTTCAATTCAAGAATTGGCATCTGAAACATGGAAATGAATCACACTATAAATTCATGTTGTGACTATAACCTGCATGTAAGACTACTTTACTCACCTGCCTGAATATCATCAGCTAAATTCACTTTTAAGTCACCAGATCTGACTTGACGTTCCTCTGCAGCTGGAAAACACAACATCACGTTCATGGTGAAACCATTACCCTTAAAAAATAAGACCTTTCACAAGTGGTTTTACTTTTATTTTTCATCATGCTTGAGCGAATCTGTAAAATAATGTGTTTTGCTAATCACCCTGGAAATGATAATCATGTGACATTTTCCGTGACAGAAAGTTAGTTGTAATTAAGGTTTTTTTTTTCTTACCGTCTGTAGATTTCCCATCATCAACGCTGACCTTACCATCTTCCGCCATCACTGCAAAAGAACCAAATACTCTAAAAACTTCATGATATCAATTTTGAGATCAATCTCACCGGCTTTGGTTGTATTAAACTGAAATCGAAAAGGAAGGGCTTTCAACATTTATACCTGCTTAGATTTGCAGAGCATATCTCAGTCTACAACCAAGCCTCAGCCATGTATAATTCCTAACTAATTTAAGTATTAGGCCTTTTAGCCCAAAATTCAACATAACCATTTCTTCGTTCACCCGTCATTAGTTGATTTTTCGTAATAACTTTTCTGATAATGATATAAATGGGCGAAAACAATCAAGACAGTTGAGTATTCCACAATTGTTTCTTGAAGAAAGTTCAAGGCTTTGACGGAAAATGAAATTCCCAGATAGTAGGAAATCGAGGGGTTCATTCGGAGAATTAGAGCTATTATAGCAGGATTGGTAACATTGATTTTGAGCCACAACCAACCTGTGTTATTCAGAGTAAACAGAGCGACCTTGGCGCACAAGCGTTAGATAAGTCACATGACCTGTCAACCTAAAGGAAAAAACACGCTATTTCAGCCCTTAACAGCAAAATCAATCAGCCACAATCAGACCAAAGGTTGACAAATATGATTGTAAGAGCACAAGATTCAATATTTTTGAAACAGCAAAACATTGTAAAGGGGTCAGCAACAGTTTAAAGAGCTGACGATATCAGTCACAGTGTTCGAAATGAGAACAGTTTGAGGAAAGTGCCTGTTTATAACCCAGGGAAGAGTTTTTACGGTTCCCCTGGATAACGGCTACGCTATGCGTGCGTGTGCGCCTATTGGTACCGAGAGTCTGTAAAGGTAACTTCGGTTACAGATTTAAGCTCTGAACTGGGAAAGGCAGATAACCTTTCAACCGGAAAAGGGAAAAGATCACAAGATTCGCTTTCTGACAAAGCCTTAATAGAACTTACCCCTTTATTCAAGGCTTAATGTAAGTCAACAACCAATTCACTTAATTTGACACCATCTCCCATAGCCCGGATATAATTATAGTGCAAAAGAATACATAATGCAAAAAACAGCTGACAAAACCTTGTGCCAACTTAACACATGTTACTGGAATCACTTAAAGGTAAATGCGTAGACAGCTGTATTTTAACAACGTTTAAAGATCATCTGAGTTCGAATGTAATAAACACCTCTGTTACTGTCGGAGACCTTGTGTTTCGTGCGTGACACATATCAGATAATAAGTGTAAACATTATATCAAGAGAGACAATTTTTAAGTTAAAGAGACTGTCATTTGTTATCAAGAGCTAGAAGCACCGCCTTTTGTGATTTTGGCACATTGAAAGGTTTGCATAATCGACGCAACCTTGAATAACCTTTTATATCAGTACTTAGCAACAACCAATCACAATGTAGAGAATGTAGTAAAGAGAGTGATTTCGTTACAAGTTATTCAGAGTAGCTCTTTACACACCCGTTGTAACTGAGTGAATAGGAGAGTGCAATTAAACAGTTGAGCTTAATCGAGTCTATGGATTGATTCTAGTTCGTTAGGATTCTATCCCTAGTAAACGGGGCAAAGTTTACGAAACTACAACCAGATTCTCGCCTTTTATTGAACCATGTAGTAATCAAAACTGTTCCTATAACAGCCTAACAGAAGGGAATATGATTTGTCCACGATGGAACTTCCCTTAAAAAGACCCAGTTTCAATCACTACTATAGTGGACCTTCTCAAACGCGTCGGAAGTTTTTTAAACATCTCAAGCGTAACAGGGAAATTTCCCCGAAAGTGGGGAAAAAGGGGTTCCCCTCCATTAGAAATTGAAACCGGAACTCATGACGTCACCCATTCCTTCACAAAACTCGAACATTCAGATCTTTTTCTGAACATAAATGTAAAATGTAGACGCAGTTTTTAGTTTTGTCCCATGGACTAGCTTGGAGTTATTTCTGCGATATTAGCAAGGAAAAATTTACAACTTGGTTTCGCTGACAGGCAATCATCGACAGTGTGTCAGTACTGGCAGTTTTCCATCAGTTCTACCCAAATCAAGAATCTAATTGTCAGTTTTGGTGAACTGACAATTAGCATTTAGATCTGTTTATTCTTGTGTTAGATCCACGGCAATCCGTGAAATATCTGCAGACGATTTTTCCAACGATTTACGTAGGTAAAGGTGTAATGAACACGATGTTTGATGTGTTAGGACTGATGACAAGAGATGTAACTACATTTGAAAAGCAAAATGTATCCTGACCGTGATACAGTTATGAATGAGATCAATGTCCCCGACTCTTCACCGAATAATTAATATTCTATGTAAACATACTCTGGTAAAAAAAATTAAAGGCCGCCCCAACATTGCAAGCTGACAGAATTCCGCTATTTTTAGGGGTCTTCATTGAAAAAAGGGTTTTGTCAAACGGGGTAATATTAATTTTAACTTGGCGGACATCTATAACTGCAACTACGTGTATGTCGCTGAGTTTTAAGGAGGGTGAGTTCAACCACATTTACTAGTCCTACTACAGCCAAACTCTTACCGCGGAGTTCCTGAGTTCTTTTTTAGTAACCTACTGGAGGACTCTGGAAATATCTAACGGCAACTATAGACTTGCCCAAAGGTACCTACGTTTGTGTCGCCGAGTCATCAGGACGGCAAAATTATTTAATCACATATACAACAACCAAAATCTTACCTCCGTGTTTCCGACCTTCTTTTTTAAGTTTTCTTACCAGCCTTAACAAAGAGTCAAAGAGAAAAGCTGATATAATAAACCGAAAGCAACAGCTCCGTTTGCAAGACTATGCAAATATACAACTGGAACACGCTAAGACGCACGAGAGTTTTGACCTCTCAAGTGAGGGGGTTCCCCTAGTTTTAGCGGAAATGCTTAGGTCACGTAACCCAATAATTACTGGGATACCTGTGGTAGCCATGGACAGGTCCGGATCACATGACGAGCACGAGATTTTCTTTTGTCGGTCGTTTTGTATTTCAACGTGTTTGGATTACGATCACCTGAAGCGTTATAGCGCAAACGCTCGAAATACTTACAGACGCATACACAAGTCGTATTGTTCGCGGCCAGTCCACACTAAAAGATGTTATTGAGCGGTAATTTTGGACTGGATTGAGTCGCGAACTGTGTATCCGTTGTAGTTTCTGGTGATTTCTGCCGTTTTAAGCTTGCTTTACCATCACTGTTATTCACATCATCTACTTTTATTACGTTGGTAAAATCTGTACAGACATCACACCAACCAACTCGCGCACAAAATAAGAAGAGTATATTGAAGGCTTGAAATTATATTACGATCGATTTTCATCAAGAAATGGGCCAGGAATTTTCCACAATAGTGCAAATAATCGTGAAGGCTGATCGAGGAAAAGCGATTGCGTGACGCTCGGTAAGCTGTAAGATGACATGTTATTATTTACCAGACGTAAAAACTCTTCAGATTCTCAGTCTGCATTTTGTACCCACTCTACAGTCTCCAGTCTATATTTTGTATCCGGTCTGCTGTCTGCATTTTGTACTAACAGGTATCTGTGGCACCAATACAGTTTACTTTTGGTTACATTTATTCGCACAACACACATAATCTACCACAAAATACCTGTGTGTGAGGTAATTCGACATTTTCGTTCTTTTCCACGTTAATACTCTTCTTTCCTTTTGTAAGAATGTAGACCACAAGTAATCCACCCACCCTACAAAAAATAACTCTTGCATGCATATCATGCCTATGTTTTAAAATAGGTG